GGATGTGTATAGGAGACAGGGGTGGGGGGTGGTGGTGGAGGGAAGTGACCTTGATATCGACGACGTCATGATGCATGCAATGCAATGCACTCAACGCGAGGCGCGTAAAGTATGCATATCACACCAGGTGAGAGAGAGAGAGCTGGGAGCGTCAAAAGCCACGAGGGCCACAGAGTCATTTAGTCAAGAATTTCAGTTCAGAGTGCCCGTACACTTGATGCGTTATATTCCTATCAAGGTATCTAGTATTAACCTTGGAGAACTGTGCCTGCGTCGGTATCGTGCCCCTGTGGTTAAAGGAGCGGGGTTCTCTTACTTAGAACAGCAAACTCATCCAGACCCCCGAAAACTCCCCCGAGGCCGATGATGCTATATCTATCTCGATCCTCTTCCTGAATGTTAGGTGTCGAGAACATCCTATATGAGGTACATAGTTCTCGGTTAGGCTAAACCCCAGTTGTCCACCACACCGTTCCAGAGTTTGAGATTATACGATATACACGAACATCATACGCTCCAAGATGGGATTCGAGCCCGAGACATATTACCTCGGACCCAACAAGCATTGCCCCAACAATGACATGCCAGTCCTGATCTATCGCGACTGTCTGCCCCTACCGCTCTCCGAGGCCAAAACAACCGAGTTCCTCGAATCGCACGCCTGGGAGAAGAAGGGCACCTGGGGACATATCGCGTACAGGCATTTCCATCCCAACACGCACGAGTGCTACGGTAAGAAGAGGAGGCCTCTCCCTTCCCCCAGGATCAGCCAGGAGCCCAACGTAGCGCATTTCGCGGTGCTGACCATGTCAATCCCCTTTGTGGGGGCGGGGCATTAAACAGGCATTTTCCAGGGCGAATCGAGGATACTGGTCGGATGCGGCACGAACGACACCTCAGGAGGAGAGGAGATCGAGGTGCACGCCGGAGATGTCATCGTCCTCCCGGCTGGAACGGGCCATTGCTGTCTCCAGAGCAGCACCGACTACAGATATATTGGCGTTTACCCAGAGGTATGTATAGCCGCCACCCTCCCCATCCGTTCCCTGAGGAACATTCTTGCGCGCCTCTCCAACGAACGCTCACACACTCGTCGCTGGACAGGGAGCTCCCAAGTGGCGCAGCGAGCTGGGGAAGAACGAGGTTGGCGACGCCTATAGACACGAGATCCAAAGTGTGGCATTGCCGGTGCAGGATCCTGTCAATGGGTCAGAGGGACCGTTGTTGAAGTTGTGGACCAAGACGTGATGGATCATTGATATTGTGCTTTGATCGAGTCCTTTGGCTTCTGTCTTTCGGATGGAGTGCACAAGTGTGTAATTGCTTGTCCGTACATACACTCTTGTCTCTTATACTCGACCGTAGTACCTCATCGGGGTTAGCGCCTTGGCATCAAGATGAGAGGAAACCAGCATCTCTCTGCTAGGCACGTACAAACAATACATCGTCCATCTTGACGAGAGTTCCAAGAGCTTCCAGTGCGACTATCGCATGGCAAGCCTCCTACGTCGACTCCTCTCGACCACTCCACCCGAAGTCCCCAATGCCACAATCAGAAGGATGAATCTCAACTCCGCAGACCTGCCCAAAATTTTCCTGCCGCCCGTCAATCGGTGCATGCGGACGCTGGACAAGTCGTTCTTCCGCAAAGTTGTGCCTCTGGCCGCCGCCACGATCCCGGATGTCCGACAGATCACGGCCATCAGAAGGGAACTCGAAAAGTCGCAGGACTTGCTCCGAGTCAGTCCGATCAAGCCGTTGCGCGATGACGACTCGGTCGGCCAGGGAGCGAAGTGTCTTCTGCTCAGGCCCGGGATCGACGCCAACGGTGCGTAGGAGCACGGCTCCATGATTCGTGGGGGGAGTTTGTTGACGGATTGTGTAGAGCCGAAAACATGGTCACAGACTATCTCGAGGCTGGTGGAAGATCGACTAGCCAGCTTACGACCCTACGATCTGACACTCACATATGACGACTGGACTATGCGTACGTGAGTGGTCAGGAATGACCTCTGCAAAGTTTTGTTCGGAATCTAACCCGTCCCGCTAGATAATATCCTCGAGGCGGTTCTGCCTGAGATCCCTGAGGAAGAAAAGGAAACCCCTGCAGGTTTTGCTCAGGTTGGCCACGTCGGTGCGTCTCCCTACCTACGTTCTTGATGTATTGTACTAACTTACCAAAGCTCACGTGAACCTGCGCGAGGCATATCTGCCTTACAAATACATAATTGGGCAGATCTTGGTGGATAAAAATCCCAACATCACCACCGTCATCAACAAGACGTTCGACGTCGGCACCGAATCCGTCTTTCGAACATTTCCATATGAAGTCATTGCTGGCCCAGATGACCTCGATGTTACCGTCCACGAGTCTGGTTGCGAGTTCAAGTTCAACTTTGGCAAAGTGTACTGGAACTCTCGACTAGGTACTGAACATTCCCGGCTCTTTGAGCAGTTCAAGGAAGGCGAGGCTGTCTGTGACGTTATGGCCGGTGTTGGACCATTTGCTGTGCCGGCAGGTAAACGCAAGGTCTTTGTCAGGGCGAACGATCTCAATCCCGACTCGTACCAAAGCCTTGAAGACGCCATCAAGTCTAACAAGGTCAGCGACTTCGTGTCAGCGTCCTGCGAGGACGGCAGGGCTTTCATCCGCACCGCTACCAGAGACTTACAGCACTCGCCACGAGAAGCACGACTACCCTCCAAGGTGAAGATTTCGCGGAAATTGACCAAAGAAGAGATGCAAGCGCGTCGCAAAGAGGCTGATGCCGCAGCAAAAGTTCTCAAAGAACCGAATGCGTTCGCTCACTATGTCATGAATCTGCCGGCCAGCGCCATCGAGTTTTTAGATGCGTTTCGAGGCCTCTATCACGGTCGAGAGGCCGAATTCAAACCCCACACCTCGAGAGATTTGCCGTTGATTCACCTGTACTTGTTTCAGACGAAGTTTGCTTCCGAAGAAGAAGAGATCCAAGAGATTTGTGAAAGAATATCGCAGCATATCGGGGCTCCGGTGAAGCTCGATGATCTAGAGCTGGATATGCAGGTTCGATTTGTCCGACTTGTCGCGCCGAAGAAGAAGATGTTTTGTGCGAGCTTTCGCATACCGGCCAGCGTTGCATTCGCGCAGCCTTGAATGATTGGCCGTCGATGGAACAACTCACTGCGGCCGCCCTCCATGGCTCGTCAATGGTCCTCCTCTAGGCCCGCACATGTCCACTCCTCATTGACAGTATGTCGACCATCGGAGAGCTGCCCCAGCACCAATGCAGTCTGCAAGTCGTTCACTACTCGCCTGCGCCATCGTCGTGTCCCTCGATTAACTGGTGCAGGAGGATTCATCTGCATTGCCAGGTCTTTGTGATCGCCTTTGAGGGGTTGCTGCACTAGACTCGAAGTCCTGGACCAGCGGAAAACTGCGCCGTCTCGAGCAGAGAATCCAGGCAGGTTTTGTCAGAGGAATGAATGAACCTAAGTCTCAAGGCATTGTCGACGTGTCCAGTCGCCAAAGTTGGCTACAACAAGACTGTTTGAGCTGGGGTATGTGGTCGAGAAGGAAGAAACTTGGTGACGGTCGGGCTGCGGGTAGTATAATCAATCAATCAATCAATCAATCAATCAATCAAGGCCATGTGTCTGAAAAGAAAGAGGAGGTATGTCCGAGAGGGTAGCATGAGCGAGAGTGGCAGGTGATGGATCATCGAGACTGAATCTATTCCTCTCCCCAACCTCCCTTGTATATAGGATATAGGTAACCAAGGTATGGATGGATGCGTGGATATATGTAATGAATCAGGCGTTGATTACTATGTGGTAGTGTAAGGTGCAGCTCGTCATGAGTCGCTCTCCCAAGCTGTCATCTGCCGCCGTCAGAGTCGTTCCTATCGCTGTTCACCGTCCCTGTCGCTGCTGTTGCCACTCACCGCATCGTCTGGTTCCCGGTGCCATGCACAGCCCTCCCGCTTCCAGCTCGACCTCGCAGACGACTCTCGTCCAGGTTCCTTCTCACCTCGCTGTCGGGGTCACGGGTCGCGGACGCGGATCGTGAGCGCCGTGCCTGCAGTGGTGAGTGCCCTGTTGGCGTCGTGAGGCTTGGATCGTGAGCGCGATCGGAATGGGGATCGCGCGTGGTGGGTGCAGCGATGGTCGTGATGGCTTCGGCTCCTCCTTCGTCTGCTCGTACTCCTTCTCCTACTTCTCCTCCTTGGTCTGCTTGTGCCTCTGCTCCCATTTAGACTCCTGCTCCCACTTCTACTCCTTCTCCTGCTTCTACTCCTGCCGGAGAAGCCCCCCTCCAACCTCACCGGCGGCGGCGAATACCCGCCCCGAAACCCGGGTCGCTCGCCAAATAGCCCTGGGCCGGTTCCTGGCCGTGGCGGAGAGTGAAGACGAAGACGAAGGGGAAGGCCAAGTTGCTCACGCGCGACAGACTCCTCGAGTCGGAATCGGACAGTCGACCGCGACCGAGTCCGCTCGCGCTCATAAGATCTCCGACGCTGGGGGTTCTCTTCGTAAAAGGTATGGGAACATCTCGTGTCTCTCAGGACGGGTCTAGGTGGGGACAATAGTCGGGGCGGACGCGGCGACGGAAGTAGTGCGAGGGATGTCGGACGTGATAGCGGGCGTAACCGTGAGGGTGACCTTGACGGTGACGGGGACGGGGACGGCGACCGCGGACGACGACCACGCGTGCGCACTATGATTTCTTCCTCCTCGCGGACGTGTCGTTGGCCGTGGGGTAAATAGACCGTGGTTCTGGTGTAGGTTGTTTGCTTTTTATCGGGTTGTCAGTTTAGTGGTGGGAAGAAGTTGGATCTTGTAGAGCAATGCAAAGCAGAGCCAGGCGAGGTAGAACGAGACAAAGTAAAGCAGATCCAGCGGATAGAAGAACTTGAGACTTCAGATACTTACCCGTGAGCTGATTGGGATGCGCATCTTGATACGCTGGTCGTTGCGTCTCGTTCCTCGTTCCTCTTTGCCTCAGTAGAGTATCAGATGTACCGTCCTCCCTTTGGCTCCGGTCAAGTCGGTCGCTCGGTCTGTCAGTCTGCTTGATAGACAGATAAATCCCCTCTATCCTGTCTGGTTTCGGGCACGTAGCATGCAAGTGTCTCAATTCTCTGGACGAAGCGACAAGTCGGTGGTCGAGAAAATATAGCGAAAGGAAAGACAGCAAGACGTAATTTTCAAGTAGAACTCGCCGCTGGGCATACATATCAGACGCATCACAGACATATCACCGACCAGATTCAAACCAGACCAGAATAGACTGCCCTCCTGCCGTCACCACGGGCAATTGTCACACGTCGACGTATCGACATACCGACACCTCGACACATCTGGCAAGAGATCACTGGTCACAGTGACAAAAGTCTGGAACAGAAGAGGGTGTATTTGTAGGTGACTTCTAACAAGAGGAAGCCGTGGCAGTGGCAAGCAAACGAAAGGCCCCAGTGGGTTGGGAGGGAGGGGAGAGGAAGTGGCCACAGGGACAGTCAAACAAATGCGGACGAGCAAAACACAGGACACAGGTAGAGGGAGGGAGGGAGAGAAGGAGAGAAAGGCACTGAATATCAGTTTCTGGAAGGATTTGGGTACTTGCGACAAACAGGGGGGACGAGAATTCAAAGGGGAAAAAAATTTCAATCTGTAACGATTCTCATTTCTTCTCGTCTCGTGCATCGAAATGCAAAGATGGAGGAGTAGTCTGTCCTCTTGACCCGGCGACCTCAAAGCACGATTCGATCCACGTGGTGGTCACGATTGCCAACCGCTCACATATCGGGTATGGGTCCCAACAGAGCCAAAAATCGTCAAATGTCAACAGCGTTACTGGCGTTGGAGGGATGAGCGGTTCCCATTTACCCTCCTGTCGTGATGCTTGCCTGGCAGATGCCGAGCGAATCGCACTGGAGGACGGGAGTGGTTGAGGTGGTCTGTAAGGCTCGTTCCGGGAAGCACGTATGGTAGACGGTGACCGCCACAACGAGTCGGAAGAGCTCGAAGTTCCCAAGCGGCACTCAGCTTTTGGTGTGTCACGTAAGAGGGGATTCGGAGGTGGATCATGTCTTGAACATGTCGAGGGTAACGAGTCGCTCAAACGAAACAGCCTGGGAGGTCCATTCCAGCCTGGGTGGATCGTCGACAGCGATTTCCAGGAAGATTCAGAATTGCAGGTGGATATCGAGGACTGAGAACTCTTCGTCTTCAGAGACAGAGGTAGCGTCGGTGGTGTCCCAGCCGCTCCAGTTGTTGCAGAGACAGAGGTCAGTGAACTGCAGGTTGAGTGATTTGCAGTTGCAGACATAGATTCTGTATCCGATTGCGAATCTTCGGAGCATCGCTGCAAGCTCATCGAAAACCGAGATCCGAGGGGTTCAAGGGGTTCCATGAAGCAGGTCGAAAGCAACCGATGGAGACTAATTCCGCAATTTTTGATGTCACCGCGTTATAAATATTTGCGTCTGGGAAGTTTCAACGAAGCTGGTTGATGTCGTGGTTGCTGGATGGCGAGACGGACAAGGTGATTTAAACACAATAAGTTGGAGAAAACAGAGGAGAAATGTTGGGTATTGCTCAGTAAAGACTTCACAGCCATTGACCATTGCTCCTCTTCACTGCAGCACGCGATAGCGCTCCTTTGTTTCCTATCCAAACGCATCGTCCAAGTATGGTGAGCCGGAGCGTTTGGGCACACCTAGAAGTCTCCACAGATTGTCCGACTGTGATATCTGCGTTGGTGGGAATAGCTCAGACAATTTGTGTTTCGAGAGTAGCAAATCCTCCAAAGCCCAATTATCCTGTGAAATCCCCGAGACAGGTCGCTATGACGGCCAGCCTGAGACTGCGACTGCCACGTATCGCTCGACTCATGGCGCAATATTGGTATGACTCTGCCAACATTTCCTTCGTGCTTCGTCAGCATCTCTGGGAGAACCTGAGTTTGCGTGTGTGTTTATTGGTGCAGCGTTGTCGTTTGCGCTTTGGAATTGCTGTGCGTCGTCATTCATTCGTACAACCCCGCCAACGGTGACTGCGGCGATGCAGTAGTCATGTGAGCTGTCCCTGCAGATTGATTGAGCCGTCGAGTAATACCTTGAAGTTGGTGTAATCCCTCAAATATCAGGTAGAATCAAAGCTGAGCCTGTCTCTTCAACCGCTGCAGTTCCCTACAGATACCCTCCAACTCCTCCTCTGATACGACGCCATCTTCGACCTTCTTCTCCAAGCTTGGAATCAGCGCCTTTGCTTCATCCGAGCAAGTCGGCACCAAGCTACCCAACTGAGACTTTTCAAATCGCTCCAAGTTTTCACCGTACGAATTGATGATTCCTTCCACCTGTTGCGCCTCGGCCAGATCTTTAAACACCGCAAAGATCTCCAAGTAGTCGCGTGTCTTTGCAGTGACCTCGGTCTCCTCGTAGCCACCGCCTCGAGCCGCCCGGGTCGCGAGAGTCTTTTGCAGGATGATGCGCGCTTCGGAGAGATTGAGCGTGACTTCGTTCTGGAACTCGCCGAGTTTGAGGACCGCGCCGGCTTCGAGGTCGGATGTTGCGGTGGGCGCAACGCGCGAAGGGGCAGCGTGAGGCATGTTGAGCACCGCAAGTAGTCTCTGCAAGAAGAAAAGAAGACGCAGGCCGGAAAGCAATGAACAGTCGGGGGATGATTGAGATGGGAAAATGAACTTTGGTGACTGATCCAGTAGCGCAGCCAATTCGGAAAAACAGATAATCCGAGGGGAGTCACTGACACGAGGCTACACAGAAGGATTTTGACTTACATTACGATAGACACTCTTAGACGATAGACAGATAGCACTCCAGAATCCTCACAAATGTGTTGATTTACTCATTTAACCCCTCATAAATATTTCAAATAGACTCATTCAATTACAAGTTTGTCAGGCCGCTGATTTGTATCCAACTTGTCGCCGTTAATCCTTCCCCAGAAAGATCATCCATCGTCCTACAGCACCAATACACCAACACCAGCAGCAATCAACAGACCCTTAGCGGCCCCGAAACCACTTGCGCCGTTGGACTCGGAAAATTGGCTGACACCGGTTTCTAGCGAAGAGTCGGTGCTGGTCGTAGTGGCAATAGCGCTCCGAGTGCTGGAGAACAAGGCGCTGGTAGGCGTCGTCGTAAAGACAAGGTCGGATGTCGTCGTGCCAAAGGACGAGCTGCTACCAACGTAACTGCATTTTCCGAGTGTGCTAGAGCAGGTGTATCCATCTTCACAGTAGTCTGGTAGAGGCCCAACGTTAGTGGCCCCTGAAGGCAAAGACAATCTCGAGAGCAGCAACTTACATCCTCCCGCGCAGCAAGATTCACCATCGTCCGGGTTATAGCATGAATCAGATCCGCAAGGGATATTTCCCTCTCCGTAGATTTCGGCGCAGGTGCTGCTGCTGCTGCCGCCACCACCAGAGCTTGTGCTCTCCTCCGGGCAGGTATCGTACAAAGGATCCGAGGGATCGTAGCAGTGATATCCATCCGGGCACTCGAGATAACTGGAGCCAAAGCATGACGCACAAGTCGCACCGGTCTGGTAACAGATATCGTCAAGGCCGCTCAGGCTGGTTGAGGTCGATGCCGGTGCGGTGGCAGTATTAGTCGTAAACAACCCATCATCAGAGCTGTCGAGGTCGCACGAATCCAACCCATAGGTATCATCTCCAGGCAAGTAGCAGTAGATCGCACTCCCTGGACAGAGGGTATAACCACCGCCGAAGCATTCCTCACAGGTTCCTGTGCAGCGTTTGTTCAGATCGCGCCGCGACATGAGCTTGCTCGTTGAGGTTGGCGTCCTCGTCCGACCGTCTTCGGGCAGACCTTTGAAGACAGCATCCCCTTGGGCAGCAGCCAAGAGTATGAGTGAAGAGAAAGCGAGGGTTTTGGTGAAGAGCATGGTGAAGTTTTAGAAACAGCGAAACGAGTGACTTGAAAGAGCGACTGGAATGTAGTGAGCGACGAAAAAGCACCCAAAGCTTGGTGTGGAAGAGAAATGTACTTTAGTTCCATGGAAGGCGGTGGCTGTTCCATGAAATATACCTAGTCGCTCTACAGAGTACCTCTTACCACGTAGATACCGCCCCAACCACTCGTAGAAACCCGAATACGGATACGTCCGTTTGGCAAGAAGGGGGGGGTGACCTGGTCCGAATTTTCACCTGCACCGTTGAAGCATGCTCAAAGTTCACACCAACGTTCTTGGAAGAGCAACGGGCTATACAAAAGAGAATACCACGTGCAAAGCGATTCGCTTGCAGGGAAAAGGTAATTCCATGTCACCAAGAGTGATTAGGGCCAAGTAGCCTTGTCTGGCTGGGCACTGAAAGGACAAATCCGAAGATGCAGCTGTCTGGTAGGTAGTCTCTCAGAATATGGTGCCGGTACCCTGTAAAGAGCCATTGTAAAGAGCCAACGAAAAGACGGCATTAAAATTTGAATGGACGATCGCCGCTGGCCTCTCTATAGGCGCACGAACCGTTGTCACAATTCATCGCGCGAGTAGGAAATGAGGTACTTGTACCTCGTAGTTGAAGGCGGGAAGGGAAATGACAGGGAGAAGGTTTCTTGGCACAACTCTTGGCAATAGGGCGGAATTTGTCCACCATAATTGGGTTACCACGCTGGATAATTAAATGATTGATCCCTGGAATTTGCCGATTGAAGCATTTTGCTACCTCGAAATCCTAGCCTCGAACTGGTGAGGCAGAGGTAGCGGCATAGCACGAGCGCGGAGTTTCTGCTCAAGGATTCTCAGCGCCGGCTATCGGGTATGAGTTCCGAGTTCTAGTATACAGAACGATGTGGGTAGGTAGCATGTCCAATTTACGGAACGTTGACTGCGGTGGGCCATATTTGCTTGTTGGGCAACGTTTCTTGGTACTCAAGATGGTCTGATAAGCGAACTTGCTGCGATAGTGGCGCTAGTTTCAGGGGTCCTGAGGCTATTATATAAGTGAAATTGTACCTGTCTCGCTGCCTACAGCACCTGGACTAGAAAATACTACTAAGAGGCTTCGTCCAGAAGATAATTGGTCTTGGTCAAGAGGACAATGGTGATGCTTTGCTTCTCCATCCCAGCCTCACAGCTCTGCACTTGGCACAAGGCTGATTGCAGCTTGGCCCCTGCTGGACCTTCCGAGAGGCACAAGCCTCCACTCCTGGCTCTTCTCAATTTTTGGCTACCACCCCAGACGGTGCGAGCTGGCGGACCACATCATCTGCCCGCCTGGTGGCCAGGCTCGTTATCTTGTCGCAAGTTTGTGAGTAGCAGTATATACAAGTAGGTAATGTGAACAAAGGAGCAGTAGTCACGCGAGTCAAGGATTTTGAAATGTGGAAACATGCGCGCAAGGGGTATGTGACCTGTGTTATTATTAGACAATTTGGTGAAGATCAGAATGTCGTTGGTCAGACAAGGATGCTCCCTGCACCTATGCGACGAATTATTTCTCTGATGTTCACGTACTGGCTGCTGCTGCTGTTGCAGGGCTGATATCGGGCCAGATTCCGAACGAGATACAAACCCCTGTTGTATTACTGTCTCATCTCCAAACTTTTGAATTCCTTGGTCGTGTTCGTGATGGCCATTTCCACTGGCAATCTCTCCATGCTACTTGCACCATAGAAGCCGTGAATTCCCTTGACACGACTGAGCACATAACCAGCATCCTTGGGTTCAGCAATGGGCCCGCCGTGACAGAGGATGATGATCTCGGGGTTGATCTTAGTCGCAGCATCTCTCATCTCCTGAATCAACTGGACACATTCGTCCAGAGTCTTCCCCGTCTTTGCGCCTATGCTTCCCGAGGTTGTCAAACCCATGTGACACACCAACACGTCTGCGCCGGCCTCGGTCATTTGTTCAGCTTCTTTGACGTTAAAGGCATATGGCGTGGTTAGGAGGTCAAGTTTGCGAGCTTCTGCAACCATGGCGACTTCCTTGTCGAAACCCATTCCCGTTTCCTCGAGATTTGCTCGGAAGCTCCCGTCGATGAGACCGACGGTGGGGAAGTTCTGGACACCGCAGAATCCCATGTTTTTCAGTTCTTGAAGGAATGAGGGGATTATGCGAAATGGGTCCGACGCACAGACACCAGCAAGAACTCCGGTTTTGTTGACGACCGGAAGAACCTCCCTTGCCATGTCGACGACGACGGCGTTGGCATCTCCGTACGGCATGAGGCCAGCAAGCGAACCCCTCCCGGCCATTCGAAAGCGACCCGAGTTGTAGATGATGATCAGATCGCCGCCGCCTGCCTCGATGAACTTGGCCGACAACCCTATGCCTGCCCCTGCTCCGACTATTGGTCTGCCATTCTTAATCTGGTTCCTGAGATGGGAGAGGACTTCGGCTCGCGAGGAAGGGGGTGCCATGGTTGAAGTGATTGATGTTCTGGTTGTAATCAGTTCAACTTGCTCTCATCAACTTTTGGGGGTCAGCCTCCTTGGGTCGATCATACGGACGAGTTCGTCCTCGTCGTCGTACACGTACACGTACGTACAACGTCATAGTCAGAGTCGTGGTCTGTGTCCAACCATCTCAATCATGCGGAGGCGGTGGGGATGAAGCGGGGATTTTTGGCGAATGATGGCGCAGGTGGTGATGGTATCCGAAGCCCGCAACGAGGGGCGAAGGCAGGCCGACCATGTATTGGATGGAGATTGCCAGTAAACGTGTGTACTACAAGCAAGCAAGCCTCTGTTCAAAAACAACCTCGCAGCTCTCGCAGAAGCTTCTTCGGTCCCAAGCCTCTTATCATGTCCCTCGATGGATAGCTTTTACTCCTCTCAAGTCCTCCTGCGCCTTTAGAAGACGACACACTGAGCTCCTCCTTTGTATACTTCCATCATGGTGAAACCTACCGTCCTCATCGTCGGAACACCTGACACTAAACTTGACGAAATACTCTTCCTCAGAGAGCAAATCCTTGCCGAGGGGACGTGCAGCACCAAGATCCTCAATGTTAGTCACAGCATACCAGCCAAACTGAGGGCGCCATTGGAAAGCATCCCGTCGGACGAGGTCATTTCTCCTCTTGAACAACATAGCTCCACCCTGAAAGAGCTCTCTCGCGGCGAGTACATCGACAAGGCCATCGAAATATGCACGCCGGTGGTCAAAGACCTGGTCTCGAGATCGGCTGTTCAAGGTATTGTCTCTGCAGGCGGGAGCAGTGGTTCGTCGCTCGCAACGGCCTTGATGCGCCTCACATGTCCCGTCGGATTCCCCAAGCTCATGGTGTCGACCATGGCAAGCGGTGACATCAAGCACTACGTCGAGGAAACCGACATTACCATGATGTACAGTGTTGTGGACATTGCAGGAGTGAATTCCATCCTCAAGCGCATTTTGTCCAATGCCGCTGCTGCCATCTCCGCCATGACAGTATCGTATGCCAAATCCCTCGTCGATGCTTCTGCCGTTACCGCCAAAGGTAAGCGTATTGCCATCACCATGTTTGGCAATACCACGCCTTGCGTCGACGCCGTGCGTCACATCCTCACCTCGGCGCCCCATGACGCTTCCGACTATGAGATCTACGTCTTCCACGCAACTGGCTCCGGCGGCCGCGCCATGGAACGTCTTATTGCGGAAGGGCAGATTGACGCCGTGGTTGATCTGACCACCACAGAAATCCCCGACGAGCTCTTTGGCGGCGTCTTGACTGCAGGGCCCGACCGACTCGAGATTGCAGCCAAGAAGGGTCTTCCCATGATCGTCTCCGTCGGAGCCTGCGACATGGTCAATTTTGGGCCCAAGGACACCGTGCCGGAGAGATACAAGGACCGGCAATTGTTCGTGCACAACCCGGCCGTCACGCTGATGAGGACGACACCGGACGAGAACAGAAAGATTGGTCAATTTATCGTCGACAAACTGTCCGCCAACGCCACCAACCCGGGGACCATCCGTGTCCTGATTCCGGAGAAGGGCATAAGCATGCTGGACGCGGCCAACCAGCCGTTCTTTGACGAAGAGGCCGACAATGCGCTCTTCGACACGATCCAAGAGGGCCTTGAGGCCACCGAGATCGAGGTGGAGAAGCACGACTTGCACATCAACGACGAAGCCTTTGCCGGCCACATCGCGAGTGCGATCCTCGAAGTCATGGGCATCACGCAGAGGAACTACCGGCTGGCGAACGCGAGGCGGCGAAAATGGAGCTTCGACCACGGCGCGTCCGTCATGTTGGCCAGGCGGAGCAGTCAGATCGAGATTCCGGACGCTTGAGGTGCTTGTTTATGAGCACACATTTTTCTCTGCCCGGAAATTTCGGTGGTATGGAATATTCAAACCATGCATGACCTGTGGGGGATGAAAGTATGGACCTCGCGAGGTTTGAGGAAACGGGTCACTTTTGACAATGTATACCCTTGAAATGGCTCATGGTCTTCCCCGGCACACATATGGAACTGCAGCATTTCTTGTCCTTCAACTTCAGTGAACAGAACTCGCTCTGCTGCTCCGGCTGATGGGATCTTGTATCAGCCGCGTGTCGTTCTCAATACCTAGGTATTATCACCGTCCACCTACCCGTATGTGTCATGACTGGAACCAAACAGTGTTCATCTTAGGAGTCTTTTAGTTTTTGATATCAGTAATACTGAAACTCCCCTAAAAAAAACAGAATGAATAACCTCCCAAACAGCTTCGCGCGGTTTTGACTTCTGATATTTCTTTCTCCGTATGTTTGTATCAGCGTTCGACGCGTGTACATAATGTGTGCATACCTACCTCGCCGACAAGCTGGGGAAATGTCCGTCGCCACTAAACATGTACATCTCCAGACGAGGGACGGCCGGGCAGGACAGGGATTCTGGAAGCCAGACCAAACAGCCATATCTCGTCAGTTTTCTGCGCGGAAAGGGGTGCTATGCCCAGCATATCCCAGACCAGACGCTTCACAGCATGACCGGAGACTGCACAGAAGAAAAAGGCGGCAAGAACAGGAGTGAGAAAGGATGGAGCTTTTCGAGCCTCAGAAACTCAATAGTCCAAGTTCAAAAGTTTCAAACGTCCTCAGGAATCCCTCCCAAACAGTATAACCAGTTGAATTCCCAAAGTTGCCAGAACCCTTGACCACGATCAATGCGGCCAAATATCCAACACTGCCTCTTGTATCAACTCATCATGTCCCCTGGCCCTGCATTATCATTCAATACAAACTACTACCATGCTGTTCCCTCCAAATTCGCTTGCCGCAACTTCTCATAAAACGCTCCAGGCCAGCCAACCATCTCCTGGTCACTCGGCAGACAGCTGACTTCCTCTCCTTCTTTACACACAATCTCGCCCTTGGCTTTCAACGCCTCCTCTCTTCGTCGACAATAGCCCACGACATTCCCGATCACCCTGCCCAACATCTCCGGGGAAATGGCGACAGGGTTCAAGAATGGGTCCGTTTCAGATAAGAGCTCCTTGATCGTGGGCCTCAGAGATTGTTCGCGTGTGAGGCACCGTTTCAGGGTCTTGATGAGCCCAAAGGGAACCACAGACCCACCAATCCCTGTGGACGGGAATGAAATCTCGACCTTCGGGTTGGGGATGGACATGATGCGCTCGAACTGCTTCTGGATATGGGCGAACGGGGGTTGGCCGTAGGTCATTTGATAAAGGATACAACCCAGACTCCAAACATCACTGGGCTTGCCGAGTTTGAGTAGTTTCGTGCCCGGGGGTTGCTGTGATCCTGCAGCGGGCGTATGACAAACCAGGGATTCTGGGGACATATAATTAGGCGTGCCGATTTGATTTTCTCGATGCACGTTGACTGTGTTTTCTTGGATAGCATTAGCAATGCCAAAATCAATCAATTTGAGTTGACCCTTGACGAGAAGGAAGTTGGCGGGCTTAAGGTCCGAATGAACAATGTCGTAATCGTGCACCGCCTGGACGCATTCCAGCATTTCTTTCCAATAGTGTCTGGTGAAAGTAGTATCCAGTTTGGCATTCTCGGTCTTCAGTTGCTCGTTCAGCATTTTGTTAAAGTCGGTCTCGCCCAGCTCCATCATGACACTGAGCACCCCTTTTTCCTCGTTGATCTCGTAGTCGTAAAGTCTGATAACACGATCCACGTTTTCGAGCTTTTTCAAGAGGTCAATCTCGCCCTTGTAGCCTACGATTGCAGCCATGTCGGCTTCCTCGAGATTCACTCGTTTGAGGGCGAAAATCTTGTAATTCTCTGCCATGATGCGGAAAACTCTTGACGAACCACCCCTGCCTATGCAATCGAGCCGCCGATAGGTCTTTCCGTTCAGAACGTAGTGGACGGATTTCTTGTTGCGAGAGCCCGCATTCGACGTCGCTGCATCAAGAATCGACATCTTTGGCGGTGGGGCTGGTGCAGGTCTGTGAGGTGTGTTATTAGACCGTGGAGCGAGAGGCTGACGAGATGGAGAAGCGTGCCCTGGCCCAGGAGCAACCTGTTTGTTCTCCAGTGGAGCACCGTCTTCTTGAAAATCCAAGATTGCCGCCGATGGTTTGCTCCTTCGAAAGGTTGGAGGAGGCTCATTCTCCTGGTCTTCCGTCAACGGGAGGGCTGGCAAAGGTGGGATTTTGAAAACAGGTCTTTTCTGGGAGCTCGATGATCTGGACAAGGACTGAGAATGACGCACAGCAGGTGTAGGGTTGGCTTGGTGAGTCGATCCTGGTTGGGACGGCGAAGGAACTCGTGATAAAACCGGTGCTATCTTTTTGGGAGAAGTGCTTCGTAGGGAATGTTCAGCTGGCCCTTCGGGACTTGCCCTCAGCGCAAGCAAATCGTCGGGCAAATCTTGTAACTCAGGCTCATTGGCTCGTCGACCCATTTCCATCTCAGGAGTATCAGGGCGTGGTTGATCTTGGCCTGCCATTTGAACATCTTCGTCTTCGCTGGGACGACGCACCATACCTCTTCTTACAGGTCTGTTCAGTAACGCGCCTCCGATTCGTCGAACTCGCATGGTACTTTGAGCACCATTTTCGTCGGGTTTTCGAGATCGGCTGATTGTCGACGGGACGGCAGCATTCTGCTCATCGAGGTGTCCGCGAATGACGCTAGATCTTGGGCTGATTGACCTTTTTGAAGTTTCGGGAGCCTGCTCGACTTGTTCGCCCTTGTCCGCCTCGCCTGATGGAGGAGATCTCGATAGCCGCCTGGCATCACTGATACGGATGCGCCGGACTCTAGGTGCCGGCGTTTCTGAAATGTGGCGTACAGCATGATCACCTGCTGACGACTTGTCATGGATTTTGTACATGAACGATCCATCTCTTCCCAAGACTCCGGGCTGCACAGGGCGAGACGCGGAGCTAACAGGAATGTTTCGAGGGGCAGGACTACCGTCTCTTTGATGAGGTGGGCTTGAGGATCTCAACATTTGCAGTGGCGTCCCTCTGCTTCTTCTCCTAGAGTAACCTGTGCCAGACGGCTTCGCATTGTGTCGGTCTGGTTGTACGTTCTCCTTCTCGGCTCCCAATTGCTCATTGTCTTCACCTAATATAGCTTGCGCCTCGGCGCTTAGTTTAATGGGCGCAAGATCTTCATCGTCCGAGCTGTCTCCCGTAATACTTTGGTCGAATTGTTGCTTAGCATAGGGTGCTACAGTTGGACCTTGATGAGCACTGGTTGTTAAGGGTCGCGTTGCAGGTCGTTGCGATCGACGAGAATTGCTGGAAGAGGATGCCAGTAACGCTGGAGACGGCGAGATATAGGCAGCCATAGAGAGCACTATCGTTGCGTATTGATATTGTTGGGTGTGCTCATGGTCGATGACACTATTGTTCGAAGGACTTTATTTGGCTGCGAAGACGCGCCGCAGTTGTGGATTGAAGCTACAAACGCAAATGCCGGCAAAACTTCGGCAAGTTGGGGCGGTTGACGGGGCAACAGAGGACAAAATCTTACGACGATACAAATACACTAATCCGAGTCTTCAATCATGATTAATATTAGATTGTTCGAGGTATGCCCATGATGCCCTCTCTTTCCTCACAACGCTCTTGCTTTCCCCGAAGGGTGGCCCTAATGCCGTCAATGCCATTAAAAAGCATCCATACCAGCGCCTCTGCCAAAAATGCTTCACAACTGACTTTTCGACCAAAATTTCCGACTGCACCGGCCTGGGTCCGGGTGTCCAGGCAGATCGTTTTCCAACCTTCACTAGCGTAAAAGTCTCTTTCTTTGAAGATGTATCAGAGCATGCAGCTGAAGCCGACAAAGATGCCAGCTGCAATGACACCAAGACCATAGACCTGTCCAATGTTGATCACCAGCCTTGATGCAGCAGAGCTACCAGATCCGCTGTTTCCATCTGAAGCAGCAGTTGTCGTAGCAGACGAGCCACCTCCAAAGCCAGTGTATACAACCCCGTCAGAGGCAGTAGAAGCCGCAGACCCCACGGCCGATGTAGTGGAAGGCATTGTTGTGATTGTGCTTGTATTTACTCTTGTTGGGTTGAGTGCTCCACACGGATGATTTTGTACGCATGCTGCTGCACAGCTATTGTCGGTACCGCAAGCCTGTTGACATTGGGTGTTGTACTCTGTGCAGATATAATAGGGGAGGGTTTGGGAGTATTCGGAGGCGTTGGGAGAGAGTCCGCTGGAGCATATGCAAGAATAAGTGAGGGCAACAGGGTCACAGGAATTATCGTAGGTGGCTGCAGAATTGTCGGCCTCTTGCAGACAAATCAGAGGACATTGAGCGATCTGTGAGTCGCACCACGATTCTGTTCACACGACCATCAGCAACATTCAGGTGGCAGAGAGACCAAAGACTCACGTCTTGTTGACAGAGGTACTGAGTTGGGGTCAATGGTCTGTGTGATGGCCAACCGGGCCAGAGCAGCGAGAGCAGCGGTGACAAGGAAGTATTGCATATTGATTAAGAGAGCTGCTTTTCAATCTCTGGCAAAGAATCACCGTATCAAGGCGAGTTTGGTGGTTATTAGATGCTGGAGGACGTGGGAAAGAAAGTAGAAGAGATAATGAATACAGCAGAAAGATATTGCTGTTTACCTTGAAGAACGAGAGAAAATGAGGTTTGTTACTTGAAGGAAGAAGTGAAGAGAGCGAGCAGCAGAAACAGCAGCAGTAGTAGCGAGCAGCAGACATGCCCATAAAAAAGGGCGGAGGAGGCAAGGGTTCTGGCGAGAGTGGTATGCCACTATCCAACCATCACCATGACCGGTTTGGGTTGGTGTTGAAGCCACTTGGCCGGGTTGGGGGGCAGGCTCACTTCCCGCCACTGAGAATGTCTCCAGCATCGTTCTCCAGAGGCTAAGAGATTCTAGCCCATCACAGGGACCTTCTCTGTAGTATGTGCCCCAGCAACAAAAGTCTCAAGTGCATGACTGTGGCACACATGCGTGCAGAAGGAGGTTGACTTGTCTCAGGCGTTGACAGAAAGTCCGTGGTGTTTTGCGGAGCTGTCAAACACTTTGTCGAGGGCAAAGGTGCATGAGGTCCAATAGTAGCTGGAGCCCGAATTCCGGGGGCTCCACGGCGCGCAGTTCCAGCGCCAATGACACCCAAGAGCCCTATAACTAGCGACCCCAGCGACCTCTGTAGGTGCTTCTACTTGGAGGTTAGATTCACCTCGTAAGATGATAGAACGCACATGATCTCCACATCCTTGTTTGCCCTTGGTGCATTTGGTGCCCTTGGCCCAAATCCCAGAGTTCCAGAGAGGCGTTCGTTGATGCGCTCTCGGCGGTGGCTACTCAGATACCAACCTTCTAGAGGACTCCGTCTTCGGTATTGGTATTTGGTAGTAAATCCCATCTATCCTTCCGCTGATTGTATCATCGAGGTGCCAGTGTTTGTCATTTTGATCAACTTCCACGGGAAATAAAGAGATCGACACTCAGATCAATGCTGCTCTTGGCCATTCCACTTTCCTTCCGACTCGTATTATTCCCTTCCTGTACCCCAAGATAGCTAGTGGACAACATCAAAGAATGGCGCTTCACCTGACGCTTTGCTCAATACAGTCACCTGCATTGGTGCCATCTTTCTAGCTGCGGGTTTTTCGGGCTTTTGCAACCTTTTTTTCAATCCTTCATTTTTTGCTCTGAAACATTTGCAAAGTTCGTCACCTTACTTGCATCACACAAATCCTTCCTGCAGGCGGGGCTATCTCTGTCCAGATCACGCCCGCTGCGTGAACATCCCAGCTTTACCTCATGATCCGTTGACCACACCTAGCCACACGAAAAACTCTCCGGCAGTGTTCCTCTTTGGAAACACCGTAAATCGGGTCTGCGACTGCGCACATGCATGGAGAACTCTCGTTCCGTCCCAATCGCCACATTGGTTTCAGATCAACCGAAACGAGAATCCGTAGCTGCGCCCGGCACTGAACCGTCGGGCGACCGGCTTCAAGGCTCGTCTACCCCTCCACCCTACTGGCAACCTAATAGAGAGCCATCCTCTGAGGAGCTGACCATCACCCGACCTCCCCCCATCTCTCTTGAGGATCATACCTTATCCAGAGAACCTAGCAGGGCGGCGCTCTGGGCAAAATCAATCTCCATTGATGAATATGTCATCGTCCAAGGGAACCCTACCGGAGTGGGCGCCTACGTGGTATACAATGTTAATGTCCAGACGCTTGATGGAGGCCCCATGACAATTCGAAAGCGATATTCCGAGTTCGATGAGCTTCGAGCCAAGTTGGTCAAAGCCTATCCTCAGTCAACCAGGTCGTCGCTTCCGCCTCTTCCTCCCAAGAGTGCCATTTACAAGTTCCGGCCTAAATTCCTCGAGAAAAGACGCGAAGGACTGGCGTATTTCCTTAATTGTGTCATGCTCAATCCAGAATACGCGGGTTCTACGATTGTGAAAGACTTCATCTTTCCACCAGACGCATGAAATGTGTCGATCGTGGGACCGGGGCATATTCTGCTGGCTCCAGATCTAGCAGCAATGAGAAGATCCTTTTCTCTGTGATAGCCGCGGACAGCACAACCTCTTCGCATCGTGGCCCTAATTTCTCAGACTACAGAAAGCCTTTGTAGTCGGAGTCGCGCTTGGCCTTCCCCTCCGCCCAGGACAATCCTCATATGCGCAATATCTTCCTCATCATACTTGGGCGGAGCAAGGTCTCGACGATCTTCCTTCCGCTACCCACTTGGTCGGCCCCGGGAAATGGGACACATGCTCGGCGGGTTGGAAGTCGCAATGAGCGCGGCAGTGCCACATCTGACCCGGGAACAAAATGGTTCAGCTTAACCCCCACCACCGATGGTTTCTCCAGAGCTATAGTCCTTGGACCAGCCCGACTCATACAAAGTAAACCCTTCGACCGCCGATGCTTCCAGTTCGTCGGCAGCCATGTTGACCACATCCTTCAAGTGACCAACTATGGTGATCTTGATATGCTGCTGACTAAATCATATCGTCATGACTTTTGAAGCATCATCTTGGAACAAAATATTTGAAGTGGTTTTCGCAGCTAGGAAGGACGTTTGGAGCGGTTGAAATCGGGACAGCAATATCCCCATTGAGCCTCTGCTCATCTCCTGAGGCAAGCACCGTTCTAAAGTTGCATGCGGCGTGTTTCTTTTGTGGCACTAGTTGTTTCATTAGTTACGTCATGACTTGACGGTGCGTGGACGAGGTCACTGTGCTCCTGAAGTCAGTAGTCACAGTCAGTCAGTCATGCGTGTGAGTCCATTTGCGGAATGGCGCATCGGCGGCGAGGCTGCGATTCAGCCCAGCCAACAGTTGGAAAGGAACATTTCTTGTCACAACCAGGCGTACGAGCATCAAAAGGAGAAATTAGGGTGAACATGTCCTATGCAATTAGCCGGCAGCATACAAAACCAGGCCCGATTGCAAGAATTCTTGGATATTCGAATTGAAGCAAGAGGACACAAATCCAGGGCGGATGCACGAACCCATGAGGATGTCGGAGTATATAAGAAGTTGGAGCATGACTCCGCCAGCCAGCGCGAGATTTCCCCTAAAGTGATCGGACTGGTTGAAGATAGGCAAATCTCGGACTAATCTGCGACAAGGAGAGTATCCAGTCAATCTTAAACGATCATCAAAGCCCCCACCAGAGTGACTATGCAGTCGCTACCCTCCCTGCCTGGCACGAGCGTGTTACCCTAATATTTAACGGGCCCCTGCACCAAAGTCAAATGTGACGGCACCTATTGTGGCTTGCAGCATCGGTACTCACTTGGATTGCTTTTACCCGTAGGAGTACGAGGTAGACTGAGTTGTGTGATGCCAGAGAAGAGAAAAGTGTCAATGTGTTGCCCAGATACACTCACTTGGTATGCCATCTTCAACCACCTCATACGCCATGTGCTCTTGTACAGGTTGGGCTTGGCTGCTTGCGTGGCCTTGATCGACTTCTTCATGTCTCGCGTGGCACTGATCTGATAGGAGGTGCAGTTTCTCACCCGCTTGACTCGAGACTCACGAGGTGACACGGGCAGCCACGGGCAAGTGCTTCCCCCCAATTCAAGCAAATGGGGACTGGCGGAATCGAGACATTCCTTACGATCCTAACCTGAACAAGCGGGCTGGACGCTGAGCTAGAATCCAAGGTTTGGGAGACTGGGACCTGCGGCGTGGATCAGTCGCAGGACGGAGTGGCTCTCATTGGTGTTTGGCTGGAGGGACAGCAAAGCCCAAGTTTGAGGTCACCCAGGTAAGCCTGAGAAAACCCCCACCGCCATCCACAGCCTAAAAGTTCCGACGACCGTTTGGGCAATCCAGGTAGCAATTGGCTCCCGATGGGCGGTGGGTGGGAGTGGGTGGTCCCTGAATTTTGGGCGCCACCAACGAAGCCCAAACCCAACTAGACCAGATTCTGGCTTCCCAAAACCGCTTTTTCAAGTCACGGCTCGACACGTCGCGCTCCCCAGGAGTGAGGCTTCGAGCCGTTCCTCCTATCCTCGACGTTATCACATCTCTCTCACCTTTTCGTTTCGCTTCTCGTTTTCGCCCACAAAAGAAAAAGGCTGTCAGTCATCCCACCAGAGACCACGGGATACTGCGGCCTGTTCTGGGCTATAGCCAGTCTTCGTCCATCTCTTTGCACTTGTACCCAATCTTTTCGATTCATTGTTGTCCAACAACACCACTTTTCAAGCCCGCCAGGTCGCCGGACAACGCAGCAACGACAACAACTCATCTTCTCCCCTTTTTTTTCCCGCTTCCTCACATTCGCTTGCTCTGTTGGATTTCAAATTATTGAACCGCCCAAGTGCCTCGAAGTTTTCGGCTCACCGATTCGTCCAATGCCGGTAAACCCCTGAAATTACGCATCTTCAGTCCTGCATATGCAACTTGCCTGACTGCGAAGCATCACCACTTACCTTGTTAATTCGTCGTCACCTTTCTGTCCACCTTTCGCCCTACGGTCTTTCCTTCTTACTTACTCACCTGCATCCTGCGCATTTATCACTTTGTACGAATACTCAATCCGCCGCTCAGCGATCACTCGTCTGTTGTCGAACAGATGCAAAAGGACCACGAACTTACTCTCCACCATCTTTGAAAGTTTGGTACCATGCCATTCTTCTCAAAGGTCTTTAAAAGCAAGGATGGTCAGGGCAAAAGGGCCGCGGCGCCAGTCGCAAACGGAGACTCACACAAGAAGCCTCAGTGGTCGGATGCATGGGCGCGCACAAGGGTCGACCCTGACGAGGTGTCTGAACTCCTGCATTTATGCACGGCCGAGTTGAAGTCGAGAGGTCAGTCGCCACGGTTTCTACGAGCGTGTCGATACTTACTCTAGTCTAGCTCTCGATGTTCCCTTCTTACTGCTACCGTTTCGTCCATCGTCCGATCCATCTGCCGCGAGAACCTTTGTTCGCAATTTCTTTCTGCCACCTCACGATCGAGACCCCTTGCGGGGCTCCTTTTTGGAAACGGAACTTCGTATGACGGAAGTCATGGTATGGCACAAGGACGATATGGGTTTGTCTAAACCCTACTGACGGCCGTGTAGGTTCTAATAAGCGTGATGAAATGGTGCTGGGCACGTTTGCCCGGCGGTGTTGTAACATGGGAGGTTTATGAAGCATTCAGAGTCGGAGAAAAAGGTCAGACAAATTCCCAATCGTCGTGTCACCCGAGACTGACAAATCCAGACTCCGGCTTTGCGCGCGACGCATTCAGTACATTCATTCCAATCGGCGTTGAGTCGCCTGCTCGGCTTCAAATCATTCAAGACTTTTTTGACCTTCTTGCTTCGTTGGCAGCACATGGCAAGGCTAACGGACTGGGTGGCCACAAAGTTTCAAGATATGCCGGCTGGTGGGCATTTGAACACTATGATGCTGGAAAAGGGTTCGAGTCCGGATATCAATCATGGTCAACGTACGATGTCCTGAATTACTGCTGCGCCTTGTGTCTAACTTTGATAGTGCTGCTGATGCAACATCTCATCTCTTCTTCGCCTATCTACGATCCATGTCCCCTGGAGCAGGAAAAGCGAGCGGGATCCTGAGCCTTCCAAGATCACTACAACAACTTCTTGACTCGACCACCTACCCTCCAAAGCATGCTCTGTTGTCGAACGATACCACAAAGGTCGTGATGATCGTCGATGTTGTCTCGCCAACTCCGTACGCTTTATTGCGGCGGGCTAAGAACTTTGAATATCGAGACGATGACCGAGGTCTACAGCAATTTGCCAGTTATGACGACCCTGTTCAGGCTCTTACCGACGAATGTCGTCGCGTGCTCAAAGCGATCTCTTCGGCAAATCAATCCCAGGTCTCAAATGCGAAGACATCCACCAGCCTGACAGACCCGTCATGGTCACGATTTGAAGATATTGGCTTTGGCAGCTCCCTCGAGGATGAAGAAGAAGAGGATGACGGACTGCTTGGTCCTAGAGTCGTCTCGAAGCGACCCATGCACGCCTCAGTCCGGGGAGGAGGGTTTCAAGATCTCGCCCGGCCAACAACTCCCTCATGGGCTGATTTTCTGTCCTCCGGATTTGCCGACGAACACGGTAACAAAGCACCCGCCCCTATCCTGCTCCCGCCCGACAAGATCCTCCCACCTATCAATACGATTGCGCCTAGAGGGCAGAGCTCGCAGTCGCACCGGAGGAACCTCGATACGCAGCTGAATCTCGATCCAGGCGAGTTGGCTAGCATCACCAAGGTCAATGTGGATGATTCCTTCTGGTGGGTCTGGATCAGTAGTCTTGCTTCAGAAGAGCCAACCTCGAGAAAAGCTGTGTTCGGTCGATGCGCCCTGGTCGAAACCATTTTCCCGGATGACAAATGGATGGTGATGGAAGAGCAGGTCAAAGGTGCTGCACCAGAACCTGCAGCCGGAGCATACATCGCCGAGAAGAAGAAGACGTTCCTGGGATTCACGACCAAACGTGGCCGGCTAACTCGACGGGGGTCGGGTTCAAAAAAGAGCCCTCTTTCACCCGAAGCCCAATTCTCCACCAACAACAGAGCCACGTTAGCGCCAGATCAACAGGCTAAGATCCAGAAAGCAGCGGCCGAGCTATCTAGGAGAAAAGAGGCTGAACAGAAGGAGGAGCAAGCCGTTCTGGCAACTCGTCGTGGACGTATGCAGGAGCCCATTGTAGCGTCCAAGACCAACAGCATCTTCACACTAGGTCCATTGATCAAGGACGAAGCTTCGCCAGCGTTGCAATGGGCAAGTCAGTATGACAAGAAGGCCATCCGGGCTAAGTACCTGGGCGACTCACTGGCCGGAAAAGGCTCCCGTGAACTGTTGAACTTGCCTCAAAACGGCCTAGGAATTAGCAGGTCGACATCGACGCTGTCTGTGGTCAGCAAGAATAAGGACCTCCCACCAGCACCGGCTGAGAAAGTGTCGCGCCCGGCTCTTGTCGAGAGATCTCAGTCTGCTGAGTCTCCAGCTGGGACACCGATTGTCATAGAGCCTGCTCCAATTCCTGCCGAATCAACGATCCCAGTCCAAACCCCAACATTGACAGAGGCAGCAGAAGTGCCTCTGCCACCAGCGACGCCAGAAATCGTAGAGCCCCCCAAGCATCAACCCGCTAAATTGAGAAAATCTCTGGATCAGCAACGTCGTTCGCCTGAGCAGAAAAAACCGAGGGGAAAGACTCCGACCGGGCCGCCTCCCGTACAGAAAACTAGCGGCATTCGACGTCTGTTTGGAACCAAGCGATCCAAGTCACGGGAATCAAGAGTGCCAGAACCACCTGAGTCACCAGTCAACGTGGATGAAGATCCCGCCGTTGCTGCAGCCAGACGTGCCCTGGAGGGCAAACCTGCGCTCCAGGCAGCAGCCTCAGAATCCCCACCCTTAAGTCCTGGACACTTCCAACGCCTTGCAACTGTTAAAGCTTCCCAGTCTCCAGCACCTGTAGTCCATGAAGCTCCAGAGACGCCGAAGATGACGGCGGCGTCGATACAAAGAGAAGCGACCCCAGAACTGTCCAGGGACCCGGAGGTATTCGATCAAGTTGTTGCACCGCCGCGGACTCGCCGCGACGAGGAATACGACCAGCTCTCTCGAGTAGACACGAACGAACGCGAGCATGCTGATCGTGAGTTCTCGACGTTTGATCAAGGGCCGCTAGTTGATCAGCCAGCCTTCGTACCTGTGGATACACCTCCCAGAGAAGAGTTTTTGACACCTATCGAGGAACCTCCCCATGCGCCGATCAGCCTCCATTCCGGCCGATCGTTCCAGCAGACGGAGAGCTCCGTAGAGGAGGAAGACGGACCAGCCCTTACGCAACAGGTCAGTCCTGGTGACCGATGGGCTCAGATTCGGCGAAACGCAGCCGAGAGAGCAGCGAGACAATCGGAGGAGCAGACCTCGCGGAGTCGTACAGAAACACGAACTGACGATGGGGAAACCAGTGGGGAAGAGAGTAAGTTCTGGAGCACAGTCGTTCAGGGGTCGAGGCTAACGATGCAATAGCAATTGAATCACGGGTTGCACGAATCAAGGCCCGAGTGGCTGAATTGACTGGAAATATGGACAGCAACCGCCGATAAATTCAGCCACAAAGTGAAGATTAAGCAGCAATAAACATACAGCATCTACACCTCGGGCAGCACATAGTGCAGTCACATCCGACGACAGTTCCCTTTTTGCACGCGATTGCGATCGAGTTTTGCGCAGAAAAGACAGCAAGGCGTTTATGTGTGTTGAATTTTGGGGGTTGCAGCTTATGTGTGTCCAAGATACCACCTTCGCGTTATTCTACGCCGATGACAACCTTTCTCTCCTTTTCTTTCTCATTTGTGTGAGCGTTTGGCAACATGATCCACCTGAGCTGCGGGACAGCACCATAATAATACACCCTTTCCATCCTTTTTCTGCGTTCTCCCCTGTTAACTGTGTTGGTTGTGGGCAAATGAGGTGGGAAAACTAATAACCCGTTGATATTGGTTTGAGCTTGAGGGTCTAGACGCGGGGTGAAAGCTTTTCTTGGGTTCCCTTGGTGGAGGCACATTTGGGGGATTGAAGACAGTCGGGACCATCAGGAGAGAGAGAGAGGAGTGGATGGCCAGATTGTGGTCAGTGGAGGCGCAAGTCAGAGCGGAAGCTATAGACGACATGGTACCCTTGAATCCTCGAGAACAGGTTATGGAGCCAGATACTATTTCGACTCACAACCTCCAAGTACATGTATCGGAGGGCGGTCTGGACAATAGCCGACCACGTTCAGACATCTTTGGGATCCTGAACTATGTGCTGTCTCCCCATGCTGGCGGGTTAGGGCGTATTCAAAGAACAAATGGTTTGTACAGGTCGGCTTGATTCTGACTATTTCTGATTGAAGGATGAGGCGAAGCTTCCTGAACGGAAGCTTGAGGAGCCGACATGTTGGGGCCCCGGGGCCAAAGATATAATTCTCGAAATGTAAGCCAAAGCCAGGGGGGAGGGGGGTCATTAACATACAAGTGCGGCAATAAACTCCGAGGTCGAGCAAGTCCGCTCGGCCATTGTCAGGTGAGAAAGGAGTCTGGTATGCATGATTGTTGAAGGCATCCTATTTCCCTATTCAGGAGGGTATACACAACGTGCATCTTGTAAACCGATTACTCATTGAATCCCTGATCCTGCTCGGCGAGGAATCCATGGTGGATATTCATGCCTGAGATACGCGAGTGGATGGGTTCGCATGCGCGAAATGCATGTGATTTGGTTATTGAGTTCAGCCTCGCCCTAGCGCTGGCAAGGCTCGGCCGTGTCTATCTCTCTAGCCATCAATTCGTCGATCTACGTCGGTTTCGAGCACCTGAATTTTCCTTAGGTGGGTTACAGCGATAACTGGATCTGAATGGCGGGCATATTCAGATGAGTTTACTGGGATGCAACCAGGTATTCGCACGACGTAGGGGAACTGTGTACTCGTATTGGTACATGATCGACGACCGTGCAAAACGACAATGCATAGATTGATCCTCTGTTGAGTATGACACCAGGATAGCATGCAGTCTGAGGAATTGCTAGTGCTCGCGTGGGCTGCTAAAAATAGTAGCGCTAGCATTTCAAGCGATCCAATCGCTGTCGCCCTCGCGACATGCCAAGTCACGTAAGAGCCGCAGATGAAATGGGCTAAAGGAGCCCGAAAGACTTGAAACACTAGGGCCGATGCAGTGGGGAGGTGGGTTGGTTGGGCTTACCACTTACCACATTCCTGCTTGTCTGCTGCGGAGAGGCGATCACTCTAGGCCTGGTGGTGCAGGGCGCTTACTGCTGATTTCCACTCATCTCCCTCTCTTCCCAATCATGAGACGTCCGTCCCATCGGCACCCGGAGCAGTCGAAGTCGAGACGAAAGATGCCGCCGCCGCCAGAAGAGTGATATTGATATTCGTACCACGGCTAAAGAGAGGGAACAATGGGAATGAACAATGAATGTTTGTGCGAGACGGGGACGTACAGAGGTTGCCGTGGGATAGAGGGAACAGCAGATATCAAAATGACTTCAGAGATTTTCTGTACTCGGTACCAGGTACGAGGTACACCTCGATACAAAGGGACCTAGCGTAACTACATAGGTATGTACAAGATACCGAGTACAGCAGGGTACATACTGATAGGTACCAAGGGACTCATATGACCACAAAGAGCATGTTCTGGCCCGGCCATTGCCCATCACTCAGCAACGCACCTTTCTCGGTGGCCATGTCTGCTGTGCAGATACCTGGCGACTTGGGTTCCGCGGTGATCCTCAGCGACCCTCAGCCTCCCTATAAGCACCCCCAAGGGTAATCAAGCGGAGTCCCTCGTAATAATCAAGCAACTGAGCCGGCGAGGCTCGTCGCCGCTTGAGTTTCGGGGATTTCTTGGTATTCCACTAGGCTTGCCCATTCCCAGAGTTTCTTTGCCTAGGGTGCGGAGGGTCTTGCCTAGCTAGGCAGGTTGGTCACCTTTGTTACAGGGACCTCCAGTTAGGAAAACCTGCCACCGAGAGCCGCCAGTGGTAGGCGTTGTAGCTATTGCCCCCTCCTCCCACACACGCCGCCTGGCCGCCCCTCAACCCAAACTCGAGGGGATGGTCGGCAAACCTCCAACGGGCTTCGGCTGCAGCTGCACCCTTTCGCACCGTGCGTCTGCAGCCTGCACTACTTACTTTTGCCCAACTTCTCCCTCGCCTGATTATTTCGACCCTTCTTTCTTCTATTCTATCTTTAGCATCCATTACCCACCGTGCACATCCACGCTTCAATTACACGCTTAACAGACGCCATCGAGCCAATCCACGATGCAATCGGTGTGAGCCTCAATTAGCAAGCCACAGCACCAGTCTGGAGTTACAATTACTTTTTGCTGTTACTTGTTCCAACCCGTCATCGCGCCCTTTGTTCTCTGGTTTGTCTTCATTGTCGCGACCGGGACAATCCAGTGTGTCCAAGTTGCCATCCTCGCCCACTCACCCGCACCCGCTCTCTCCTCAGTCGGATATCTGGACGACAGGGAACAAAGAGAGCTCGAGTATTTCCTTGTCTAATACACAATTTCCCCATCCGGGCTTCGGGCCTCCTCTTTGCCCAATTTCTTCTCTCTCGACAAAGCCACCTCGGTGTAGCCAAGTCGTTGAGACACTCGCCTCAGCTCACCAAGAGGTGCATTTGGGTCTTTGGCACATGCAAGATACGAGAAAAATTTAAACAACCATGGGTCGGAGGAAGATTGAAATCAGGGCTATTAAGGATGACCGAAACCGTTCAGTGTGAGTTGTGGTGGTGGTGTTTGGCTTATGTTTTGTGCAGTCCGCTAATTCCCCGGGCAGGACGTTCCTCAAGCGCAAAGGCGGTCTCTTCAAAAAGGCCTACGAGCTCTCTGTCCTGTGTTCGGTCGATGTCGCAGTCATCATATTTGGTCATAACAAGAAGCTCTACGAGTTTTCGTCCGGAGACATCAATGAAACACTGCGAAGATATCAATATGTGAGTTGAGAGTCCTGAACCAAATCTCTTTGGAGGTGGGAATTTTTGTGCTGACATGCTGCTGTTAGTACGGAGCACCCCATGAACACAAAGGCCCTCCTGATTTCAAGAACAAGGGCGGCGAGGAGGACGAAGACGAGGATGAGGATGAAGAGCACCCTGCGCATGCCCGAGAGGACTCGCTGCCACCCCATCATCTCCCTCCCCAGTTACAACACCACAACTCTTTTGCGCACATCCAGCAGCCCATGGCGTCCGTCTCACCTCCAATGCCCAATGGCATGTTTCAGCCTCGACACGGCACACCGCAACCACCTCATATGATTTCGAGGCCGCCCTCCCAGAATATGATCCGCCGAACGAGCTCCAACTTGGTTCCCATGCAACATCCTCATCCTACTCCTCCCCCGCCACAGAATGGGTTTGCCTACGTACCGAACCCACCCATTTACAACCCTCAAGGAACACCGCCTGTCCCTCCACAGCCTTCACCTCAGCCTCAATTTCAGACATTTCCCCCTCAGCAGCAACAGCAGCAGCAACAGCAAGCACAAGCACCACCACCACCACTTCCACAATCCCACCAGCAGATGCAACAGGCGCACCAGCAGTACCTACAAGAACAGAGACGGCTTTCACAGCCGCCTCCGGTCTCTCAACCAAGTCTACAGCCTCCACCTCAAGCAGAAGCCCGGGTCTCACCTCAACCGGAACAGTTAAACCTCCGACCTCCGGAGCAAGCTACACCACCTCAGCCCAAGCATCTGTCGTCTAAGTCGAGAAGTATATTTACTCCGATAGATGAGGGTGGCTCGGTTTTGATGCAGCACTTCTTCGGCGCTTCAGAACCCAAACCCCAACCGAAGAAGGAAGACGAGTCGCCAGATCTCAAACCTCCACCCCGTAGCACAACGGCCCCAACCATCCCTCGACCCAATTCGCAGGGGGCTCGACCGCAGACCACTGTCCCGGAATTTGCTCCGCCTACTCGAACTAATACTTCGGGATCCAAATCCGGAGCTCGACCCAAGTTGAACCTTCAGATACCTTCGGAAGCAGAGGACAACGATTCGGCCACCGGAGGGTCGCCATCACAGTCTGCTAACCCGTCAGCAAACCCAGCCAGAGGCTCGGACCATATCGTCTTACCACCACCCTCGCCGAGTGCTTCGGCGGTAATGTCAGCTGGCGCATCAGGACCACCAAATCCTTTTGCCCGGCCACCACCACCTACTTCGAATGCAAACCGCGATGCATACAATGACAATCGGAATAACATCGAAACGCCCATCTCCGCCTTACCAAGTCGGTACATGAACAACGATCTCCTGCCGAGCCCGAGCAATTTCTTCAGCGAGTGGGACCGAATGTCTGCTGTATTACCGAGCCCTCTCGTGTTCCCGACGCCTGCTGATGCCAAAGCGCTGGGATTCGGAAGTAGAGATGCAGCTCGAGAAGCTGCGAGCGAGCAAGCGAATGGGGAAAAAAGGAAGGGGAGTGTTGATATGGGGGACAAAGAAGGGGATATCAAGAAACTCAAAACTGGCGCCAGTTGATGTTCTTACTCAACGTGCAAATGGTGAGGGATTTTGCCAACGGTGAATTGTCGTTGGACGAACCTGCTTTACCACTGACGGTCTGGCCGAATTTGCGCGACCACGACCAAATTAGTCCAGTTAACCAAAAACAAAAAGCAACTTCACGACCTGTTACGGCTGCAATATTACTGGAGTTCCGGTCGCTCAGCTTGATTGCCAAATATATTCATTCTGCTCGGTTGAGATCTTTGATAGCGATGTCACACTTTGTGGGTGGTTTGTGCTGGCATAGCGGGTGGGAGTTCTGGATTTTTACAGAGGGTGCTCTCACGTAACATGGACTGGGGTGACGGTCAGGTAACTCAAAGTTGGATCTACGGTTCAGACTCGGGAGGTACATGGACAGGCTGCTAAGAACGACGTTGGGTGCACCGTGAAGGTCGATATGTTGGACACTTGTTTAGATTCCTGACCGAAGAGAGATGCGTCTCCCGAAGACCAATGTGTTGTGGGCAGATGGAATGGATTATATTCGAGTAAGGCCTTCTCTTGATGAAGCCAGCCTTAGAGCCTGGACCAGAGTAATATGGGTGATGAAAGGGAGATCTTACTCATGAACGGGATACCTGTAGTTGATGAGGGTGGAAAATGAAATCTATTAATTTTGAACTGGAGGTGTATTTTGTCCTTTTTTCTACCCTCTCATATTGGCCGCAGTTGGCGATTTGGAGGGAAGATGTTGGCCGCAGTTGGCTATTTGGGGGGGGGAGACGTTGACCTTGGACCTTGAAGGTGCCGGCTTCGGAGATTCAAGCCTTGTGGGGCTCCGGACTTCGGCATCTGGAACAATCTGAAGCCGAGATCTCGAAAGTGACACCATCAATTAAGCAACCAAAGAAACCAAACAATTACACAACCGAGCAATCCAAGCAACCAAGAGCGGAACCATCAATACCAGGGAGAAAAACTATCATGATGTCGTCGATCCCGCATTCACGTATCGTCAACCTATCACAGCCTATCACAACTTCTCGCGTTATGGACCCGACATTGTCCAAGATCCTAGGCCAATCTTGGCTGCTTGACGTCCTCGATGTTTGGCCAAGCATGATCTCTTGTGTCCAGCATTCAAGTCCAGGCAGAACTCTGGGCATTGAGCTCACCGAAAAAGAGATATATAGACGACTGTTTCACACACGGACACACGACGGTGTGAGTCGTCCACGAAGTATCGCGGGTTGATGACACCCTTCTCAGTGTCTAGTATTCCTCGAAGCTTCAGCAGACCAGATGACGAGCACGCCAGAGAAATCGCCCTTGAGCCCCGATGGCGAGGTGCCAGCTCCTCAACAAGCTGAGAAAGAGAAACAGCCCGAAGGTAGCATCAAGGACTATTTTCGCATCTTTCAGTATGCCGACGGCTATGACTGGGTGTTGAATGCGATTGCGCTCATTAACAGCATTGCTTCGGGGGCAACACTTCCCTTGATGACCTTGGTCTTTGGCACCTTTACAACCAAGTTCAACAACTTCGCCAGTGGCACGTCAACACCACAACAGTTCAGGGACGACGTGGACCATTTTGTCCTGTGGTTCATCTACCTCTTCATAGGTAAATTCGGGACAACCTATATATCAACCGCGACCATTAGCATCTCGGCAATACGCACCACCCGCACTTTCCGGAAGAAATTTCTTGAAGCTACTCTACGGCAGGAGATCTGGCATTTCGACAAGCAGACCAATGGAGCGACAGCCACCCAAGTAACCACCAATGGCAATCGAATTCAGACCGGGATTGCTGAGAAGTTGGCCTTCGTCATCTCTGGGCTTTCTACTTTTTTGGCCTCGTTCGTCGTAGCCCTGGCTGCGCAATGGAAACTGGCCCTAATCACCATGTCTGTGATACCCGCAATTTTCATCGTCACCGGCGTCTGCATTGCGATTGATGCGGCACAGGAGGCGAGGGTCCTCCGCATATACTCTCGAGCCGCGGTCCTTGCCGAGGAGGTCTTCTCGTCAATCCGAACAGTCCACGCTTTCTACGCGCAGAAGAAAATGGCTCAGAAATACGACGTTTTCCTGGAAGAAGCCCACAAAGAAGGCAACAAGAAGTCTCCCAACTATGGAGTCCTCTTCTCGATGCAGTTTTTCTTTGTCTATGCGGGAATCGCACTATCGTTCTGGAAAGGATTTAGAATGTACCAGAGCGGCGAAGTTGAGAACGTTGGCGATGTCTTCACGGTGGTTTTGTCGGTCATTATCGCTTCCTCGTCAATCTCGACCATTGCGCCGCAAATTCAAGCTATCACGAACGCATCGTCTGCTGCTTCGGAACTGTTTAGTGTCATGGACAAGCCATCACTTCTAGACCCTCTCAATCCTGGGGGCGTACAGCCATCCTCATGTGAAGGCCACATCGAGATCACAGACCTGGACTTTGCTTATCCATCCCGACCAGCTGCTCAGGTTCTACGCGGACTGACCGTCAGCATCCCCGCCGGGAAGACCACGGCTCTAGTAGGAGCCTCAGGTTGTGGAAAGAGTACACTGGTGGGGCTCCTTGAGCGATGGTATCCTCCAACCGCAGGTCACATTACACTTGATGGAATCAAGTTGGATGAATACAATGTCAAGTGGTTGAGAAGCCAGATTCGCCTTGTACAACAGGAACCAGTGTTGTTTCGAGGAACCGTGTTCGAGAATGTCGCCAAAGGTTTTCTCGATGAGCAACGAAAATTCCCCCCTGAGAAGCAGATGGAATTGGTCCGAGAAGCCTGCAAGGCCAGTAATGCCGATGGCTTCATTAACGAACTTCCTCAAGGCTACGAGACTCAGGTAGGGGAGCGGGCTGGGACACTCAGTGGAGGTCAAAAACAGCGGATCGCCATTGCTCGCGGCATCATCTCCGATCCGAAGATCCTCCTTCTCGACGAAGCCACAAGCGCTCTTGATCCGACAGCTGAACGACTTGTCCAGGATGCTCTGAATCGGGTGTCGAAACACCGGACCACCCTGGTCATTGCACACAAACTAGCGACTGTGAAGGCCGCCGACAACATCGTGGTCATGTCCCACGGTCAGATAGTTGAACAAGGTACCCACCAGCAACTGCTCGATCTCAACGGTCATTACGCAAGGTTGGTTCGAGCTCAGGATCTCGGTGCTGCCGAAGAGCATGAGTCCAGCAAGCTTTTGAGCGAGAAACAGACCATCAATGTGACGGGAGAAGGGTTGGGGCTTCAACGAACAATCACCGCTGCGGCATCTGAGGGCGGCAACGCGGAAAGACGGACCAGCCCTGTCGGAACTCTCAACTACTCGCTCTTGCGATGTATCTACATCATGTTCTGTGAGCAAAAGTCACTGTACTGGTGCTTGGGAATCTCCGCCTTTGCTGCTCTTCTCAGCGGCGCGACGTACCCGGCCCAGGCCGTCCTTTTCTCCAAGCTCTTGACAATCTTCCAGTTGACAGGCAAGGCAGCCCGCGACCGAGCCGATATCTTTGCGTTGATGTTCTTCGTGGTCGCGATCGGCAACCTGGTGGCTTACTTTGTGATAGGGTGGTTAACCAACATCATTGGACAAACAGTCACTCATCGCTATCGGGCGGAAATGTTTCAACGTGTGCTTGACCAGGACATTGAGTTCTTCGACCTTCCAGACAACACGTCGGGGGCCTTGACCTCGAAGCTCTCTACTCTTCCCACTCAACTGCATGAACTGATTTCGTTCAACATCCTGCTCATCTTCATCATCGTGGTCAACGTGCTGGCGAGCAGCATTCTGGCTTTGGCTTATGGTTGGAAACTAGGCCTAACCGTGATATTTGGGATGCTTCCACCTCTGCTTTTGTCTGGCTATCTTCGCATCCGGCTGGAAACTAAGCTCGAGTCTCAGGTCTCGGACAAATTTGCGGAAAGTGGCGGGTTGGCCAACGAAGCCGTCTCATCGATTCGAACTGTGGCTTCGTTGACCCTTGAAGCCCATGTCCTGGAGGAGTACTCGCAAATGCTCAGCAGCATCGTTTTGAAGTCGACCCGGGCATTGGTGTGGACAATGTTCTGGTATGCTCTGTCGCAGTCGATCGTGTTCTTGGCCATGGCTCTTGGTTTCTGGTACGGAAGTAGGTTGTTGGCGTCAGGAGAGTACACTACCACACAATTCTACACCATCTATATCGGGGTGCTCTTTGCGGGCCAAGCAGCGGCTGAAATCTTTGGGTATACGACTTCCATCACCAAAGCTCGAAGCGCTGCCAACTACATACTCTGGCTGAGGACGTTGAAGCCGACCATCACGGAGACGGAAGCCAACCAAAACGAGGGGCCCGAAGGAGATGGACCTGTTGATTTTGAAGATGTCGAGTTCCGCTACCGCCAGAGAGAGACGTCGCGGGTGATTCGGGGCATCTCGATGAGCATCAAGCCGGGACAGTTTGCAGCTTTTGTTGGCGCGTCAGGCTGCGGCAAGTCGACTCTTGTGGCTCTTCTGGAGAGATTCTACGATCCCACATCGGGTCGGATCTGTTTCTCACACAAGGACATTGCGGCCATGTCACCCCGACTCTACCGCGGACACATGTCTCTCGTGCAGCAAGAACCGACATTGTACCAGGGCTCCGTCCGCGACAACGTTTCTCTTGGCCTCGACTTTGAACCCTCTGAGGACCAGATTCAGGAGGCATGCCGTAAAGCCAACGCCCTGGACTTTGTCATTTCCCTTCCCGAGGGGTTTGACACGCCGTGCGGATCGCGAGGGACGCAGCTGTCGGGCGGACAGAGACAGCGGATCGCGATCGCGCGGGCTCTGATCCGGAACCCCAAGCTCCTCCTGCTCGACGAGGCCACCAGCGCCCTGGACACGCTGTCGGAGAGGCTGGTACAAGCCGCGCTAGATGAGGCCGCCATGTCGCGGACCACGATTGCCGTGGCGCACCGACTGTCCACCATCCGCGAGGCCGACGTGATTTTTGTTATTGCAAACGGCAAGATTGCAGAGATGGGCACGCACGCCGAGTTGCAGCAGTTGAAGGGCCGGTACTATGAGATGTGTCTGGCGCAGTCGTTGGACAGGGCTTAGGTCGGCCAGCCCAGCTCAACTTGATCCAAAGGAGGTTGTTTGTTGGCCTCTTTTGCTCTCCACTTCATATGTATCTGTATCCCCTCAGGCCTGTAAAAGTAATTTAGTACTACCTGGGTACTACACAACGAAAAGTTCATATTGCCTCGTGCAAAGTGTGCCGAGTACCTCGTAGGGGGCTCGCACCCAGATTGACCATCGCCGCCGACATCGTTTCGGGACAACAGTCAACCCGTCTCATCCACAAGGTGCCATCCAGGCCATCCACCTCACCCCAATTCGGCCAGGTAGGTAGCGGTAGCGTCCCACATAAATAATACCTCCTCGTAAGACCTGTCTCTATACGACTCGACGAGCGCCGCACCAGTGGATACCACGACGTTTCTCCGAGGACCTCCACTCGCACTCCCTACGGATCGATTCTTGACTGCTTCCAAACTCGACCGGGACAAGCTGGACGAAAGGGGTATTCGATCGGATAATCTCAAATAAAATCAGAGATGCGACGGCCTGCGGTGCGGTCCGGTTTGTGGTGGTTAGAGGTTAGGGCGGCCCCTAGGCCAATCCTACCCTTGTCACCTGTGAGGCTGGCAATGGTCAAAGGCTATTTGGAGATACCGAGTACGATTATGTACATCTCTCTCTTCTGTTTCAAATAGACGGAGCGCAGTCAAGTCGCGTGGTAGTATATATTCAGCACCAGTGCCGTGGCCCGTGGAAAGGTTCGAGTTGACAGACAAACAGGTGATCAATCTATCGGTCGTTATCGTTGGGAGGTGAAAAGGTGAAAAGGTGAAAAGGTCAAAGGCAGGGAGAGACAATGTCTTGGGTCGTCGAGGTATGTGTTTCTCGTCTCTTGTAATGATATTCCATGTCCATCCTTGTCTTTCCTCCTGTTCCTCCTTTTCTCCTTTCACGGTGTGATTCGGCATCCATGAATCAATGGGAGGGTGGTGAGGGAAGTGTTGGACAATGTACGAGAGATGTTGGCTGACTGGATGGATGTACGTATATGGGTGAATTATAGTACATGCTCGGCTTCCACAACTGGTGGAACAAGATCAACGCGGTCAAGGAGGACATTTTGAACCAGAAACTCGCCTTACTTCAGTCATCCTCTTCCTCTTCCACCACCTCGTCGACACACCAACAAAACCCGCCTCTCCTTCGACTCGGCATCCTCTCCGCCGCCGCCATCAACTACACCGCCATCTGGGACCCCGTCTCGACACACCCGGACGTGGTCATCACCGGTCTCGCGGCCCGGGACAAGGCGCGCGCAGAGGCCCAGATCGCGAGCAACAAACGCTTCTTGCCCTGCGAGTGCAAGGCCTACGGGTCGTACACGGCGCTGCTGGACGCCGACGATGTCGACGCCGTGTACATCGCCGCGCCGAACGGGTTGCATTACAAGTGGGCGCTCGAGGCGCTCGCGCGGGGCAAGCACGTCCTGGTCGAGAAGCCCATTGCATCCAACGCACGCCAGGCCCGAGAGTTGCGCGACGCCGCCGCCGCGGCCACGGCGAGATATGCACGCCGGATCGTCCTCCTCGAGGCCTTTCACTGGCGCTTCCACCCCAGCGTCCACGTGGTCAAGCAGCTCCTCCTGGACGGGCAGTACGGGCGTGTCCTCGGTGTGGACGCCCGCGCCATCCTCCCCGGCGGCGTGCTCGGCACGGACGACATCCGCTTCCAATACCGCCTGGGCGGCGGGTGCTGCATGGACCTGACGTACGTGTTCAGCGCCATCGCGTACTTTGCCGCCCGCGACGTCGCGGACCCGAACCTCGAGTTCGAGGTCGTCGACGCCAACGCCCGTCTGAACCGCTCGGACCCCTTGGTCGACGAGGCCGTCGAGGCGACGATCCGCATCAGAGATCCCAACCCTTACCCTCGCCCCGAAACCTACGCTAGCGAAAGCCCCAGCGACGGCAAACTACCCGCAGAGATCACAGCAACCCTGGCCGCCGACCTCGCGCAGCCCAAGCTCTTCGGCCTGATCCCCAAGCTCTGGGCCGTCAGCGCCCCGACCGTGACGATCCAGTGCGAACACGCCGAGATTGTCTTTGAGAATTTCATGGGGCCCTGGACCACGCATAAGATCTCCGTCGTGCCTGTGGCGCGTGACCCGGCTACTAATAAGATTGTCGAGCGAGGGGCAAGTCAGTCGGGTGTGTCGGGCGTGAAACCGGCGACGCTCAAGCAGTTCAAGGGCGGGCCGCTCTGGGATCGCGAGTTGAATTCCGCCTCGGAGGCAGCGAACAGTGGTGGTGGTGGTGGTGGTCAAGAGTGGTGGACCACCTACCGGTGGCAGCTCGAGGCGTTTGTCAGGATGATTCGCGACGGTCAGGACGACTCGGGTACTCACCGCTATAAAGGTCCCTGGGTCGACGTGGCCGAGAGCATTCGCGTCATGGAAATGATCGATAGCACCTATGAGAAGTTGGGGCTGCCGCTTCGGGGGGTGGAGGGAGATGGGTGAAGAGGTGGCCATGTAAAGGAATGAAGAGATGGACAGACTGGTGCATGAATGAATGAATAAATCCACAGCAAAAGGGACATGGATGCGGCTATGAAGATGGACAGATATGGACCCGTGATAGTGAGCTGCGGCTCTGTATGTCTATCTACATTGCTCCCGCCAACAAGGATATGTAGAAGGGAGGGACCGCAATCAGAGGGAAGGCATTTGTATTTCCAGCAACCTACATATCTGTAACACTCTGTTGCAATGGCCAAGTATCCGACCGAGCCTCCAATGGATACAGTATGGAGGTCATTCCTCGAATCCCTCGACTGACCCCAGACGACGAGCTTATACTTTCATGCTACACGAAACACAAACCACACATCAGCAACATTCTAACCAAAGGACTTTTCGACAACGTAAAATGGGACACGGCTCAGAAGTACCGGGACTTGGACACACAAAACTTACTTGATGTTGATCTGCTTGGGCTCCAGGTACGCCTTGAGCCCTTCTTCACCCAGCTCGCGGCCGCTGCCGGATTGCTTAACCCCTCCAAAGGGGGACTGGATCTCGGGTAAAAAGGGGCTGTTGATGGAGACGCCGCCGGTTTCGAGCGCAGATGCGACGCGCAGGCCGCGGGTGAGGGAGGCTGTGTAGATTGACGCTGTTTCCAAACCGTCAGTCTCTTCGTGCAGGAGACAAAATAAGAGGAGGATAGAGCGGACAAGGGGAGAAACATACAAGCCAACCCGTACGACGACTCATTCGCCAACGCAATTGCTTCCTCTTCCGTCTTGAACGTCTTGATGCTCATGACCGGTCCAAAGATCTCCTCGTCCCAAATCCGACTCCCCGGCTTAGGATTCACAAAGATGGTCGGCTCAATCAGGCACCCCTTGTCTCCCTTTCGGGACCCGCCGGTGAGTAGCTGAGCATCGCCCTTGCCGATATCAATATAACCCATCACACGATCATATTGAACCTTGTCGACTACCGGACCATGTGTCGTCGTTGGCTCCAGCGGATTGGCGCCCATGCCGGCCGAAACGGCCTCAAATTGCTGCTTGAGCGCCGCCTCGAATTTGGGCGCGAAGTCTTCCTGGACGAGAACCCGGGATGCCGCCACACAGATCTGTCCGGAGTTGACGAGGAAGCCCTGTCCCACGCCTCCGACCGCAGCTTCAAGCGGTGCGTCACTGAACACAATAGCTGGCGATTTGCCCCCTAGTTCGAGGGTTACCCGCTTCATGTTCGACTTCAACGCGGCTTGTTGTACCGCCTTGCCACCTCCAATCGAGCCGGTGAAGCTGATCTTTGAGATGTCCATATGCGAGGCTAGCAGCGCGCCAGTATTTCGTTCCCCAGTCACAAATTGAACAACTCCATCGGGAAAGCCTGCCTCTTTGTAGAGAGGAGCAAGGCCAAGGACTCCCAACGGTGATTTTTCTGATGCCTTGAAAATGAACGAGCAACCTGCTGCCAGGGCTGGTGCTATCTTCCAGCCGACGTAGAGAAAGGTGGCATTCCAGGACGCAATTCCGGCGCACACGCCCACAGGTTCGTAGCGGACGATCTTGTACACGCCGTTGTCCTCGGCGAACGTTTTGCCGGGGATTTTGTCTGCCCAGCCTGCATAGTAGCGGTACACGGAAACCATGTGAGGGAGGTCAAAGTGCTTAATCATGGAGAACGGGCGACCCGTAGGCAGAGACTCTAGACGAGCGAGTTTATCCAAGTTTTGCTCCACCAAGTCGGCGAATTTCAGCATACACGCTGCACGTTGGGCACCCGTGAAGCTCTTCCACGGGCCCTTCTTCGCCGCTGTGACGGAGGCCGCGACGGCGGCGTCAATGTCTGCACTGTTGGCCACATGGATATCTTCTGCCACAATGCTTTCATCCCAAGGATTCGTGAGGGTCAGGCGGTCTGAGCCTTTGGATGGGACGAAGGCCCCGTTGATGTAGAGTTTACCATTGTACTCGTCTGAAGAGAGAACCATTTTGATGATGGAGGAACTGTCCGATGCTGTTGCACGTCACGAAGTATCTGAGGAGGACTAAATCAGTGCAGCTGGAATCTTTGAAGGGCGGTTTTCTGATTAATATCTTCTTTTCTTCCGCAACCAACCTTTCCTGAATCCAGAAACAGAAACACGCATGTGCTTGCAACAGGCGCCTGAAGGTCGCTATGGCTTCTCCAGCTGTCAGCACTAGAACAATCACCAGCAACTACTTTGAGGTTTTCTGCGAGACTCTTCTCCTTCTCCACGGAGACCTGACTTCTTCAAACTGTAGCGGATGAAAGAGGTCGACGGTTTTCTCGGTCCGCCTGGCCATTGTCTCTGACCACATACGGCTTGTTTTGGGGGCCGATCCACCAGACTCATGCTGCCCGTGGACAGACAGCATCTCAGGCTGGAGCCAATTCCGCGAATGTTTGATTTGGCAAATGGGACTTCGGCAAACACTTGGCTCAAAAGCTCTTTCGCAACCAATCGTTTGCATTACCGCGTTGGCCTTTGTCGACTGGGGTTCGTACACGTGTAAAAGGTACGGGTTTTGTGCAGAGAGAGCAAAGTCATATTGCAGAAACGCGGAATCTAGACCTCGTCAGCTCCTGGGCCTCCGGTGCACAAGTTTGTAATCATTGTCAGCTCCGATGCTTCTTTAGTCTGCATGACTACCTCGCAGCGTAGTAGGCCAGTGAGTATAAGCAGCTCTCAAGTAGGAAGTCGGGAGCACCGCCGCAAGATGTGACGGCGAGCATAACTACAAGTATAGTGATGCAAGTGAGAGAGTTTTGGGACGTGACAGAAGGACTTGTTAAAGCCTCGTGAGCCTTGCTCAGTGGATTGGGAATGTGAGAGTCGATCAGATGAATGCCAAGGCTGGCGGAATTCGAGGCGTCTCTTATCGATAAGGACCACGTGAGGAGCTGGTGCGCTGTTGGGGTGGCTGTGGCATCGGTGCGACTTTGTCTGAACCCTGGAGTTGTTGATGCATGCTTCAAGTTCCCCATTAGATCGTTGAGAAGTGGCCCCGGGCCCTTTTGAGGGCATTCGTATCACGACCATGGTCTCCCCAGATCTAGCTGCAGCTCTGCAGTCGATTGCGAACAGCCCTGCTGCGTCCAGAAACCGCAAATACACTGACCTTCTTGCCCGACTGACGAGCGAGCATTCGACATCGCCTGAGCAATACGCTGCCGACTTGAATGCCTACTTCGACTCGTTGCTCTCTTCTTCCCTTGGGATTATCTCTATTCGCCCTCTGGTGGCTGGGCTCATCGACCGGCTCGCCACCGCTCCATCTGAGGTCAAAATCAAAGTTGGGTCACATGTCACTGAAGCCTTGCAGCCTCAGTTGGCCTCGTACGAAGAGCAGGATGCAAGAGTCAGAGAGATACTAGCGGACGGATATGAGGCAGAAGAGGAATACACCGCGGCTGCAAAAGCACTACAAGGTGTCCATCTCGAAACCACTCAGCGTCAGGTTTCCGAGCGAGCCAAAGTCGAGATATGGATTCGCATTGTGCGATACTATTTGGAGGATGATGACACTGTAGCGGCAGAAACGGCCTTGAACAAGATCAAGAACTCGGCCGCTGCGGCTCACGTCTTGAAGGACGCTCCTGACCTGAGACTACACTACCAGCTATCCCAGGCTCGTATCTTGGATTCTCGCCGAGACTTCCTCAATGCCTCGGCCGAGTATCTCAACGTGTCTTTCAACACAATGATAGCCGACGAAGAAAAACGACGAGCTCTGTCTGCAGCAATCAAAACAGCTATTCTTGCGCCCGCCGGACCCCAGAGAAGCCGGACTCTTGCTAAGTTGTACAAGGATGAGCGATCGCCAGAGACAGAGGAGTACGGCATCCTCGAGAATATGTTTTTGGATCGGCTCTTGTCAGCGACTGAAGTGGAGGCTTTCGCAGCGACATTGTCACCTCACCAACTTGCTAAGACCGCAGACGGGAGCACGGTTCTGAGCAGGGCTGTCGTTGAGCACAACCTCCTCGCTACCAGCCGACTCTACATCAACATCACCACGGCAGCGCTTGCACAGTTACTCGGTCTCAAGGATGGCAAGGAAGAGACTGCCGCTGAAAAAGCCGAAGACTATGCCGCCAAAATGATGGAACAGGGTAGACTGAGGGGCGAAATCGATCAGATTGCTGGCATCATCCATTTTGAGTCAGTTCCTGGTGTTGCTCTGAGAGGTCCACTGCGTGATCTCCGAGAATGGGACCAGGGAGTGCAAGGTCTGGTTGAAGATGTGGAGCGTTGCGCTGCAGGTATCAGTGAGAATTTCCCGGTAAGCCGATACGAAGCATTTTCGATAGGAGATTCACTTGCCGAGAGCAGCCGCTGACTCATATGATGCAGGATCTTGCAGCAGAACGTATGGTACATTGATACTGGAGGCTCAACACCTTACGTGCGTTGTTCTTTGTCAGATACACAACACCTTTAAATGCACATGACATGAGGATGCCTTGCAAGGCTCGACAGGGACAACAATAAGCCGCATAGTGTCGAACATCGGCTCACCTGGGCTCGACGGGACTCAAGTGCCGAGGAGGTCGGTTTGCTTGACAGGGTCCGTCAAAGACAGTCAAAGGATACGAAACACGGTATGCACTTGATGGTGATCGAGGCAAGAGCGGGAGATCCTTCTGAACGATACTGATGTCTCGCCCTCGCCCTCGCCCTCCCCGTATCGCCGAATGAACCGTGGGGCGTCCGTCCAACATATTGGGGTAAAGATGGACTGGTACAGAAGTAACCATTCCTGAAGTGGATGGACCGGGTGTTGTCATCGGATGAGGACTTTTAGGAGGGAACCACGGAATTGGGAAAGACGAATCGCCATAGCTTGCCGCTGTAGTGCATCTTTCGAGGGCGCGAGATGGACAATACTCGGCGACCAACGAGGGTGAGGGGAATGGGCTTGACCACCCCCAGTTAGGTGACACAATGGCGGGGTACAGGCTGCTGGGAGGGTGGGAGGCCTCTGGGCACTGCTAGGCGTCGCAAGGGTCCCCGCTGCCGACCTGCTGAGAGCCTGCGAGGCCCGCTAAGCACTACTCTAGTATCTTTAGATGCGCCCTGCAGCTTCGTCCAATCAATCGTCCGCAAATCTCAGCTCTCACTTCCCGACTTCAACTTCCGTTCTCTACACCTTCGACCCGTCTACCATCGCCGCTATCCAGGTTGGCCACCGACTCGCTACTTTGTGTGGGCACCAATACCCTCCCTTGATCTGACTGATTCTACATGCAGTATGCATTTCGGTCCCGGGCATTGCCTCTAGACTCTTCGATCTCAACGGCACAACCTTGAGGTTATATAATCTTGTTCTCTCCTCTCTCTAGTCTACAAGATCACCATCCGTCACCCTTTGTCTTGTTTGAATCGGTATCTTCTCCCAGAAACCGCACTCGGAACCGTTGTAAACAGTCGGACAGCATCGCCAGAATGTTTGTGGCATCGCTCCTCTCGCCTTGGGCCCTTCTTCTCCTACCAGTCCTATACTACATCCTTCCATATCTCCGAAACTGGGCTCTTTTAAAGGTCCCTGGCCCTCTCCCAGCCGCCCTCTCGAATCTATGGTTGATGTACCAATGTCGGCGAGGGCGAAGATATCAGACTGTCGACGACCTGCACAAGAAATACGGCAAGGTCGTGCGTATCCAACCAAATCATGTCTCAATTGCCGACGACAGTGCCATCAACACTATTTACGGCCATGGTAACGGATTCCTTAAGAGGTAAGCTAAGAGCATCATCCTGGATGGACAGCCGCATTTGGTTTCAATACAGTCTAACATGTCCAATTTAAGTGAATACTATGACGCTTTCGTATCCATTCGTCGTGGCCTGTTCAACACTCGCGACCGGGCAGAGCACACTCGCAAGCGCAAAGTCGTCTCTCACACCTTCTCTGCCAAGTCCATTGGCCAATTCGAACAGTACATCCACGCCAACCTGGAGCTGTTTGTGCAAAAGTGGAGGAATCTTTCTAACAACAAGAAGAATCCGCAAACCGGCTATGCTTCGATTGATTCTCTTCACTGGTTCAACTACCTCGCCTTTGACATTATTGGCGACCTTGCGTTTGGGCAGCCATTCGGCATGCTGGAGAAGGAGAAGGATATTGCAGAGATCCGCAAGTCCCTCGATGCTCCACCTACTACTGCCCCAGCCATCGAAGTCTTGAATCGTCGAGGTGAGGTGTCAGGCACACTGGGCTGCCTACCGCAATTGAAACCTTACGCCAAATACCTCCCTGACCCATTCTTCAGCCAAGGCGTCGAAGCGGTGGAAAATCTCGCAGGTATCGCCATTGCGCGAGTCAAGCAGCGACTGGACAATCCCAATACTGATCGAGTGGACCTTCTCGCTCGTCTTATGGAAGGCAAGGACGCCAATGGTGAAAAGCTCGGACGCGAAGAACTGACCGCCGAGGCCCTCACGCAACTCATTGCGGGATCCGATACCACGTCCAATACCGCCTGTGCGATCTTGTACTATGTTGTACGCACCCCGGGTGTGCTCGAGAAATTGCAAAAAGAACTTGACGCAAACATTGGCCCGGGTGTCCCCCAGTACGAGCAAGTCAGGGATCTCGAGTATGTGCAATGGGTGATTAATGAGACCATGCGGATCCACTCCACCTCGTCGCTGGGTCTTCCCCGTCTCACGCCCCTGCCGACACCTGACCATCCAAATCCCAAACCTGTCGAAATCCTAGGCTACACTTTCCCTCCCGGCACTGCTCTGTCCGTTCCCTCATATACGATCCATCACTCCAAGGAAATTTGGGGTCCTGACGCCGACGAATTCGTCCCTGAGCGCTGGTCGGAAAAGCGACTTACGCCGCGACAAAAGGAGGCCTTTATCCCCTTCTCGGTCGGACCCAGGGCGTGTGTCGGCAGGAACGTAGCCGAAATGGAACTGAAATGCATGGTCGCATCAGTATTCAGGAACTTTGAGTTCCGAGACGAGCACGAGGGCCCGCTACAGACAAGGGAGGGCTTCCTCAGAAAACCTTTGGGATTTAACGTCGGCATTCGTGTGAGGGCCAATGCTTGAAGGAGTCCTGTCCAAGCTCTCCCTAATTGATGAGAAGGAAGAATGTCCCGTTGTGCGTGATGTCACCTCGGATTTGAGTGTTTTGGGAGGTTGTATTCAATTGTTGACTTTTCTATGCATTATCTTGGTGATTCCGGGGTCTTACATTACCTATTACTCTTTCACTGTGGAGAGTGGAGATTGCGAGTTGGTCGAGCTCGAGGGTGGAAATCTCAACACCGCCCGCCCCCTTGACATGAAAAACGGATGCGATGACGATGACGACGACGAAGCATGAACCGGTACACACTATGGATTGAGATTGAGATTGATATTGAGACCCAAGTGGCAGGAATATTCTACTACGGTACGAGGTACATAACATATTGGCGATTGCGGAAGCTGGGCTGCTGCATTTAGTTACGGCGGAAGTAAGCATCGCTTGGAACAAGGACGCAATGGGCACAGAGCAGCAGCAGCTTTCGATATCTGCAACTGCTTTTTGGAATCTCGTCGAACAAGAAAAGCTGAAAACTTGAATAATGTTCGATTTCTGACTATCGTTTACCCTGTCCTTCTGGAAAACTCAAAACAAGCCTTTCTTTCCATTAACTCTCGTACATGTCTATGTCATACATGTCATACAAAATTGAGTACGTAGGTACATATGTGGGTATCATTCAATTTCTATCTCTAATCTTTTTTTAAAATAGGACATAAAAACAATGTACATGACATATCAGATGCTGACTGGATCGTGCTCGCCTCCTAACCAAACTCTCTGTATAATAACAAAAAAGCGATGCCCGGATAGTATAAACTGCGCTGTTGGGCGTATAACAGTTTTGAAAACCCCGAGGAAGGAAAAGAGACAAAAGTTATAATATTGAAAATGTTGTCCCATTGCATGGCCGGTAGGAAAGGCCCTGGTCGTTGATATAGATTCATCGTCGCGTCAGGTCAGGCCATTACGGGAAACTCGGGCCGGTGGAGGTTGGCATGACTGAATTCCAGGGTCGGGCTTAGTCTTAAGGTGGACGGGTAGGCTGTAACGTCTCCTGTCGACCGAGGAGAAGGAGAAGACGAAGGGGTGGAACAAGATGATAAGTCGCTGAGGATCGAGCATGTCAGAAAACAAGCCGTTCAGAGAATTCAGACTCTTTATAGCTTCGCCTTCAGCTTCTGAGGATCCTCATTGACCTTGTTCTCGTCCACAGCCACAACGACCAGGACGGCAATGTCGTCCACCTTCCCGCCATGCCAGGGGTCGTAAGGAAACTGCTTCTGCATCTCCTTGGCAAACGGGCCATCTCGTTTGGCGTTAAGGCTGGCGTTCTTTGCTTCCCCGACAATCGCCGCGGCCAGCACGCTCTGCAAGGTGCCGGTCGCGAGAGGCAATTGTTGGACGGAACTGTCAACGGTATCCGAAATTCGAAGCTTATGCTTGTGGGGAGCGAGTTGCTGATCCACCAGCTCAGAGAGGACTGGCGAGACTGTGTAGCCTTGGTCCTTGGTTCTCAGCCAGGCACCAGTAGTCCGCATGTGTAAGGACACAATAGACAATATATCTTGGGAGTTGAGATTGTCCCATACACCGTCCGTCGCCAGCACAAGGACGTCACCATGCCGAAGCATATGGTCCGCTAAGTCCGCGCGTTCCGGCTTGTCGTTCAGAGGCAAGCCACCAAAGATCATGGCTTGGGCCAGAATGTCAGGCGGAGTGAGGCTCATCTGATAAGGAGTATTGAAAGCGTGAGTCTGTGGGATCGAATAATGTTGCACTGCTCCTAGCCGCAATTGCAGAAAGCCTGAGTCACCCAGATTTGCGATTCGCATGCGGCCATCTCCTTCTGTCACCGCAACACAGGCCGTTGTCCCGCCAGCGTGGATTGTAGGATCCCTTATCGTTTTCTCATAGCCTATCTCGAGAAGTTGTTTAGGGCCAAGCCGCTCTTTCAATGACCAAGAGAGAGTGGTCTCTGCCATGTAGCTACACAAGCCGTGAGAGAAGTCAGCTGGGTCAATTCCGTGCTCGGACCAGCCACCGACGCCGTCCGCAATGGCGAATGCCGTCGTCGTGGGGTCCTTTCCAACACGAGCGACAAAGTATGCATCCTGCCCGCTGTCAGGCCGTCGGATCCTCTTCTCCTCGAGCGTGGAACCACGTTGAAGACCCAACCCATCATCGTCGCTCGGAACGTACTCGTATGTGCTCAGTTCTGGACGGAATTTTCTACCTTTCCCGCTCGAAGACGCCGCGATGTGTAGTGAAATATGCGGGATGGCGGAATTAGACATGCTGGAGGAGGTAGAAGGGACAGTGGCTGCACGGCGCGGCGATGAGTGCAGGTTCCTCGCGTTGAACCTATAAGGATCGAGACTTCGACGGATATTTTGGTGGAGGTCTAAAAAGACACGGTAAGCAAGGGCTGGATCGTGGCGAGAGGATTTGCCCGCACGGTGACTTAGGTGTGAAGGAGTAAATATCAGAGACCGAGCAAGGAAGGTCGGTGCTGAGCGGATGGGACCAGCTGCAGTGGACATGATGCTTTGTTCGCAGGGTTATAGGAGCAGGTGAAGGATATCCCCGCGGATTCGGGCATTCGAAATTGTAGACATGGGACGAATCTTCTGCTGGTATCGTGTAATATTCAAACGAAAGGAGTCTCAATCGATCAAAGAGCGGGATCAGAGTAGTGAGCGCGGGGTGGTTATCAAACTGTTCAAGATAAATTTCCTTTTTGATGTCGCGATGCATATCAGGCGGTTAAAGTTCGGAAATCGCGTCAAAATATATTCTGACGTCCAATGGACCTCAGCAGGCACCATTAACCCAGTTCATGCTGCTTCGCACTCCAGGATAGAGTGCCACAGACTGACACATGATAGCTGACCAAACGAGATCTTGGTGGCCTCGCCTCCGCATTTGTGTCTCCGGCAAGAATGGATCAGCTCAAGTACCTCGTCGCTGCAGGCGGTGCGCGGCGTTGTGCGAGGTAGAAGTCGACGACTGAGAGCGCAGGCTGAGACTATGCACGACTCATTTGACTGAGCAGTCAATCCCATGAAGGTGACTTGCTAAGAAGACCCAACCATAGTCGTGATGTTTCCAGATGCGGACTGCCTCTAATGTTTGCTACGAAGAACGAATTGGCCAGGCAGAGTACTTGGCATTGCAGAGGTGAAAGCCACACGCGTTCTCTTGTGTAACCTTCCTAAATGCACTTCTATTTCTGCTGTTTGGCTGGAGTCACTTTTGAAAGAGATTCAGCTGCTCCTTACTTGAACAGAAGCAACCAACTCGGCCAAAGAAGACTGACTCCAGTTCTCATAGACCATCATGAACACTCACGATGTCTCAGATGTTCCACAGTATTTCGAGTTCCTGCGTCGGCAGAGGCAGAGTCTCCAAGAGGCACAATCTCGTAAAGGACAACGCCCTCAAGCAAGACGATCCAGGGAAGAAATCACAGTGAGGTTCAGATTCAGTCTCATGATGGGGACAGCTGGACCGGGCTCCTACGACAAGTTCAACCTACGATCCTCATTCATCCCTCCAGCTTATCCTCCCTGCACCAGTGCCTTAGCCGAACTGAAGAAAACGATGATCAAAGATCTTCTCCTGGAAACACACCACAGAGGCACTTATCTACTATTGAGGTCAATTACCCCACCAGCCAAGATGAATGCGATTATGACCATCGTGGAAGACGAAAGCCAGGATGTTGTCATGTTGCAGCTGTACTATCAAGAGGGAGAGAATGACTGCAAGATTGAGGACATCGCTGGAGAGGGCACGATCCTGATTGTGCGAGAACCATACTTCAAGTTAATGTCGGATGGAGAGTATGGACTCCGCGTTGACCATCTCTCGGATGTGACATATCTCCCAGCATACGATCAGAGAGTCCCAAATCATTGGCAGAAAGATATCATCGTGGGTAGCGCCTCGGTCGACGATTGGAAGATCAAGGGAAACGACTTCTACAGAGGTTCTAAGTATAGAGCTGCTATTGAATGGTGAATTTCCATCGGATCCTCTCCGGTACTTCGAAATATGTTAACGTTTCAGCAGCTACACGAAAGCCCTCGATTGTTCTCCAACAGAAGACAAATCTGGTACCATCAAGATCAATCGAGCTCTCGCCTACATCAAGACGAAGCAGTTCGAAGCCGCGCTCTTCGATCTGGAATATGAAACATTTCCTCAAAAGCCAAACGAGAAAGCTCTCTTCAGTAAAGCACTAGCATTGTACCACCTCCAGAGATATCGAGAATGTCGTGAGGTTCTCAAAACTGTCCTTGTGAACTATCCTGGTAATGCACCGGCGAAAACAAAACTCACTCATACCATACGACGGCTTGCAGAGCAAGAAAGCGGGAAATACAACCTCAAGGGCTTGCAAACGGAGGCCGCTAAACTGCGACCGCCGCAGCTGGATCATGCTACATTTTCAGGTCCGGTTGCCATCAGAACTTCAAATGGTCGGGGACGCGGTCTCTTTACCACAAGAGCAGTCAAGGCTGGCGAGCTTCTTTTGTGTGAGAAAGCATTCGCGTATGCCTTTGATGACTCTCAGAAAGCAACGGCGGGGGGCAATTCGACTATCTTGATCAACGCAGAAACTAACTCCATAACTATTGGGGCTCAGGCGGAACTCATACAATTGATCGTTCAAAAGATGTATCGGAACCCGTCCTCGGCGACAACGATCACCAATCTTCATCACGGCTCATATCAACCTGTCAAGATTACTGAGGTCGATGGCACACCGGTGGTTGATACGTGAGAGAATCATCCTTTTGTTACTGACTCACACGTGCTGACTTGCTATCCCAGATTCCTCGTTACACGCATCATAAGCTTGAACTGCTTCGGATGTCCACTCTCGTCTCGCGCGACCCATCGACGTCTTTTGGAGGGTAAGGAAAGACAGAGGACTCATATCGATGACGATCAATTCCACTCTTGCGGGATTTGGGCGATGGCATCATACATAAACCACTGCTGCTACAGTAACTCCAGACGGTCTTTTATCGGCGATATGATGCTGGTTCGCGCAACGCAAGACCTTGCTGCTGACACAGAGATCACATTCTGGTACCACTTGCCTGGCGTCAATGACTACGACGAGCGACGGAAAAAGTTCCAACATTGGGGTTTCATGTGCGACTGTGCCATGTGCCAGGATGAAAAGGCCACGAAGAAGAGTGTCTGGGCAAAAAGAACCAAGTTGAGGGCAGACGTTCTGAAGCACTTCAAATCTGACAGCAAAGCGAATATACCTCAGATTGAAACCGTCCTCGCCGAACTTGTTGCTACATATCCTCGACCGGCTTCTGATGTGCCTCGTCTCAGTGTGTGGGATGTCCATTTGGGCCTCGCAAAGATGTGTCTCGCGCATCGGCAACCAGTCCAAGCCGTCGAATCGGGGGTGAGCGCTCTGGAATCTCTCGGCTATGTGATAGAAGGAGGAAGGCTGCCGCACATCCTGGGCACGCCTCTGGTCGTCAAGAAATGGGGTCTGATGCAGGACCACCTTGTCGAGTGCTGGATGGTCCTCGCGAGGGCTTACAGCCTGGTGGCTCCCGATCTCGAGGTTCTAGCGATCGAGTACGCTAGGACTTCATACAAGATTTGCGTGGGTGAAGACGACAGTTTTGACGAAACATACGGCAGGATATTCAGGGGCGACTAGCGTCAGGCAAAACTGGGTGAATGAGTCGCAATGATGCTATCTGCTGTTCGTGGCCCTATGGAAAGAAAAACGTCGGAAGCAGTTTCTCAATAGTCGATGTGTAAGGAGTCACTTGGCTATCTCCTGTCAGAGTCAATCAAGAACAAAGTCATGTTTTCAATAGAGTGATCTCCCAGGTAGTTCATCCTCGCTCTTTGAGAGCAACGCATCTCGCAAGAACTATTACATCCACTCTGACCACTCAGAAAGCTCTCACATACACAGGCATCCTTGTTGATTGTTACACAGCGCCAAAAGCCCTCCCACTCAGCCAAAACAAAAACGCTGCATATCCCAGCTTCAACATAGAAGTCGTCGCAAAATTTGGTGTTTCAATTCCACCTCCCATATTAACCCCCGTCCCACAAATCTTGATACAGTCTCGAGACAAACACCAGCCATTGTTTCCTCGGGCCTTGCCTCTAAAATTACAGAACAACTCAGCTTGTCGACTTTGTGGTCCCTTCTTCGGCGGTCGGTGTGAGTCAAGATTCCCGGCAGACCAATCCGATCAAAATTGTCAAAAGTTCTTGCACCGTAAAAGGGCCAAAGTCCATCCCTAGATTTGCAACTTGATACTCTTTTCAATGTCGTAAAAGGTACTCATAGACGGCTGATCGCATTTGTTGGTCGCCACGTGCTGGCACAGAGCACTCGCGAAGCGGAAGTCGGTTGCACAGTCGGGACACTGATATCGCTTGTCGTCGTACCAGTGATTGACATAGGCGCCGCATCTCTCGTAAGTCTCGAAGATATAGTTGTCGACATCGTCCCTATCAATCCCACTCACACAGTTGCCCGATTCCAGATGGATCATCATGGCAGCGAATTCCGAAAACATGCGGTTGCAGCCGAGGCACTCGATCTCCAAAGGGAGATGGCTTCGCTTGTGCTATTCAATTGCCTTTCATGTCAGCTCATCCTCGACTGGGACAGCACACGCCGAAGAATCTCGGATAACAGACCTGTGTCAGATCATTGGGGTTGTTGAAGTATTTGCCACATTCCGTACACATGTTGTGGACAGCAATGTCATGAGAGTTGAGACGGGCCGGACTGCGGAAATACGTGTTGCACGGCGCGCACATGTTGTGGACTTCAACGTCGTGCGATCTGAGCAGCGCGTGGGTATCAAAGTCCAGGTCGCAAGGCACACAGACGTTATGCCGGTGGGAATTGTCCACATGATACTGGCATGCCTGAGGTGAGACGAATAACCACTTGCACCGCTCGCACCACTCTCCTCGGTGGGCGTCGGCATTGCGGCAGTGATTCAGACCTCCATCAAGTGAAATGAACACCCGATCGCAGGGACTACAATAACTGACATTCTTTTCGGGGTTGGATACAAGCTGGTTTTCCCTAACCATGATGATGGCAGCATTTACCGGGTGTCTCTTGAAGGAGAGTCGCTGTCCTTGAAGAGAGTGGGGTCGGAGGAAGTGAAGCTCTCCCCTCCTCCAAAGAGGGTGGTTGCCTAGGCACACACTAGCTTGGAATGGTGGCTGCTGCAAACGCCGCCAACGAGGCTGGGCAGTTTTGTTGCTGTCTCGTCCTCCAACTCTCAGAGAGAGGGTTGGCCAAAGACCTTGGGAGGACAATGCTATACTTTCTGACGTATATTTCAGAAACTTATCATCTGCGATTGAGAGCTAGGTCAGAAGTGGAGCTGTGTTATTGTGTTGGATCAAACTCAAGTAATTCTGACTTTTATCAGCCTCGTTGCATGGAGTTGTAGCCTTGTGGGAACTTGAGTGCGGGGAAATGCGCGTGGCTTACTTCATTCCTGGTCGCTTACTAGGCACACAGTGACCGCAGTCCACTGAGGGGCTCCCAAAGGAACGGAGGCTCCAGCTTTTTAGGTGTTCGGAACAACCTCTATCATCCACTCACTTCTCGAGCTATATCAAGCCTCAGAAAGACGTCATACGCGTTTTCAAAGTTTCCCTCACCACCCTCCGACATAATAAACCTGTATACGTCCGATTTTGTCTGAGAGTAAACAGCTCCCATCTCCCACCATGGCCGCCCAAGTGCCAGCTGCGCTGAAGACAGCCGACATTACCCGCTTCGCCCACCGCGCAGCGCAGCTCGAGAAGCCCAAACCTATCATGGCATACTGGTGTACGGCTCAGCCTTCAGATTTCAAGCGAAGGTTAACCTGTTCATAGGCGAATACTGGATCGTCAACCAAATTTTATCCAAAGGCCTACACAATGCGGACGAAGAGAGCCTAGTCTATACGACAACATTGATGGACAAGCTCGAAAAGGTGTGTGTCCTTGCGATGCTTTGATTGGGAACCCTTGCTTATACTGCGCCATAGTTTAAAGCTGAACATGTCCAAGAACCTGCGGTGACCGACGACGTGGTGGGGAAAACATACGTGGAACAATTTGGGCTGGAAACCTTCGAAAGAGCAGACAATGCGGTGCGCGCAAACAAGGCCTCCAGGCAGACGGCAGACACCTTCCAAGCTTCGGCCACCTTTCTCGATCTGCTTCAGATTTGGGGTCCCGTGGAACCCGAAATCGCCGCCAAAATCAAGTTCGCAAAGTACCATGCCTTGAGAATAGCGAAAGCTCTGAAAGCGGGAGAAGATCCAAATTTGTCCAACCCCAAACCACAAACTCCGAGTGAGGAGGCTCCCCCGGCGCTGGACCCGGACGATGCGGAAGTAAAGGCGATAGAAGGAGGTAGGGACGGCACCAGACCAAGACAGCCCTCTGTTGTTGAAATACCCGACGAGGCCGACAAGATTCAGAGAAGCCTTGCGCAGCGGTCGCTGCTCGATGAATCCTTACATCCCTCCCGAGACACATCAATGCCACCTCCGGCCACCAAGCAACCGTCGATTACTGACGTTCTTAATGAGGCAGATCGAATACAAAGCGAGCTTGCTCGTCAGTCATCTATCGACCAGTCCCTGCATCCTTCGAGAGCACCTTCTGCTCCACTGGGGAGCGACGTGTCTCCTTTGCCAGAACAAGATCCTGCTGCATTCTATACAAATCAGACCGACACAGCTGATATTTCGCCGCTAGAGCCTCCTTCTGAGCGAAAGCCTTCGATAGGAGGAAACTACTTCCCTGTGGTACCATCAGAACCGGCAGAACCAGCCCTCCCGTCACCGCCAACAACGGTGGGCGATGCTGCCCTAGACCTGCCCGCCGCACCTTCAGGACTTGGAAAAGTCAACACCGATATTCCTCCCGCACCGTCTGAACCCTCTCTTACATCCGCACGGAGCGAGCTCGGCGCCGCTCTCAACCTGCCTACCCGTCACCAATCTCCTCCTCTTCCGCCTCACCGCCACGGTACTCCTCTCCTACCAGCTCCAATCGATTCATCCCACCAGATTCCTCCCAATTTCCAACCACAAGTCCCACCACCTCAACTTCCAGTCAATCCACCACAGATTCGACAAGCGCGTGGCCCCGTACCACCTATTCCCCATCAACAGCAAACCCCAGCTTCCATAGCAGCGCCGTCGCCGATTCATCCTACCCGGATAGCGGCAGTCTCATCCCCACAGCCTCAACCAGTTAGCGTTGAGGTTGACGAGGAGGCGATCTTGAAGGCGCAGAAGCACGCCAGGTGGGCGATTTCTGCGTTGAACTTTGAGGATGTCCCAACTGCAATTCAGGAGCTGAGAGGTGCATTGGCCTCTCTGGGTGGTCTTTGATCGCGGCATACGGTGGAATCCCTGTGTTATTATAAGCTGCATCCCGCACCGAACGTCCGGGAAGTTGGAAAGCCGGAATATTTATACCCAGAGCACACAGCAAGATGTATAAATAAGCGTCAAAGCGAGAGTCTCCTGTACCATGTATACCGTTGACGTTGAAAGGCATGAGAAATCAAATTAAGATCAGAACAAAACCCCCACGTCGACTTTCCCTCCTTCGATCCCTCCGCTTTATAGACGCACGCGACCACGAAATATACATATACATGGTCCCCACGCCGGCCTTGACAGGTAGACCATAAAAAGGCATATAGACTTTCGAAGGAAATGGTATTTTTGTAGGGGAGATAGGAACGAGCCAATATGTACCTGACCCACCCCAAGGGGCTCTCTGTCCGTTTTCTTTATCTGGGTCCTGTTCTACTTTTCCTTTAATGCTCTCTCCTTTTTTTGGTCTGGTGGTTTGGTTTGATCTGGGTTTGGTCTGGGTTGATCAACTGACTAACTAACTAACCCCTCTCCCAAAGTATTTGGTGTTTTGTCTCGTCGTGATTTCGTAAGAGGGTAGAAAAGAGTTCATACACGGGGGAAAAGGGCGGGAAGATGTTGAAATGAATGTGCCCAGATGAAAGAACCAGATGTCATGTCTGCTGCTCGATACTTGACCGATCTTTCTTGAGGTCATGTTTTCCACTCGTGGTGGGAGTAAATATCAGCACAGTGCGACCACTCCGGTTCGTGAGCGCAGTTGCAGGGCTTCGCGTCGTCCCGTGTGAAACTTCATATCCAGGTGGAAATGGGAAGGCTTGTGATGGTGGTGGGACGGGACCCGAGCAACTCAACCACCAAAGCTCAGTCAAACAAATCTCCCGCTCGCCTCCTCACTCGCTTCTCCCTGACCGGTTCGTCGAAGAGCTCTTTTCCTTCGTTCCTCCCGCTGCTCCGATTGTACTGATTGGGGAATAATTCCTTCACTTCCAGAGCACGACCCTTGATACTCAGCCCTCCTGAGCCTTTGATGCTGAACCCGCTTCCGGTACCTGAGCCCTCGGATGATCCCTTGATGGAGAGGCCGCTAGCATTCCCGCCACTCGACGGGAATAATTCCACTCCTGCGTTTGAGGCCCCATTCCTCATTGATTTGGTGCTGTCGATTGAGATGCTCTTTCTGGCAAATCTCTCGGCGAGATTCTCCTCATTTTTGGCGTCCATGGCGTGGCTCCTGCGGTGATTTGAGCGAGGGGAGGTTTGCGCGGCGGACAGAAGATCAGCCTTCAGCCGTTTCGCTGCGGCGGCATTGGCCCGATTTTGTGTGGCATCGATGGTCGGTCTAGGTGCTGCTGGAGCTGGATCGGTCGACATTGAGGTGTCTGCATCCGAAGTTTTGTTGGGAAACAGCTCGAGTTTATCGGATCGGAGACCACCACCCGTCTTGTTGTCTGGGGTGGATGCTCCGAATAGCTCTTTTCCTGCGTTGGAGCGCACGCGGTCACCACGATCACGATAGCCTCTCCGTCGAGTCCGTCCATCATCATCCGAATCCGAGATTTCGATGTCATCGCTGCCACGCATGCGCGTGCCTGGACTAGCGCTCCGTCGTCTCGCTTTCGTGGCGCGTGGAAAAAGATCTCGACCTCTTGCTTTATTGATCTCTGTGTCTGTCGTAGGTGCATCGTCGTACATACTAGCCGAAAAACCTCCCGCATCATCACCATTTGCGCGGTCATTATCTCTCCTTCGCCTATGGAGTTCGCGGTCGTCAAATTTTCTGCGCCGATAGTCTCCGCGACTATTCTCGAACTCTTTCCGCATTCGTTCCGTGGGATCTTGGTCCGGGTGCATGAGGTAGTATCTGCTTGCATCTCTAGCACCTTTCTTCTTCCTGTCACCTTGCTGAGCGACGCGAACCACAAGCATACTTCCCGGCCGGCTGGCCAATTGTTTCGTGGCGCGCAATTCGAACGGGCTATTCGTCAATTCTTCGACCGTGACCGAGTTCGCGAGGAATGCCAGCTGCGCTCGTTTTGCGGTATCACTGTCATTGAAGCAAATGTTCGCAGAGGTATCGTCGATCCATTGGACATGAACGCTGTCGCCGACTTCACTAAAGTGGTCGTGTACAAAGGCAAGAATGTCACTTGTGTGCATTTCGTCAACACCACGAATGTGGACTTTGTTCCATTGCGGTTCGAGGGCGGGGTCTTCGGTGTAGATGGCTGGGATGATATTCGAGGAGTCGGTGGCAGCGGGTGCGCCAGAGGGGACAAACGACGGTTCTTCGCCTTCCTGTATGGATGATAAGTATGGGAACATGCATTCCAGCGTGGTGAGGGAGATATGCGAATCATCGTACTTCGAGCTCAAACTCATCATCAAGAGGTGGGCCTTGATCATCCATATCCATGTCGATGTCGATGTCCATCAGATCGGCGTCCTGCGCCGATGTGGCCATTGTTGGTTGCATAGCCAAAGCCATGTCTCGAATGAAAGGCCTTCCGGGGGTTTGGAAGTGGCAGATCCAGACAGTAGACTGTCTAAATAGGGTGATTGATGTCTGAAGAAAGGCTTAAATGAGATCGAACATTCTTCAGAGTGACGAAGCGAGGCTGTCGCATCCGAGTATTGTGAACAAGCTCCCAGCCGAGTAAGTGGTGAAATCTGACCCGATGTGAATTTGAAAATGACGTAAATGGCAGAATCGGGATATGAGTGTCATATAATACAGATGGGAATCAAGGTTAGAGGAAGGTGACGGCAGGCGCAGAGACAGAGAGACAGTGGTTGATATTACATGGTGGGAAAACGCGAGGCTCAGACCAGCTTCAAGGCTCAAAGTCACGGCGACATCATTTCTTGTCCGACACCCGAGTTCGGACGAATATGACGCTGCTTTAGTGGGTGTCTCCTCACTAGTATCACTCCGCATTTTCCTCCCCGCCGCCGAGCCGATGACCGGCGACTTGAGAGGAGCAAATGATTTGGTCTGACACACATTTCTCGATCCATATACGGCCAGTTCCCACGTTATCACTATATTTATTTCCGTCAGACAGGTCGTTATATTCTCCATCAACGCCGTGTCTCGCTCTGAGCACGCAAGGAGGATGGCGAACCTCGGGTGGTGCATCACTATATATATCTAGGCAAGCTGGGTTTGCGGCAAGGCTCTTCGAAGAAGAGATCGCACCTATCCAGATATCATCGCCCCAGTTTGTTTTGATCGTCTCGCACGATGAATGCCACTACAGCTTTGAGGCTGGTCCGCCCGTCTCGCCCTACTCTACGCAATGTCCTTCCTTCTTTTCTAAATGCCCCAACCAAGAGAAATATCTCGATACAGCGAGTGGCCGGATCACTGGGCGCCGAAATCCACGACGTTGATCTCGCCAAACTCTCGGAAAACCCAGGTGTTGTCAAGGAGATCCGAGAGGCTCTTCTGCAACATCAAGTCATATTCTTTCGCAACCAGAACTTGGAACCCAAAGAATACCTCGATTTCACCGCTCACTTTGGCAAACCCGTCGAATACCCCTTTGTCCGCGGCATTGACGGCTACCCCGAAATCATCCAAGTCCTCAAACAAGAACACGAGGTCATCAACTTCGGAGGAATCTGGCATTCGGACACCTCCTACTTTGAAAACCCACCGATGGGGTCGGTGTTGATGGCCAAAGAAGTCCCCCCGTACGGTGGCGACACGTTGTTCGCGAATCAATACGCAGCATACGAGTCTCTGTCCGAAGGACTCAAGCAGACGCTTTTGCCCTTGAAGGCCGTGAGCACCTCAGCCAAAGCCGACGCCAGCAAAACCCGCGAAGACCGCATCCGTGACTCGGGAAACGCAGCGGCAGCGTCCTCGCTGGAAGCACTTCACCCCGTCGTCCGAACACATCCCGAAACCGGCAGGAAGGCCCTCTACGTCAACGTCGCCCATACCTCACATTTCGAGGGTTGGACAGAGGACGAGTCCGCGCCGCTCCTGCAGTTCCTGTTCCAACACCAGGTCAAGCCGGAGTTCACGTGCCGGTTCCGCTGGCAAGTGGGCAGCATCGCCTTTTGGGACAATCGATGCGCGCAGCATAATCCGATCAACGACTATCATGGATTCCGACGAAGGATGCTGAGGATCACTCTGGAGGGTGATCGACCTGTATAGGGTGCAAAAAAGGGTTGTTGCTGAGCGCTTTGAATTTCGTCTGAAGATACTTTGTTTCCCACCATTCCCAAGTGACCTCACATCTAATGAGTGCACACAAGAAAGCCACTGTTCGTGCATTAGATCGAGGTACATATATCCAAAGCATGTTCGTTAGCCAAAGTATTCCGTTGCTCAATGATCCTGCAGAGCTTTCCAATGCAAACCGGGCCAACTGTGGCTGACGCCCACCAAACACGCTCGGTACGTAACTATTTGCGCCTTTTCATTCATTGAAACTCAGAGCCCACAATGTCTTTTCTCGCAGCTCAACATGCTGCCTTCTGATACCAGTTGATACATTTGTCGTTGGAATAAGAGATATGCAGCGCCGACTGGCCTTTCTCCAACCAACACAAACTTTGTGTGATGGCCTCACACCGCCGTCACGGTACCGGCTACCACAGAACCTGGCCTCCACTCATCATCACTGTCGTCTCGGTCTTTTAGTTTGCGAGGGGTACTTGAGTGAACCGGTCCCTCGTTGTCGCTGTCAAGGGTGTACTCCGATGCGTCTTCATCGGTCCAGGACTCCGGAGAGCGTCGACGTCTGGTGCTGCGAGGTTTCTGGTGGGAAGAAGAGGCTCGAGTGGTCCTGCGGCGTTGTGACAGCAAGGAAGAAGACTCCGACTTGGATCTCCTGCCTTGCTTCGAAGTCGCCAGTGGTGCTGACTTATTTCTCCGTTCGTCAAAGCTGGAGCGAGCACGGCCAACGCGATTCCAGAAGTTCTTAACGGCGCTGTGACCAGTTCTCGTCACACCATCCTGGAGTTGCATACGACTCAAGGCCTCTCGAAATCGTGCTTCCCCTTTGAGTTGTCGCTCGCGGTGGATGTCGAGCATGTGGCGGATACACGCCTCCTCCTCCCACAAGGCCCAGGAACGGGTTGGATGTTGAAGGCGAGAGGCAGCAACAAGATGTGCAGGAGCCGGATATGGCATGAAGCCCAGCTCCTGCCCATCCTCATCGCCGTCATGATCGTCTTCACCTTCATCAGCGCTGTTGCTGGGGGCGGACGAAGCGGTGTTGATGTTGGAAGGCGTCACAGGACCAGCCTCTGACGACATCTCGTTGGAGGTGGTGGTGCCATTCTCCTCACTGTCGCTATCCTCGTTACTCCTGTCGTTGCTCTCATAACCAGGACCATCACCATCGCTGTCACTCTCCCAGCCACCGCCCTGCTCATCGTCATCTGCATCATACTCGTCCTCGTTTTCTGCTTCTCCGTCGTCTTCTTCCTCATAGTCCAGGGACATAAGCACATCGCCATCATCAGCAAGTGCCTGTCCAGCCACCACAGCAAGTCGCATTGCGTCATCTTGTATGGCGCCACTCGGTATCCCATTCACCGCCTGTTCATCTGTAAAAGGATCTGACACATTGCCAACAGCGGGCCTGCCGCGGCTGTTTGCCTTGTCCGCGAGAATTGTGCTAAAATATTCCGATATACCAGAACGTTCCGCCAGGTATCTCGACAGGGCGTCTGGATGTGCATCGAGATAGTCGAACACCTCAGCGTCGTTAAGAGGGAGTATTTGGACAATCGGCTGGCAGATGCTAGACACAGCATCCAGAAAGAAGGACTCGGTTGCATCGGTAAAGGACATTTTGACCAAATAACTGCGTGATAGACGAGAGAGACAAAGAACAATGAGGCAAAAGGGTGGATGAGAGATGAGGGCAAGGAGTAGAAAGAGAGCTCATGGCTTTATATAAATACGTTTCGACAGCATATCCTGCATGTATAGAGGCCATTTATATTGTACTTGTTCGGACACAATAACATGCATTCAATGTGAGTGATGAGTTGAACTGATTGGGGTAGGCCGAGACACAATGATCTCAATAGGAGCAATGTGACATGGACTTCGTCGAGCCGAGTACTGTCGACAATAGGAAATGAATGAATAGGAGAGGATCGAAAAATATGAGCGCTGTGCCGCACCCAACGTTCCATTCTCGAAGCATTCACTAGAACCCCGACATTGGGAAGGAGCAAGAATAGATGTCACCGAAGTCAATACCAATATTCACTGACCTCAAAACACTTTGCCCGTGTCAAAGGACATGCTGCTCAGCCTTGCTGCCATTTGCCCCTGTACGACAAGGCTTTCATTTTCATTGGACGTGGACGTGGCAGTGGCACCTAGGGCGGGAGACATGGGATGCGCAAATAGAATGAGATCTTTGCGTCACAAGCGTGGAGATGTATGAAAAGGATATTCACTCCGTCGTATATCAAGCCATCGGCAGGAGGGACGTGTTGTTGGTGGAGGCAGGAGGACACCAAGATTAACACCGTACACTCCACCGTATATCCACATACATCTTCACTACGGAGGAGCATATACTGACCGCGGTCAACATCCTGCACATGCGCTGCGCAATCGCTCAACTGATCTCATGCGCTTCGCTTTTGTTTATGCACAGAGTCAACCAAGCTAGCCATGCCATGGCCCAAGCTGTGGTCTTCTTCGACAAAGGATGAATCCGGACCCCAGAAGCCTCTCGCTGAGAAGGCCACAGATTCGTGGGATTCGAAACCTGCTGTGCACGATCAGCAACAACCTGCTACATCCGTCCCTCCACAATTGAGAGCCTTCACTCAACCCGAAACTATCCTGGCCGCGGCTATACTGACGACAGTTTCTGTCGGCACGTACAAACTCTACAAGTCCTATCTGCGCAGGATCCCACAGGCGATTAACATCAATCCGGGGTTCTTTCGGCGGAGAAGCATCGTAGGTCAAGTTACGAGCGTGGGAGATGGAGACAACTTCCGCATGTATCATACGCCGGGGGGCAGATTGGCTGGCTGGGGTTGGTTCCCGGGACGAAGAGTGCCAGTGAACAAAAAGGATCTGAAGGACCAGACGGTACATTGGTGTAGGTCACAAGCTCAAGGCTACGGGAACTGACGCGGCGAGTAGATACATGTCCGCCTCGCAGGGATCGACGCCCCCGAACTTGCTCATTTTGGACGGCCTGCACAACCTTACGCGCAAGAAGCGCTTGACTGGCTCACTGCCTACATCATGGGTAGGCGTGTTCGAACCTATGTCTACAAAGCAGACCAGTACAGCAGAGTGGTGGGCACCGTCTACGTCTGGAAGGGCCTCGTGCGTCGCGACGTCAGCCTTCAAATGCTTCGGGCAGGGCTTGCTACGATCTACGAAGCGAAGTCGGGTGTTGAGTTTGGTAGGGCCAAAGAGGAGAGGTACAGACGCGCGGAATGGTGGGCGAAGACCAGGAGAAAGGGCATGTGGGCGGCAAACAGGAAAGACTATGAGAGTCCGCGAGAGTACAAGACCCGACATGGGGTTGGAAGTCCCCAGGATGGAACGAAGCAATGATGTGAGGGCAAACACCCGTATCAGCTTTCGGGTGAGGCATTGTGGGAGCTGGATGCGCATCCCAATGGTTCAGAAACAATTGATGGCATTCAACCTGGCCTTTGCTTTGCTCTGCTCCGCTCATATCCACGTTTACTGGAAGCCCGAAACGGATCACGTGATCGTATGTGGTTGAATCTCGGGCTTGACCTGATGAACCTCAATCTTTGTTTCCTTCTGTTACCAAGACTTGTACCAGAAATGCCCGCCACGGACTCGCCCGCAGTCATTGTAGCCCGCTTTCTGAAAGCAAACCATTACAACAAGGTTGGTCATGTCCACGGGCTGCTTTGAGTCCGAACGTGGCGCCCTGAACTGATGAGTGTAGACTCTCGAAGCATTCCTCATCGAAGCAGGACTCTCCGAGGACGTAGCGATCACTAATCCTGGCGACTGGACGATTGAAAAGATCATCGAGGAGAAGAAACAGTTCGATGCCAGTCTCGCCTTCGAAAAGGTCGGCGGCGATGCTGATGTCGGGTGGATAACGCCCGCTCCCTCGAAAGCGGTTGAGCCTGAGGGTGTCCTTACGACGTCAAATGTCCTCTGCGTCAGCGGATTGAGCAGCAAAGAGAACAACGACGCGGTGATCTTCGTCACGGCCGCCGACCGCTCATGGTGTAATGTCTCGGCTACACCGCCATTCACTCTGACAGGCTCGATCGAAAATGCTCACGGAAGTCCGGTTCTATCCCTCAGCTCTCTGGACGGAGGCTATGTCTTCTCGACATCCATGTCGGGACAGCTGATGCTGCATGACTCGCGGGGTCGACTGATTGATAAAGTACGCGATCATCTCAAATACGCCGTGCAGGTGGTCTCCGGATATACTCGTCAGGGACGATGGATCGTGGCGACGGCCGGGTGGGATCAGAAAGTCCATATCTACGCTCCTGAGCATGAACTCGCAGGGAACTTTCAGCCCAGCACGGAGTCGGAGATAGCTGGCGACGAGCCCTTCATTCAGGGTCTACTTCGCGACCCGATCCACACCATTACACTGCCCACGAACCCAGAGTCCATGGTTCTCGTCCAAAACCCAGATACTCATGATCTCTACCTTGTCCTGTCCCGACGCGACTCTACCTTCCTTTACTACTACTGCATTACACCCACCTCCGACGAGTCGTCTTCATCTCGAAGCAGCGAAGTTACATACTCGGTTCAAGAGACGGGACGGCAGAATCTCGCACCTCACTCCAATGCTTGGGTCGCATTTACCCCTTCCTGGCTTGCTGTGTGTCCGACGGACCCTTCCCTTTTGGCTGTTGCAACGTCTCATCTTCCACACATGAAGCTCCTTATCGTCCGACTCCTCTTCCCCACGGCGACCTACAACTCGACCAACTCCATCGCCCTAGATAACGGGTCAGAACCGCAAACCCAAGTCTCGCAAGCCCGCGCGGCCCTAGCGCTGCAAGACCGCGAAGATGCCGCCATAAAACTGCACGTGACGACCATGGCTCCTCAAACTCCTTACTCCACGCCGCAGGTCGTTTGGCGACCAGGTGGGAAGGGGGTGTTTGTGAATGCAGATGACGGGGTAATTCGTGGTCTGGACACGCATAGTGGCAAGGTCGTAGCCACCCTCAAGGGACATGAGGTCGGAAGTAAAGTGCGGACATTGTGGGCTGGCTGGGAAACCGCTGAGTCTGGCAATCACGGGCATGGAAAGGAGAGAAAGGAGATTCTTGTCAGTGGTGGATTTGATAAGAAGGTGCTTTTCTGGCGGGTTCACGCGGGAGAGATGGGCGTTTCTGACCGAGAGCGAGACACAGGTGAGACGGCGGCGCTAGGGTAAACCCCATCGATCATTTGAAGAAAGGATTTTGATACATGGTAGACAGCCTTGTAGCCGTGGCTTCAGGCCATATCTCATCCTTATCGCGCAACCTCGATAATAGTATCCCCCTTGTACGAGGCTCTTGTACCTTGTGAAAGATTTCACATGGCCTTTTATGTCTTGACGCGCGTCGTTGTCGGAATCTGACCTTCCGATCTGGCTCACATGTGTGTCATTTGTGTCATTACCTGTCATTTGAAACCGGATCCAATTTTCTCCGACATCCTCGGCCATTTGCAAAGGGGGCGAGACGCGGTCCAGGCGCATGGCATGGTCATCGACCCAACGCTCAGTGGGTGTAGACCACCATTCTTCATTTCTTTTCTATTGCCCGCAAGTGCCTGAGCGTTGCATCGTGGGTTTTTGCACCTCCTTTCCTGAAATCCCCTTAGCAACCCGATAATGGACACTGTCGAGGGCGAATTCACCACCAAGGATGGCACAAAGCTATATACCAAAACATGGAAGGTACGGACCCGGCCGGAAGCGTCTCTCGCTACCGCAGGCCAACCAGCACATCGCGATGCGTTGTTGATGAATCTCTTCGCAGTCTCTATCTCTCTGACGATTTGTCTTCTCCCAAATTTAGCCCCGAAGCGATGCAGTCCAGGCCGTCTTGATCTTCCTCCATGGGTTCTCCGACCACATTAATGGTATATTGACCCCCGGCAAGTGCATGCAGCTTACTGAGAGACTTACATCTTCTAGCCTACTACGATCTCTTCCCCACTCTGAGCTCGTCCCCGTTCAATATTGCCGTCTACGGATTCGATCAAAGAGGTTGGGGCCGATCATGCCGCAAGCCAGCCGACAATGGCAATACCGGCCCCACGACACTGGTCCTATCCGACCTTCATGATTTTGTTCTCCATGTGGCATCGTTGCCCGAGACTCAGGGCAAGCCACTGTTCTTGATGGGCCACAGTATGGGTGGAGGCGAGGCTCTGTGCTACATGCTCTCCACATCTACAGAGTATTCCAATCGACCAGCGATCTCGGGCCTGCTCCTCGAAGCGCCTTATGTGGAGATACATGCGTCCAATCAGCCATCCTACTTGAAAGTTCAGGCGGGCAAGTTGGCCGCCGTGCTTCTGCCCCGTACACAGCTTAAACAAAAGCTGAGTGCAACGTACATGTCCCGTTCGCAGAAGGTCTGCCAAGACTGGATCGACGATCCGCTGTGCCACGATACTGGCACGTTAGAAGGACTCAAAGGACTCTTGCAAAGGGAGGCAGAACTTTCGCACCTCTCGCATGGCCGCACCATACCTGGCTATACAACAAAAGCCCCGTGTCCCATGTGGTTCTCCTTTGGTACCGGAGACCGGATCTTGTCGTACCTCGCCGCGCAGCAACTATTCAACGTCTTGGAAGCGCCCAACAAAGACAAAACATTCAAATCGTATCCCGATGCCTATCACAAGCTCCATGCTGAGCCCGACGGAGTAGGCGAACAGTTTGCAAAAGATGTGGGAGAATGGATCCTGGCACATGTTGAGAAGCAGGCAGATGTCGCTCAGGTTGGTCACTCACCGTCCGATCCCAAGGCAGACGGTGACTTATAGATCACAGAAGGCCAAGTTATGATAGAGGCCGCACACCAAGAAGATATCGAGGAGACGACACAGGATCTGAATGACTGTTCCTGGAACCCTCAATCCCGCCCTGCTGCCTTGTAAAACTCACAAGGCTCGTTCCTGCAGCTGACATGGCCACATGGAACCAATGGGCGCATGATTTGCAGCATTGACCGGGCATTGGGTGGGCATGACGACACGGGTATTACATAATCATTACGTCTTTCCATATTTGCACTAGCGTCGTTTGGTATCAACTTTGTTGTCTTCTGTAAGATTCCAGCTTCTCAATCATTCCATCTGCATGTATCCAAACAAACCCTCATTGTCCATGTCTTTCTTACCGGGGACTGTCTGGTATTTTTCCGCTATGTCTTTGTCTGCTGGCTTTCAGTTTCGGGACACTGCATTGCAGATATGCACATCTCAAAGAAAGGCCTAAGAAAAGCCCCGCGACACACCCAGCCAGCCTTGCCTGGCTTGCTTGTTACACCGGCCACCTGACTCCATCGCCGGTCCGGTGAGACTTTTAAGCACACAGCCATAATGTCCTGAGACCTTGACAAAGAACATGTCGGATGTCGTGAGTACATCACAATGCCCATCCAGAATACCCATACATTTAGTGCAGGATGACCCTTCCCACCAGGTAAGTGGACAAGGTAAATGTAGCGGTCCTGGGAGCGCTGGCCGTTTGCCGTGTCTCAAAACTTTCTTTTCCCCCTCTGCTCGACGGGTCCAGATCTTGCAAACTGTAGGTGTTTGTGCTTGGCCTCTCTCCAGTCAGAATCTCCAGCCTATTTGAGAGCGAATGCGCGTTGTCAAACGACATGACCTCCCACCATGATCGTCATTGCCATCGTTGTTCCACCGACCCCAGCAAACGCACCGACAGAGAGCAGGCACAGTCTTGTTCAGAGGAGCAAACAGTCAAAGTCCTCGAATTCTCCTCCAGGGACGTTTTCCCTTTCATCAAAGTCTTTGAAGCCCCCATCCGGCTCGCGCACAAGATGGCCCAGACTGTGAATCCCTTCCCCATCCGCTTTGAGAAGCATGTTGTCGCTCCGCCGTACGAGAGAGGATGGAGTTACATCGAGCGCAGGAACGGGCAGCTCTGCCTGGTGAGGGACAGGAAGGACGTGTTCCGTCTCCATCGGCCGTCGAAGAAGAGAGCAGCGCCGCCGAGAGATAGGGATAGAGACCCTGAGAGAGAGGTGATCATCGTGCGTGAGGAGGACATGGACGTCATCGGTCGCCATCATCGGGTCCATCCCCACGGAGACAGACTCTTTGTGGAGGTATGTCAAGAAAGAAGCGAGCCAGGTGATCCGTCTCCTCGACCACGACCGCCGAGGATTGAGGTCCGACGACCTCTCAACGCCACACCACCGTGTTCTCCTGTGTTTGAAGAAACGCCTCACCACCGCAGGGAGTCGTTCCCGTTTCGCCTCGTCCAAAAGATCCCCGTTGAGCGAGCCCGTCTTCGTCGCGTCAGGCATGCGAGAGCGCCAGAAGACCCTCTCCACTGTTCTCCCCCTCGACCACCACCGCCCCAAGTCGTCGACGACTGTTACGAAGACGAAGTCTTCTTTGACCCCATGAGCGACCTACACGCTCGGGAACCTCGGCCCTACCACATTCCCGAACCCGAGAACGCCGTGTGGGATGAGGACATGAACGCCTGGGTTGTGCGACGCTCGCCGAAAGTGCGATTCTGCTAAGACTGCCAGCGAACCGATGGATCGATTGACCGCCATTTTGGACGTTTGGAATTGAACCGCATGCATGCAAGTCCTCGACTGATTCCCATCCCCAACCCTCACCTGCCTTTCCGGACAGACCTCAACATCCTACACTATCATCCTGTGGATAGTATCATGCGAACCGACCACCTGTTCAGACCCAGACCCAGACCAAGGACACGTCTCCCGGTGATCCTGCTCTGTATGGATACGGAGGGATGTCCAGTCCACGTACGCGAGGATGGGTGAGATGGCAACAGTGATGCAAGAGACCCTGTGCGAGGTTTATGGAACCGTCAAGACGAAACGACAGTACAGGGTAAAGGGTGGAGAGGAGAGAGGAAACGAGCTAGCTATCCAACCTTTTCTTCCAACCATGATACACCGATTCATCCGACACTGGTTGCCGGACATACGATACTTACATAGGTGGGATGGGAAAGGCACAAGTCACTACCCTCCTGACTCATACACACAATACTCGGTACGACCGCGGAGTTCAGGGGTGGAGAATCATGTTCGTCTTCAAGTCCTGGTTCTGTGCGGAGTTTGGTTGGTTGGTTGGCATTGGCGCAGTGGGTTTCCCTGTATGGGAAAGTTTCCTTCGGCTTGACCCGGTTTTTAGCTTTTCAGTTTTGGGATCTGGGATTTCTTACATATGCAGAGAGAGGCAATGAGATAATAAGAGAATGGGAGAGAGAGAGCTAATTTAGGTCTTGATTGCGTCCTGCATTGTCCCGTTTTGTTTTGTCTATGTACTTGTACTTGTAGTTGCTCGCTCGCCACCATTTTCTTCACCAGAGTACCAGTGTAGGTTGGCACGCCGAGGGTTTCAGTTTCACACCACACCACACCGTCTTATCATTTTGTTCTCACTTGCTTATGCGCCCCCATCTTGCTCCATCTCGTTGAGTTGGCCACACTGGGTCTGGATGATCACATCTTCTAACTGCTTAGGAAGCCGTCCACCGCACTCCAGAACTGTTCGGGCTGCTCGACCCACGACATGTGCCCGCAAGATTCCAAGATGGCCAATTTGCTGCCCTTGATACCGTCGGCGATGGCGGTGCTGACCTCTGGCGCAGCGACGCGATCCTGCCTCCCCGTGAGCACCAGCGTTGGGGCGGTGACTTTGTGGAGCTCGGCGGCTTCGTTCCATTTGGCGTTGCCGTCTGCCGGGGCGCCTTCGCCGGGCGCAGAGGCAGAATCGGCGCTGTAATACGAGCCGTAGGCCCACAGGCTGGGTTCGCCGGTCCATTGCTTCTCGAACTCGGCTGGGCCTCCCAGCTCCGGGTGGGCAAAGTACCGCGGAATGATTTTCAGGAGAAACTGCCTGAAGTCGGCGTCGTTCGTGGGCATGTTCTCGAAGAAAACTTTGAAGACTTCCTCGAAGAAGGACCGGTCCTGGCGGGCGTAGCCCAAGAGGTCGGAATTGACGAGGACGAGCTTTTCCACCCGTGGCGGATACGCGATCGCGTAGCCTAGTGCGACGGCGCCGCCGGCCGAATGTCCCATGACATTGATCTTCTCGAGACCGAGGTGTGTCCGCAGAGCCTCCACGTCTTCGACGTGGTGGCGCGTGGACATCTCTTGTGGGTTGGCCGGACTTTGCGAATCATCATTGCCACGTGGAGACGGGACAATTAGTGTGAATCTTGAGGAGAGACGGGAGAAGGCCTTGATATACAAATCTGCGCCGATTCCCCATGGAGCAGGACAGACGATCAGAGGGGGAAGGCCAGGCAAGTCGGCGATGACATGGTAGTGGATTGTCAGGTTATTGAGTGTTGTAGTATGCTTGCCTGGGGTGAGTGGCGAGGCCGACATGGTTTTTGTTGGACGAAAGCCTTGTGGATTGGTGACGAGGCAACAAATTGTAGGAGTGCTAACACTTGGGCAGCGCAGAGAGAAACGGAGGTTGCAGAAGCTGTTCGATACAAGCAGAGCACCAAGGAGGTCTAGAGGAGCTGGAAGGTAGTTATACAAGAAGACTTTGGTAGCATTTCCGTCAGGCATAAGCAGCCTGGGCGGGATCAATGATCTTTTGTGGAGTGCTCGAGAAATTGCCGTTCGCCATTGGAGTGTCCCTATGCCGCCAATCAGAATACGGAGGAGGATTATGGATCATACTCGTACACAGCCGCCCCCGGGCCCACAACAGTGTCAGCACGCTCGTGAGATAGCCTCGCATTTTGCTTTATAGTGTTGAGTTTGGGTAAAGCTTGAGCGAATTATGATGCGCAGGATTGCAAGACCAAGGCATGCAGGGACGATGGGGTGAAACCGAAACACAGTACGGATTCGAAATGTTGTTTCTCGACCAATAACCCAGGCCGTTGTAGCATTAGAGCATCTGCCGTGGCTCGGTGACTTTGGGGGCCTGGAGTACTGCGGTGTAGTAACGGGCTAGGGTGTTCCAGCCTTTTGATGCAGATACCATGCATGAACAATCCACGAGTGGCTGAAGACAAGATTCTGCCGTGTCAGATCTGCGTGTTGCATGATGTGTTCATTCATGGACGATGGCTGAATAATGGCGGCATTCCTTCATTGATATTGGAGCCAGTCGACAGAAGCAAAGACCGAGACTTCACAACAGTTCTTCGCACGTCCAATCCTCATACCTGTCAAAGAGTCAGAATCGTGTTTCCTGACGGTGCTGTTCTGACAAACTCACCATCCATCAGGTAAATAACGGCGGACAATCAGAGGAATCTTTTTCTGGTTCAGTTCCTTGATAGCAATTTGCAGTGGATCCGTCTCGCCTTCCAAGTCAACGAGAACCGGCGCATTCATACTATCTGGCAGTCAGTCTCCAAGGCCTAACGTATGTTGAAAGCATTTACCTGATTTGCAGCGCCCGAGTACCAAGCACTCTTGCGCGCTCATATTTGGTCATGTAAGGCGTAGTAGTTCTCTTGTCGTCAGGAATTTTCTTGTCGGCATCGCTTGAAGGCTTTTGGACATTCTGATTTGGATCGGCCGACACGACAGTCCTCTCGTCGCCCTCTTCCTCTCTAGCCCGCGCCTCGATGGCTTCTTCATCGACTTCGGCATCCGGCGGCAGTTCGTCGTCGACATTGTCCTCAGGTTCATAGAAGGTATCGTCAGGCTCGTCTCGGCCGTAGCTGTATTGAGAACAAATGCGTTAGAGGCGATGAAAGGAAACTTGCGCATGAAGAGGTCACCTACCCGCCCTCATCACCATAGTCCGACATCCTCAGTAGTCACAGCGCAGAGACACAATAATACAGACCAGCTGAACAATAACCGAATTTGAAGAAATATGGATGGCGCAAGATTGTTGTTCTGCATTCCACTCTGCCCGCAGGAAACAAAAAGTTTTTGGTTGTCGCAGCCTCGTCTTGTCGCGGTCCCACGTGATAGTCCTTGGCGGCCCCACAATAACTTCAGCCTCGCCGACAAAGATTTCCGCGGTTGGCGACCCCACACTCTCCCATTCGTTACCGGCATTGTCTCAAGCCCCTCGTAATTTTCAGTCGCAGCCACGTATTTTCCAAGATTTTGACGAAAGGCAACCAGGGCGCGGGCGCGCAGAGCCGTCGCTAAGATGCGGGTCGAGTCCGACGACGATAATTTCGACAAGGACTATGATATGCTCGACTCGGACAGTGACGACGACTTTGAAGAGCAGGGTGATGACACTCCAGCTTCAACTCCTCCTTCAGGAACGCTTCCTCGCTGTCGCCAAAAAACGCTAAAATGCCCTTACGACGACTGCGACAAAGCTTTCGATCGCAAAGTGCGGCTCGAAGAGCACATCCGATCCCACACAAACGAGCGCCCCTTCCGATGTCCGCACCCTCCCTGCACAAAAGCTTTCTTCCGTGACAGCCACCTGAAACACCATGTCAAAAGTCAACATAGCAACATTAGGGATTACAAGTGCACTTGGGAAGGATGTGACTCAAGTTTCACAACAGGAACAAGACTCCGGCGCCATCTCGAGACACATGAAGCAAAAGAGCGGTTCAGATGCCGCGGGTATCCTGGATGTGATCAGACTTTCCGCAAACAAGATACACTAGATCGGCACATTCTGTCTGTTCATCACAACATCAAACCATTTCCTTGCAAAGAGTTGGATTCAGTGACTGGTGCCCCGTGCAAGAAGGCCTACGATACGGCGGAGAACTTGCGCTGCCATATGCGAGCCAAGCATGATACCTCGCGCTTTTCTTGCTCGGACTGTATGGCCCAAAATGCTGCCATTCTTGCTAACCCCGATGATGAGAGGGAAGTGATTCGGGCGTCCTTTGCAACCTATGGAGAACTCCAGGCTCACCTCACCATTGTCCACCCTCCCACTTGTCAATATTGCCCGACCTCTTTCACCACCAACAAGGAATTGACCCGGCATCTTGAAATCCAACATGGAATTCTACCAGAGAAGAAATCGGAAGACTCGGTCGTCTTTACGTGCACTGTCCAAGGATGCGGCAAGAAGTTCACCAAAAAGGGGAATCTGAACGTCCACATCAAAACCGTCCATGAGAACAAGCGTGACTTTGTGTGCGGCAAGACCGAAATTGCACTCCCCGAAGAAGTCGCAGATCAGGGCGACGTGGCCATCCATGGCTGCAATCGCAGCTTTACCAGCAAAGCCAGCCTTGAAGAGCACGTTCGTACTGCGCATCTGGGCCTGGAATCAAAGCGAATGCTTCGTGAGAAGAAGCGTAAGGCCGACCGTCGCAGCGATGACGAATACGGTGATGATACCGGTGCTGGAGGGGTGCAGCTTAAGAAGCAGCGAAGACCCCGCTCCGACAAGGGTGTCAAGCGAACGTCTGCCATGGTTGGCCTTACTGGTGTCGCTGATCTGCCGCAGCCAGAGCAGGATCATCATGACTTTCTGGATAATCATCAGAGGACGATGGACGAAGTTGGAGAGACCTCTAACAAGAACACTCTTCTCTCCGGCTCTATGGTCATCTGTGACGACCACATCTGGCACAATGGCACTCCCTACCACTACCCATCCGGGGAGTATCCGACCCTTTCGGAAGATTTCGCACGGGCAAGTGTGCAAGACAATGGGCCGCTCAACGACTTTGTTCATGACGAGGGCGTGAATGCGGAAGGAGCCTATGACGAAAATGACCTACACTTCTTTGGACAGTTTGAGCCAGAGACAGAATTTGTGCAGCGCGGGTTTGAGTATCCTGCGCTCTGAAGACTTGTACATGCACATGCACATGCACATTCACACGCACACGTACATGGATGGAAACCACAGCATCGGCGTTTTTCTAGGGTGATTGAGCGAGCTGAAATTAGCACTGGGTTCAATCGACAAGACCACCCAAAAAGTTCTTGAACGAGCATGGCGTTGGGGCGCGACAGACGGTAAAAAGCCCAGGCGGCAAAAGGCACGGAAAATTGAGCGTAACATGAAACGAAATGAAAGTCAGTGAAACCGGAATACAAATACCTGATAGACGATGGTGAAGACCTCCCTGCAGTTGATTTCGAAGTGACCTAACTGTTTGTTTCTCACGTTTTGTCTGTGTGATTATGCGTGGCATAGTATGCAGGTATATTCTGCATCCTACCTCGTATTTCCAATGAGGCAGGCTCATTCAGCCTTGGTGTGCGCGCAGGGGACAGAGCTGTAAGTGCTAAATAGGGTCGACCTGATCCCTGTCGTGAGTCTATATGTAGGATGCCCTGCTAGCCGAGTCTCTACGAGTATTCGGTAGATCGAGGTTCAATGGTAGAGACGAAGTTACTGGGAAGGCAAGGCTGCAAGGCTACAAAGCTATTAGACGGGACCGGGGGGCAAAGGGGTGTGGTGATCCAGCAGCCTCGTCTCGCGATTCCATATATATGTAGCATAGGTATATACCGTGGTAGGTTGTCGGTCCACAACGGAAGCTAGGATTTAATTCTCATATGCACCATATCCATACAGAAAAGGCCTGCATGTCCGCCACAGGCCGAGACTGCTGTGCTTTTTGAGGACGTGGACGTGGCTCAGGAGAGATTCAAATGAAAAGAAACGTCAATGACTCTTTGGTAGGTATACACCAGATTCGCAAGTATGCAGCCACAGTGATCGAGCAGGGTGATCTCTCGCAGCGATGCCCTGCTGGTAACCGGCCTCTGTTGGTCGGGAGTTTGCTGAAACAAGACCTTATCTTCCTCCACACACAGTTGCGTACCGGGGTGTCCAGCATTTCGGAGTGGATATGTCTTTGTTCATCGGACCCTGCAAGTTTGGCCAAGGGCCAAGGTCTCCCATAGCAGATATAGCCCGCTACGCGAGAACGACGAAGCGCCTGCCGCCACTTTGCACTTTGGCATCGTGCGAAGAGCAAGAATAGGCAAGCACGGTTGACCAGCCCGCTGTGCACTTTGTACAAGGAGATAGGTAGCGTCTGCCCTTGTATAAACAACGGGGATTGGCTTGTCTGTAGCAGATTGTAAGTACACTCACATGAAAAGAGGTTGATGTGCATGGCCTCCCGCAGCATGTCCGGCATTGTAGAAGTGCAGATAATCGGTCGCTGATCTGAGACATTGGGGACGCTCCTGGCTCCGGGTTCAAGATGCGAATCTACCCGATGCAGTCTTTGATAGCCAGGGTGATGTTGAGGAGTGGCATTCTCACGATTGTTTCAAGGAGTACTTCGGGTTCCGCACAGTGTCGTGACGTTGATGACAGGGAGAGGCTCCCTGCGTTCTGATCTGATACCTGTGGCGCTTACCGGAGATGCAAGCGCCGTAGAAGGTGACGAGGGGAACCGCAAGGGGAAGCAGGTTGACGCATTAAGAGTAAAATCTGCCAGGTTGAATTCTCCCCACTTCAGAATATATCGAACTGTGCTCACTCGCGTTCGTGTCTAATGCATGACTGTGTCAGACCAGTATCGTCTGACTGTTCAACATCGTCTCGGTTGATTAATGTGAGAAGAACACTCCTGTTGCTCGTGGTAAGTCAGGTTAGAACTCTAGCGTGGCAAGTCTTTCTCATCAAGAAGGTGGACCGAGCTTAAATAAATTGCCTCATTTGGCGATGGTCATAACACCTCTATTTGCCATTAGTCTCAATTAATCACGACTCAAACCAACCAATCTTTCAAGCATCCGGATACCTGCCGTTGTCGGCGTCCAAAGTCACTCTCGCCTTTCCTTGGCCCATATTCCGGCGCTAAGTCACCCTCCTAGTCGTCATAGTGCATGCATGGATTCGGTATCAAGACTTTGAAGAAGAGCTGCAGTGAGCTGCCATGTCCAACTCTATCGTTGCACTTGCCAGGATTTGCTTGGCCATGCGGAAAATAGAGCCACGCCACGACCACGACCACGTTCGACCCCCGGTGTGGTCTGTTCCTGTCCTGTACAAGGAGGTACTCGCGGGAATCAGGGCACATGCTACAACATCAGGTCCCGACACACCTTTCCCCCTGCAGCCCTTGTTTGCTCTGTGTCACTGTACCCATATTGAATACAAGCACCTGGGACTTGAGCGTCGTCATGACGAATACTTCTCTCCACATCCCCCTTCCCCCCTGCCCCTTCCCACGTTATTTCTTGCTGCTTGTACGCGTTTCTGGGTCCATCGGGTCTTGGCAATCGACTTCCGTCTGACTCGGCTGCCTTTACGAGAAACTCCACCTCCTTTGGGCCACGTCGCTGTCTGACTGGCTCATCCACCGGGACTCTGTTTGCCCCAAATATCTTTTTGGCGATGGGGCGTCGTAAGTGGCGTTCTTGGCAGAGCCCACAGGTCTTTTGAAAGATAATTTCCAGTTGGCTACGCTTTGTTAGTTTCATGGCCCACACGTCCTCCACCTGCTTTTTGGTGGATCCACTACACGGCGTCCAACCCTGGCACCTGGCGACCTCTGATCGCCCCAAAATCCCAGAAGGCAAAAGATTGTCCAAAAAATGGGCTGCTTGGGATACTTGATCTCATTTGAGAGATTCCATTGAGACGAGTAGACCGAGTACTTCGTTTGCCAAAGGGTGAAATGAGCGGCAGGCAAATTGCCTCCCTTCCTCCCCCCGGTTGAATTACTCTTGTCAACGGGAGGAAAGGAGGTATTGTCGCAGTCCTCTTGGATTGCTCTTCTGCCCTTCGCTTTCGTGTCTCTACCCGGACACATCCCCAATAGGCTAAGATCCCAGACTCGTGCTGCATCTCCACTGGGAAGTTTACTCGTACTGACAAGACTCAGCAGGGCTGTGAACTTTGGCCCCTCTTGAACAAGAGCCTCCCAAGATTTGCTTCCCCAGAGCAATCATATCTTTTCTCAATCCTCCATTCTTTTCCCACCACTGTTACCACTTCTTTTCAGAGTGCAACGACTGTGTCAGACCGCGGCATATATCCTCCTGGGTTCTTCTGCTATTTATCATATCTTGGCGCCCGCTGAATACGAGCTCCCCCGCGCAAGTTCGTGCTTGCCCACCCAGGACGTCTGCGCATTGACTCCACTCTTATAACCCTCTGGGAACAACCCTCTTCCCTCGTTGAACCACTTCCACAATGGCGTCAGGAATCCCATATACTCCCAAGCCTGCTACCGACATATTTACCCCGTATCAAACCGACATCGACCGACGACAATGCAAACGAATCGTGCCGATGAGAGTGCTGGCACTCGGCCTGGGAAGGACGGGTACAGCCTCGTTAAGAGCAGCCCTGAAAGAGCTGGGTTACACAGACACCTACCACATGATGTCCGCCAGTGTTGAGAATCCACCTGATTGTCTGTGCTGGATGGACGCTTTTGCTGCAAAGTATGAGGGCAAGGGAAAGTTTGGCCGTGAGGAGTGGGATGCGCTCCTGGGTCACTGTCAGGCAGTCTGCGACTGGCCTGCCGTTGCCTTTGCCAAAGAGTTGATCGAGGCGTACCCAGACGCCAAAGTCATCATTACAACGAGAGATGTGGATTCGTGGCATAACTCGGTCATGAAAACGGTCAATTGGCGCGCAAACGACCCTGAACTCAAGGCTGTGGCCAACTTTGACTGGGCCGCCGGGCTGTACCACCCCATGCTACGCAAATTCTGGAAGTATTTCTTTTACGACGACTTTGAAAACCAGGGGAAGCAAAGGTTCCACGACTACTATAAGGAGATCCGAGAACTGGTACCACCGGGCAAATTGCTCGAGTACCGTGTCAGTTCTGGCTGGCGACCCTTGTGCGAGTATCTCGGCGAGCCCATCCCCGATAAGCCATTCCCAAGATCCAATGACGCGGAGAACTTTGTGCAACGATGCAGGACACAAAACCGCAAGCAGATGATGAATGTTATCTTCCGGGCTCTGGTGGTCGGAGTGCCTGTGGTTGCCACGGCTCTGTCGGCGACCTTTGCCTGCACCCACTACCTACCCAAGTTTACAGCGAACACACCTCTTTGGACGGCTGCCTCTTGATTCCCTCACGACGACGAGTATTCTATATTTACCCCAAACGCGGCACCAGATCTGTACATAGCCTGGGTGTTTGGCGTGTTTTTGTTCGATTTCTGGTTCTGATCTTTGCGATTGGCGCCGCGCGCAACTGTTCACTTCTAGACATGATGGGATTGGCATGGGTTGCGACCAAAAAAGTGGTTGGCGAGCTTGGATACATTTTGAGGTGGCCGCATGCACTGATAGAGGATGTCGGCCGCTGCCGATAACAGGGACGAGTCGGATTGAGCAGTATCAAAGATCGAATCATGGCTATCGGCCGTTCTCCGATGATTGCATGAAAGTATGGACACAGCTAATACAACACTTGCATTCTACTTGTCCTGCGTACACTACCGTGTAAAGAGCCACCACTCCCTACTTTGACAAATGGCTCCCTACCTCCCATAAGCTTGACCTGAAGGGAAAAAGGATGCTGTACGAGTCCTCGGTAGATATGACGATATAATGTTGGATAAGGTGGGAATGAGTCCGGGATTCGACCTCCAGCATCCCATTGTAACCGTGGGCGCTAGACAATACTCGTAATCCCAAAGATCAACAGTGACCTTCCTATCAGTGACATTAAAGATAGCGGGGAATCAATCCGCTTGTGGCCAACAGACTAGTCGCGTTACCTCACCCTGTCCTCATTCCGAGGCTTGACTAGTAGTTCTCGGCATGGTGGGAACTGTCATTTCAAAATCATCCATTTCGTATTTATACCCGTCCCCTCCGTGATACCTAACAAGGCATGGTAGCGGAGGTGATAGTTCGATTCTTTTGGCCGGGGGCGGGAGGCCAAAGGGAGCCACCTTCAGGGCTCTCGTATCCACCTCAGCCAGTGTCAGTCAAGTGGCTAAACGAACTTTCCCATTACTATCACTCGGTACTCGTAGTATCTCGTCCTACCAAGTGACTTGTCCCTCGTGTCATATTTTCCCTTGAACTTGTCAGAGTGACCCTGACCAACCGGCCCCCTTTCCCACCGCCCGAAATTGCAATATTCGAACCCTTTGGGCTGCCCAACCGCCTGGGCGTAAGATACAAGGAAGGCCTGAAAGTTGAAACTCGGATCCTGTCCGCCACATCGGATATTTGCTGGACCAGAAGAGAATCGCGTGCCTCTTGGCAGACACGCCTCCGGCTCTCGTGCCCGGTGCAGATCTGGCAATAAGCAAGAGCCTGAGGCTGGGGGGCGAAGCGGCGGAGGTCAGCCTTTTTGGACACTTACTACTTTTTGGGGGTTGTTAACCTCTGGGACCTCACATCAGAATCGTTGGTACTGGTTTCTTGGTTCTTTGCTGAACCGAGACGAGACCGGCGACGGGTTTACATGCCATGAGGCTCTCGTTATCATTGCAGTGCTGGCTCATATGCCTGTTCGCTTGGAGAATAGCCGCCGACAACAAGTCCCAACCTATTTCCATCTTTCGATCGGTAAGTCAACGACCTTTTACAGCTCGGATGCGTTGGATTGACTGACCGATGAATGATAGAGACCTGATTTGTTTGCGCCCATCCTCAGCGTCTTTCAGAGACAGCCTGAGAAACTTGCACCGGGTTATTACTTTGTCGCACCGTATCAAGCAGCCCAGGAAGGCATCCACATATACGACAATGATGCGGTAAGTCTAATGCGGTCCCTCGCCAGCACCCTAACCTGCTAATATCCTTCCCTCAAGAATTTAATATATTCCGGCTTTGGCAGTGCTGGACCTGGTGTCTCTCACGCGCCACAGACATGCATGTACAAAGGCGAGGTCCATCTATGCTTCTATCAAGGCGTGCAAATGCTCGGGTGGGGCCACGGTCACGGTCTCATCATGGACAAACATTATCGCATCGTCAGGTCCATTGAGCCGGGGAGTTACCAGGCCTCGTCCGACATGCATGAATTCCGGGTCATCAATGATGGGAAGCAGGCGCTCATGACCCAGTACCTCCGCAGCGTCTACGACATGTGTCCCTGGAATCTTTGCGATGGTCTCGGTTACATCCAGCAGGGGGCGTTTCAGGAAGTCGACGTCGACACGGGAGAAGTCCTGTTCGAATGGCACAGTCTTGACCATGTCGACCCCAGCGAGAGTTGGGTGGAACCGAGTTCCACCGAGATCAGCGGCACTGGCGAACACCCCAACAGTCCCTGGGATTATTTCCATATCAACTCGATCGACAAGAACCAGGACGGCGACTACCTCATATCGGCCCGCCACACCTCGGCAGTGTATAAGTTGTCGGGAGTCGACGGCCACGTCATCTGGCGGCTGAACGGAGCCAAATCGGATTACGCACTCGACAAGTTTCAGTTCTCGTCTCAGCATGACGCGCGGTTTATTTCCGACAATGAGACGCACACGGTCATCTCCTTGTTCGACAACGGCTCCAACGGCTACAACCAGACCCAGCCGCACTCGACGGGCCAGATCATTGTGCTGGACCACCAAACCAAGGTGGCGACGTGTATCTTGAACCTCGATCCGCCGTTCGTCGACGGACACGCCCACATCTCCAAGTCACAGGGCAACATGCAGATTCTCCCCAATGGTGGCATCTTGATGGGCTGGGGCAACGACGCCTTCTGGACCGAGTACGCGCCCGAGTCGTACGAGATCATCTTCTACGGGGCCCTGGCGTGGACCAACACGATGAACTACCGGGTGCACAAATTCGACAACTGGGTGGGCATGCCGCTGACCAAGCCAGCCCTGTGGACGTACTCGAAGGAAGGGCGGGAAATGATGCTCTACGCCTCGTGGAACGGCGCGACCGAGGTGAAGTCGTGGCGCTTCTACGGCGGTGAAAACAAGCAAGGGCCGTGGGAGGAAATCACCAACGTTCCCAAGAACGGGTTCGAAACCATCTACCGGCACGACGAGGTGTACACGTACTCGTACGCCGAGGCGCTCGACGCGCACGGCCAGGTGCTGGGCACATCGGCCGTGCAAGCCATCTTCACGCCCAACGAGCAACTGCGCGAGTACTGCGACGACGTGGCGTGCCGGTTCATGCCGTCGCCGGAGCAGCGCAAGAAAGAGCAAGCGGCGAAGCACGAACAGGAAGACGAGGAGGACAAGCTCCGGCAAGAGCAAGAAGAGCAGGAGAAGCTCGAGACCCAGCGGCAGCGGGCGGAGCGGATCAAGAACGCCGAGGTGTTTGGCGCCACGTTTGGCGGCCTGGCCGTCTTCATCATCTTGGTGATTGTGCTCGCGACGAGGAACTTTGTCTCCCGCCCCGTCCACGTCCTGGCCCACAACGTGTACCGGGCCGTGAAGAGGAAAGGGGGAAGAGGCAGAGACGTGGGCGCCGGAGCCGGATACAAGGCTCTGTCGCTGGAGGAGCAGGACGGGGACAGGGACGGGGACAGGACGCCGATGATTACAGACCCGTCATGACATTTTGGAGCCAGCCAGCTCAGCTCAGCTCTGCACTGCCAGGAAATGGGGATGATTAGAGATTTAATGACATGGGATTATTTATCGGGCACGCACAGCATGGAGATATCTATCTATGCTATACATCTCCTCGGTACGAGGTGGGGTGTTGTGAGTATCCACATATAGCTGTTGTAGCTGTAAAGCAGTGGTGATGATGGCGGTAGACCTTAATGAATGATGTCACGACCAACCGAATCCGAGCTCGGAGCCCTCATAGCGCACCAGGACTCAACTCGAGGAAAGCAAGAAGAAAAAAAATTCGAGTGGTCGCGTGCGCTGGATCTGGGACTTCGCCTTCATACCTCCATCGATAGCTAATGTAGCTACATAGATAGCGTTGCCGCCGGCTGGAGAGAGACTTTCCCACTTCAAGTACCTACTGTACCCAAGCAAGGAAAGACAAACTTTGTAGACACGGCTCTCGGGGATCAAAGAGGATGAAGTTGGAAAGAAGCTGTTGTGTTGTGAGTGAGTGAGTCGTTCAACATCGAGTATGTGAGAAGGCGTGGGGGTCAAGTCTTGATTGCTTCTTCGAGTACGTACCTAGGTAGGTAGGTAGGTAGGTAGCGAGGTAGGTAGCTACGAGTACTCGCTCGGTAAGCACTTGCTTTCCTTACTCTACTCTACCATACTCGGTACTATTGTCCGTGATCGAAGGGTCGACCGAGTTCCGAGTCCCAAGACCCAAAGCGCAAAGTATATTTTTCTTGGGTGGCGGGAACAGCGGCTGGTTTTGGCGCCGTCTCTCCAAAAAGTCTTGACTTTTTTCTGTTAGTGTGTCTTTACAGGTTGATTCCATACCCATGGTATTATATTACAATCGGGGTTTTTGCCAGCTAGGAATGGGATGCATGCATGATGGGTGATGATGGTGGTGGTGGTGGATGGTGGTGGGATGAGATCAATGCCGATTAGCCGTGCTGGGTGGCCCTGGTATCCAAGTTTTGGGGCAGCACATACAGTAACTTGTACCGTGTACTTGTACCTGTAATAGACTCCGTAGGTATGTACATACAGAATGTCCTGTAGACATGTACATACGTACGAGTTACTCGTAACCCCCTGCCTGGGACCTTCAGTGCATGTCTGGAGATATCGAGATTAAGGTGCCACAACCGAGATGCCGTCGGCCGCATGTTTAGGGGTGGTGGAACTGACTGTGATAGACAGATACGCAACAGAGGATCCGAGTACTCGTACCTGCACTTCAGGCCACGAGGTCTTTGAGAGACACTTGTACGACTATGACTTGGGTAACAAAGAGGCTGGCGGGAGATGAAACAGATTACGCGCACGCACACGCACACCTACGAGGTACACGTACAAATCGACCTCTCTAACGAGCAGGTACAGACTCGTCCACGCCTGCCACGTACACCAAAGAGGCTCGGGAGACGCCCGGAGCGCGCCCATGATTTACTACGAGTATTACCCCCGTGCCGGATCCAGCATTTGATCTACGTGCAGAAGTTTCCTCTTCTCGAGGTGGCAAAGTATCCACGTGTACAAAGTACATACTCGTAGTACGCGGTAGGTTCCCAGTAAACTCCCAAGGGGGGAAATGGAGTGAGTGGTGGAGGTATGTATCTCGTATGAGAAAGTAGCTTTGAATGCTTGATTTTCAGCCTCATGATCAAACGAGGCTCGCTTCCATCAAAGCTAAACAAGGTGGAAATAAGGTGAGACCAAAAATCATGGAAAGGGGAGGCCTGTCCTTTACCCCTGGTGGTACTTGTTCTTGTAGCCATTTGGCTGGAGTGACAGGATTTGGTTAATCTTTGAGATGTGATTGCGGAGGCCTTGGAATGCACAACCGCCGAAACATCCTTATTGAAGCTCCAGCTCTGCTCGAAGTCATCATTCTCCTCGTTCTGAGGGGAGAGGTAGTTGTTCTTGTACGTACGTATGTGTCGATAGCAAAATATCAAAACCCTAACAGTGGGAGAGCATCACCTGCCACTTCCTCCAGTCAATCATCCATCTCTCACTTCTTCTCTTACATCTCGTCTCAATCCCAGCCAAGATTGCCAGGCTAGATACATACGAGTAACATGTACCGAGTACCAAGTTTAAGGTGGAAACTACCTTCCAAGGTTTGGGGCGAGCCAAAGGCGCCACTTTCGCCTAAAGATCAACGCCAATGGTGCCTAGGGCCAGCTAGGCAAGCTGCAGCTACCAAACAAAGAGGGGGTCGGACGAGCAGGTGGCAAGGAACCCCCCGACTTCCGTCCCCGACTGACGAACAAAATGCTTTTGGGGGTGCTTGGCTCGGCTGAGCCCATGCCGATGCTACGGGCTTTTGTAGGTAAAAACGCTGCCGCCATGCTTCTTCTAGGGAGGCCCTGGAGGCCCCAAATGGTGCTTGTGCGTCCGGGGGCTACGTACTACGGGTGCGTGCGTGGTATTTCCGTCCCACCTACGAGGACAATTCTTACAGTAGCGCTGTAGGTTGACGTCTTCCCGTCCTCTCCCTCCCATCGGCCCATCGCCAGCAACGTCTTTCTCATATCTCACCTCCCCCGACTTCGGATATCCTTTATCTGGTGTTCATCTTGGCCTATCTCTTGGTCCGGTGACGGGAGCTACGTGCACTCGTATACTGCCGCATCCAGCTTCTCGTTCGAGGAAGCATCTGCTGGATCTTGCACACACTACAGAGATTCCACAATACGAGCACTTGACTGTCGCTTGTATCCCATCGAAAAGCACGGTTGCTAACTCGTATAGCCGACAACTTCCTGCGATTATTCTACCAGCCCGAGAGCCCGAAAACACACCTCCGCATTTGAAACGTACATCTCCCAACCGAGGATGCCATGCTTGGATACATGAAAACATACGAGAACACACCTCGGTGACGCATATTCGCCTTCACACACCTATACACCCTCTCTAACCATGCGGCACGACGTCGAAACCCGACCGGGCAAACCACCGCCACCCCCGTCATGGGCCTCGATACCGAACAAGTTCCAACTCTTCATAATATGCTCCGTGCGAGTGGTCGATTTCTTCCAGCAGGCCGCCCTGCAGGCCTACATGTTTTACCAACTCAAGTCCTTCTCCCCTTCAGCGCCGGACAGCCAAATATCCTTCGAGGCCGGTGTGTTGCAGGGCGTCTTCACGGCCGCCCAGGTGTTCACAGGCATATTGTGGGGGCGGGTGGCTGATTCCCCGTCATTTGGGAGAAAGACCGTCCTTCTAATCGGGCTGACGGGACAAGCATTGAGCTGTATAGGCGTGGCGTTTTCAAGAAGTTTCCCTGCAGCCGTGGTTTGGAGATGTCTGGGTGGTGCCGTTAACGCAACCGTGGGAGGAGCAAGGACGGCATTGGCAGAGAGTACCGAGAAGAAATACCACTCCCGAACATTCCTGCTGCTGCCTCTGGCGTGGAATATCGCCAACATCTTTGGCCCGCTGTTTGGTGGGATGCTCTCCGATCCCGTGCACAACTATCCAGGTCTGTTTGGAGAGAACTCGACCTTTGGCGGAGCTCATGGGGTCTCATGGCTGACGACGTTTCCCTACGCCGCCCCCAACCTGTTTTGCGCGCTCGTGCTCTTTACAGATGCACTGCTCGTGTGGATGGGTCTGCGAGAAACACTGGGCTCCCGGAAATACACCCGTGACCGCGGCATCGAGATCGCCGAGAACATCACCTACCGCGTCCGTACCATGGTCTTCCAGCGGTTCGGGTACAGCCAGCTTGGCCAAGTGGATGTCGCCCCTGGTCCAGATACGGTGGACGATGAGAACATGCCCTCGAGCACGCCGCTGGAACCACTGCCACCCAAGGAAGGCGAGGGCGCCAATCCCTCTGCAACCTCGTCAAAGACACCTCCGAGGCCATCTGAAGCTCCCAAATCAGCCCCTCCATTCTATCATGCCATCACTTCCAATGTCCTCCTCGTCCTGGCAACTGTTGCCATTATGGACTTCCAGATGGGTGGCTTCGCTTCACTCTGGACGATTTTCCTTTCCTCGGCCCGAGCCACCGACGAGGAGAAGAACACTGTTCATCTCCCCTTTGTCTTCACGGGTGGACTGCAATTTAGTCTGCCTACCATTGGTCTGGCAATGTCGATTCTGGGGTTCGTCGGAATCATCCTACAATTGACATTATATCCGAGCATCAATGCGCGATTCGGCCTTCTCCGCTCCACCCGCTGGTCTCTGTTCGTGTTCCCTGTGGCCTACGCCCTAGCGCCATACCTGTCGCTCCTCATCTCTCACCCGTTCGTGCTCTGGATGGGCATCGTCGTTGTCGTGGTGCTCCAGGTCGCCGCGCGAACGTTTGCGATCCCGGGCTCTGTCCTGCTCATCAACAACTCCAGCCCCAGTCCCGCCATGCTGGGCACCATCCACGGCATGGGTGCCGCGACATCCAGCGCGTTCCGGACGATTGGACCCATCGTCGCGGGTCATTGGTATGGCCAAGGCCTGGAGAAGGGTGTGGTCGGCTGGGCGTGGTGGTGGTTGGCGCTGGTGAGTCTTTTCGGTGTCGTGCCCAGTTTCTGGGCCAAGGATGGGAAGTAGTTGGAAGTGCCGTGGTTCTTTCCTGGCCCAAACGCAAAAGCTGCCTTGCTGAGGCATTATCACAATAGAATAATTCACGACGGAATGGCCATTCTCTGGGAATGTTGGTGATAACATATACGAGTACATAGTATTGAGGTTGGGATCATATGGGGGGTGGACTGTGCACGTACTGTAGATACCTACCAACCTACTTACATATGTGAGAGTGTGTGAGTGTGTGAGTGTATATGTGAGTAAACAGTTCACAGCAACTTTGGTATTTTGTGCATGCAGATAATATGTGTCCGAAGAAGTAACTGGAGGAACTCCAAGAGAGGGAGGGGGGCATCTTGTTATACATACAGTACTACCCAGTTACTAGGTGCTAAGTAAGTAGACCATCACTTCCTCCCTCCCTTCCACTCTTCCTTCGCTCCTTGTATTGCTACTCGCCGGTACCGACTACTCGGTACGAGGTACATGGGTTGTCATTCCTCGCTTGCGAACCGAACCGAAGAGGAGAATTCGCTGACACTAACACTGACCTTGACCCTGATCCTGACTCTGACGCTGAAATGGGGATGGGGAAGGGGATGGCCAAGTTGATACATCAAGTGCCTCACAATATACAGCGCCAGTGCTGCACCAGCATAAATGTCTACAATCTACACTCTACACTCTACGCGAGGAAAAACAGTCGATCGCTCAAACATAAGTCAGAAAGTCCCAACCAAACTACTCTGGTACGTAGTATGGCTGGTTTGCCTCGCTTCCTCTATGGGAAGAGGAAGGGGACGCGGAGTGGAACTCGCTGGTGTAAGAAGACAGAAAACCATATTCCACCCATGCAACAAAACTACCTGAGTCAGATATCCTTGCCGGCCATGATGCCCATGGTCCTGAAAACAACATTATTATACGTTCCTCCCGAGTATCCGGGGGAATATGCACAAGCACCAACAGAGAGGAAAAAAGGGAAATTAGATGCGGTGATGGAAAATGTGGAGGTCGGTTCGGTTATCGAGTCTCAGTATCGTCTCAGTCTCGGCGCCAGGACCAGGACCAGGGGTAGCACCACCATCACCACTTGAAGCGAGGCTCTCTCTCTCTCTACCTCTTCCAGGTTATCCCCATCAACGACATGACTGTTCTCAAACCAACCACGGTATAAGCGAGTGCCACCATCACAGCACGATTCCCACGTGGGAACGTGGGAACAAAGGTGCGACAATCCAATTATCCCTCGGCCCTTTTATTAGCCCTTTTTGCTGTCTCAATCACCCAACGACACAGCGGCGCCATTGTTCGAAGTACCGAGTTGGTACATCGAAGCGTCGGTCTGTATGTGATAGAGTCAATGTCAGGCGCCAAAAAGGTAATCCTGCTGTGCTGTGCTACTATATAAAGTCGGGCTGGGCTGCTGTCCTGACGGGATCTGTAAGCTGGTCTTATTTTCCCATCTCAAGCTGTCACTTTTCAATCTCTTCCCTATCGTCAATCGAACAGCTGGTCTGTTTTTATATTCTCTCCAAAACTCTTTGGGACTGTCTTTCTCAACTCTCGTTCTTGGCGAACCCTGTGACCAGCAGCAATTCATACACACATACTCTCTCTGTTTTTGGAAGAAGAAGAACAGGCAAAAATGTACATCTCACCCGCCACCATCCTCTTGAGCATCGTGGCTCTCTCCACGGCTGCTCCGACCGGGGTCGGTGCGAAGACCAAGCGAGCCAACGTCCTCACCGTCCAGCCGTACAGTCAGTTCCAAGTCTCTGACGGAGTGGCCGGGAACGCATTGGCCGAAGTGAATGCAAAGTTCCCTGTAAGTACCTCGTCCTCCTGTTCATTTTTCATTCCAACTACAAAAGAATTGCGGTCCCACGACAGACAATTTTGGCTGACTCGGATTCGAACAGATTGACACGTCCGACCTCGCCTCCGTGTCAGACGCGGATCTCCAAATCATCAAGGACGCGCGGGAGACGGCCGAGGACGCCGAAACCGGCGACGGCGGGTTCAACGACGAGATCGCCGCCGCTGGTGACGACGCCACCGCCACGGCCCTCCAGAACGGCAAGATCAAGAACAAAGTGCTGAAGCTGCAGCTCGAGGTGTTGGCGCTGCAGATCGAGGCCGCCCAGGGGGACGCGGACCAGGACAAGATCGACGAGGAGACGACAAAGCTGAACAAGAACGTCGCTCTGGACAAGGCCGCCGCGGGCCAGAAGAGTCTCGGTGTCACGGACACTTTTAGCGGGTGATTCTTCCGAGGAAGTATCCATGGTCTCATTGTGTCAAGTGGTCTTGACCTGGTCTTGAGATGGGACGTGTCAGCAACCGTATTGTTGTATTTCATGCGCGCGCACACGGTGGCGCTTCATAGTCCTCTGCTACTGTTGTATCCTCAACAACAACAAAAGAGCGGTAATGCCTGTCTCATCCCGAGTGGATCTCCCAGGATATTTCCTACCAGAGAGACAGGCACTAGGTGAACCTAGGTAGTAGTCAACGGAGATGGAGAGGGAGGGGGCATAACCATCTCCTCCTACACACTACCCAACAGCAAAAAAAAGGAGATTTGAGCAGAGAATATATTGACAAAACAAAGAGATTGAAAAATGCCTCGGATGAACATATTCCATCCACCCAGCAAAGCGCGACTTTCTCGAGTTAAGGAAGACGTGGTACGATTTGTACGTACATAAAATATGGCTAGGATCAATGGCGGCCCGGGGTAATATGCAGTAGGTCCCGAGTAAGTTGGGTATATACTCGATATGTGCATGTGTATAAACATAAAGAGAGAGATATATTCCCCAGGAACCGGACGATCTCTGACCTTGCCGTAGGGAGATAGACCGTAGGAGGACAAGAACCAACCATATCGGATCAACTTCTCTCCGACACGAGGCTGCCAACCCCTTTCTGCCGCATAGCTGTATGAGTTCCCTCTCCTGCAAGGTCCTTCACAGTTCTCCGTGCGCTACACTGATGGACGAGGAATTTTGAACTATTATACGTGATTCGACAAGATTTTGAAGTCCTCCACATCATCACGGAAGTGGTGAACATAGTGCGACTGTGCATGAGTAGGTCGCAGGGGCCATGCAAGACTGCTGCCCCTTGACCTTGATTTGATGTGTAGATCGTGCTTTTGCATCATCATAGTATGATCAGAGTTGAGGACGAAACTTTGTTGTTGTCAGAGGTCGGCTAAGGTGGACAAAACTAAGCCTTGCTGTCGCTCCAGCTGGCATATCGTGAACAAAGGAACAGGAGCAGACCTCGCTGATTTCCGCCGGATATGTTTGCCACCAAGGGCAATGCAGTCATTGGTATGCAGATTAGGAACAAGCAATTTCTCGCAGATATATAAGAGGTGACGAGGAGACGCGAGACGCTGCCACGCATTACCGAGTTGAGAAACGGTCGACATACCTGCTGTTTGGTTGACAGCGTCGATTGTGACCCTATCCATCTTACAAGAGCGGCGGATCAGTGTTCAGCTTCATTGACTTATTCCAAGGACGCTCCTGAAACCGAAGGGCTGAGTATCGGGATGTCAATCGAGATACCTTTTTGATGCAGAGCTCTGAGAAGTGGTCAAGGATCTCTTCGCCAAACTATGCTGGCTGTCTAGAGATACGAAACTTCGAAACAAAAGAGGCACTCCGTAGCAGTGAAACTTGAAGTCTTGAGCTCGCACACAGGCATTTGCGCTTGACACACTTGCTCTTGTTGTCTCCCTTTCCCTGTGAGCTGCTGGTCTTTGACGAACAATTCGTTTTTTGTGCCTCCAGTTACCTATCTCACTTTCCCGAGAGAGAAGAGCGTATCGGGTCAATCGGCAAGATAGGGCAGCATGTGGGTCAGAGATGGAGTAGCCTGGAGACGTCGAGCCGGGAATTTCTTGTAGTTCAAGTTTCTCGTAGAGACTAGCAACAGGACATCGTTGATGTTGCCGAGGGCAAACGCGGCGAGGCGGCAACGGAATGTGCCGCAATAGGCTCTATACTCCACCGTTCCTTATCGATAAGGATTTTCACCTGCGGCCTGGAAATTTTTGTGCCTCCCAAAACTGTGCGAAAGCGGTCAGTCCAGACTGTAGGGTTCTTCGTCTCGTCTTCGGGCATCTGTTGGTTGCGTTTTCTCTCTTCCAAGCCAGGTAGCAATATTCGCGATGCTGCGCGAAATGTAAGTTCCCCGACCACCCTTGCGCAGAGGAGACTAACATTTGCAGAAAACCTCGCAATGCTCGGACTGCCCGCATCGTCAAAGCACGCGAGCCTCAGCAGGTGGAATCGAGAAAACGGGTCCTCCTCCTCCATGGCACGAAATGCCCGCAGCCGGTCAGCACCGTGCTGAAAACCGTTCACACTCTCACCAAGCCGGACTCTGTGATGCTCACCAAGAAGAACGACAACATCCACCCTTTCGAGAACTCCGAGTCGTTGGAATTTCTGGCAGGGAAAAACGAGTGTGGCGTGGTGGTCTTTGGTACTCATTCTAAGAAAAGACCCAACAATATCACCGTCCTGCGAATATACGATGGCAAGCTGCTGGACATGGTCGAGCTGCTCCTCCTGGTGCCCCCGAACGAGCAACAGTCGGAGACGAAATTGCAGATCGGGATTGGGATGAAGCCTTTGATTCTGTTCGCAGGGTCTCAGTGGGACGACACTTCATCGTCGGCGCAAGCTACGCTCTATCAGTCGCTCAGATCGATAATGCTGGATCTGTTTCAAGGCGAAGAGATATCTTCGATTGACGTCGCAGGCCTACAATATGTATTGATGATTGCCGCGGGTGAGAGCGCCAGTCCTTCGGGAGATCTGAACGATCCGGTGAACAAACCTGTTCTTCATCTCAGGTGGTATCGGATACGGACTATGAGATCCAACAGCCCCAAAATTCCTCGAGTTGAGCTTGACCCCATCGGACCCAGTTTTGACTTCCGGGTCGGGCGATTCCATGAGGCGGATGCGGCGGTGATGAGGGATGCTTTGAAACATGGCCGTCGGCCAAACGAAGCACGGACAAAGAAGAACATCGAGACAGACTTGGTGGGTGACAAGATTGGCCGGGTGCACCTGGGCAAGCAGGATCTTTCAACCCTGCAGACACGGAAGATGAAAGGCCTCAAGAGGAACCGTGACGACGTTGAGGACGAAGAAGAGACGGGAGACGTGGATGGCGAGGAAGACCTTATCAGCCAAGACGAAGACATGGAAAACGGCGGCATGGACGTTGACGATTCTTCGGAAGAAGGAAGCAGTGGTCTAGGCAGCGGAGATGACATTAGCATCGGCGAAGATGACGACGAGGAGATGAACGATGCAAGTGACGACGATAATGATAAGCCGAAACGACAGCGGACCTCCTGAGGTAGGCGAGACTTAAGGGTCTCCAAGAGCTCGAAAATACGCTGAGAAGACAGACTTCCCACTACGACTGTTCCTGAAATACAGTCACAATCTGGACACACGTCTCGTCGCAGCCCTCATACGTGGTTGGGGGATGGCCTGGCGTGCCCAAGCCAGTAGCTGTGAGGTTCAGGACTTCGCCATCAAGCCTCGAGAGGCCGTTATTTACGCAATGGGCATTTGCCGAGGAAACTGAGCATGATGCTCTGTGGCACGCGATAGACCCGTGACTTTAGAAGTCTCTGGTGTGCAGGCAGGCAGGTTCTGGTGTTCGCAGGTTTCCGACGAGGCAATATGGCTGTGAATATGGACATGGACCTAAGGGAGTATCTTATCAAGGACGAGTCTACCATCTCGGCAGACGAGGTTTAGCATCATGTATAGGTAGTATCGGATAATGAACAGCGGGAAGCGTAGAGTGGGAATACCAAAAACAACCGAGGCTCAGCGCGGCGGTTGAACAAAATCATCGGACTGTGGGGAAGGCAAAAAATGCCCACAACTTGGCCCTCGCTGACCCGCCCGCGGTTCACATGCACCGACAAACCAAGTCAAAGATGATGTAGTCGGTATTCCTCGTTCGCCGAGGAGTCTTTTCTCTGCCTCTTATTGCTGCTCTGCACTCTGCAACCCTCCATCTGGCATTCAATTGCTCTGCTGCCTCGACGTGAAACCAAATTAACACATGCCAATTGCTCATTCCAGCCACGCACGCAGCTCAATGCCCATGACGTTGGCTGCCATCACTGCGCCCTTTGCCTTGTAACTCTCCGGTGACCTTGCTTTTGCCTTGGTCTTTGCGCTCCTGGGATATTGAGGAATCTTTCGTCCTCCACAATACAATATCTGCCGTCGAGTAGGCGAAATGGATGTGCTAAAGGTCAGTCTGCGATGCGGCGCCTTCTGCGCTGTTGAGCTCTCACTAACGCCTACCAGGACACCGTCGAGTCCATCATCCTCAACCCCGACCTTGCTCCCCTACTAGCAATCCTCAAAGCCGCCCGCAATGGCGCCGTCTACGGTGCCAAAGTACGATTTCCTCATGCCCTGGTGATGGTCTTCATGTTCCGGTCGGGGTCGATCCGCGAAAAGATACGCCTTGTTTTGAAAGCGACCAGACAACATGCGCGGAACCTCGCATTCTTTGCGACAGTGTACAAGTCTTCGATGTTAATATTGAGGCTATTGAATCCCAGACACCCCGGGAAGGAGGGGCCGTACGACACCTTTTTCGCCGGCCTGTTGGGCGGGTATGTTGTCTTTGGACGAGGGAAGCACGGCGGGTAAGACTCGATTGTACCTGGTGTAAGCTGGCTCTTGCGAGACTAAACTATTTCCTTTAGTATCGAGCAGCAAATCGTCATCTACGTCTTTGCCCGAGTAATGCTCGCGCTGGCGAGGCTCAGCATTGAACCGCCGAGCGCCACGAGATCGACGCCAACTCCGACGTTATGGACCCAAAGGTTATCGCCCGAGGTCAAGGCAAAAATCGAGAACAATGCGTGGCCCGTTTTTGCTAGTTTGAGCTGGGCGTTTGTCATGTACATCTTCCGATGGCAACCCGAGAGCATCCAGCCCAGTCTGAGGAGCAGCATGAAATACATGTACGTTTTTCCGGAGTATCTGCTTGACCTTACCAGATATGCTAACCTACGTGGTTTCCCCCCCCAGATACGTCGACTCCGACTACTGGGACAGTTTCCGAAACTTTCTAATTCACAACATCTAGAGAGAAAAAAAAAGGGCCCGTCGAATTTTGTGTGTCCTGCATTGGAGACGTGCGTTTTGGGTTTACCATTGTTTTTTCCGGGGGGCGCCTCATGGGGTTTACGCCATATACGAAGTTTCAAAGTGTGATATTAGAGGTTGTTTCTCAGTGCTCTACGACTTGGAAACGGCCGGCTCTGGTCTGGTTTGGAGTGGAAGACGATGGAGCTGCTTAGCATATGCATGAAGGGGGTCAGGTAGGTAGGTAGGTAGGTATTTGCATGGAGTGAGTGGGCATTTCAGAAGGGCCCCTATTGACAAGGCAAGCTCCCGAGAAAGAATATCTTGTTAGAGATGGGCCATGGCATCAACAAACGGTGGGATGATGACCTACCTACAGATTTACAGTTCCCTCACAATCTACCTACCACCTTTTCAACGGATCAGACTCTGCATTTTTCAAGGTCCGCCGTGAACTCACCAACCAACACCCCATGACACCTAGGTAGATTCAATTATCCAACCAACCAACTACTGGCCCTCTTCTACCCGTCGAGTCTACTCTCCGCCGCCCCCTTTTCTCCAGCGGACAAGAAAAACGACGGCCGCGTCTCGATCTCGAATCTGGATAAATAATCTACCGGCACCAAATCTCCCGGGGAAAAGGCATACGAGCATGCGTGAATGCGAGGCGTTTTACGATGTAAGGGTCGCCAGCTGAGCTGAGCTGAGCTGAGCTCGTGGTTCTTTTGTTTGGTGACACCGTCGCCAGCCGGGACCGGACGGGGAATGGAAGAATGCAAGAGCCGGAAGAAGCCTAGACTTTGTCCATGATTGAGTGAGTGGAGGAACTTAAACCTCTGAAAGAATCTGGATATGGGTTCCAATGCACACCACAGGTCCACGGGTACGGTTACGGGGGCGGGTGCGGGTGCGGGTACAGTATACAACGCAAGATACCTGGGTATGGTATAGATGGTGCTAAAGCAAATACAACCGGGTTCTCTGCTCGATGATCCCTCTTGAGGCATCTTTGGTCGAGCTTCTCTCCCCCTCACAAACACAGACGAGACAAATAGATAGATGGACAGATCTATGAGCGCACCTCTCCAAAGCCCATCCATCTATCCATCCGTCAAATACCGAGTCTGTCTGTCTACTGGTGCATCGGTGTATCTACCCTACCCTACCTTACCTTAGCATCCAGCCGGCCAGAAATGTTGACATTTGAACTTACGCAGGGCATGCAGGTGGCCCCGTCCGAGCTCGAGGCCCTTTTGCTATCACATCCGGCCGTTGCTGAAGTGGCAGTCATTCCCCTTTCCCGATGAGCGGTCGGGCAAAGTTCCTCGCGCGGTGGTAGTCAAGTCATCCCCATCCGACGTTTCCAACATGATGGACAATCATCAACTGGCCGATGAGCTGCAGCAGCTGGTGAGTAAAGAGAAGTCGCGGTACAAGTGGCTCACTGGTGGTGGTGTGGTTTTTGTCACTTCCTTGCCCAAGAACGGCACTGGAAAACTATTGAGGCGCGTATTGAGAGATCGGTATAGAAGCAAAATGGCTACAAAGCTGTTGAAAACTCCCGATTTCGTTTTCGTTTCCGGGGGGGGGGGATGGGAAGAGCGAGAGAGAGTCGGTCAAAAAGACGGATACATTTTTTTTTTTGGGTCCGATCATGGAAAATGTTCTCCCACTTCCCCGTCCGTCACTATGTTTTGCCCAAAAATGTAAAAACAGGAAGGCCTTCGCAGAGAGAAATGCGACAAGACCGACAGCAAGAGATAAGTGGCTCAAGAATATATGTATATATCCTTGATAGAATCCCTGAACAACACTTTTTCACGGCCCTTTGACTGACTCACCCGTCGCCGCATTTCTCCCGCGCTAGCAACTATTTGATCTCCTCGCTCCCCCGTCTGCGCCCTTCCGCTCCCTTCGCCCCCCTCTCGCTCCGCTTCCGCTCTCTTCTGCTTCCCTTTGCCTCGCCCCAGTTCACTATTTCTATTCTATATGAAACAGCGGTGGACAGATTTGGTTGCCGGCTAGAAACGGCGACTCCCTCACAGCCGTAAAAATCCCCTCTAAGGTGTCTGAGTCGATTTACTATATTCGTAACCTGTCTCTCCCTTCATCTCCTTTCTTCCTCTTCAATTTCACAACAGTAACTTTCGTAACCTTCGGACGATAGGACCATTGATGTTGGAGACCCTGACACGACTCCATTCATCTAATGTGGTTGGACTCTTAAATTAGGTGGCTTCTACGTAGGATGCTCTCTTGCCCGGTAATGATGCATCCTCTACCTAATTCATTCGAAGACAGTGTAGAAGGTCGGCTTTATATTAGCCTTCTTAGACATAAATGCGCCGTCCTTCGCTCGCAATACATCTGCCTAATCTAATTCGCGTAATACAGTCGCTTAGGCGACTTTCGGTCGCACATAAATCCCAGCTTCGCCTTCGATAAGCAGAGAATCCTGGCAGATAAGATTCCAAGGATCAGGAAACAGGCACAACTGCGGTTGAGGAGGGTCCGAACCAAGCCCGTAGACTCTAACCAGGATGTACACATCGGTCTGGGTGGCCGGCGTCGAAAATCGCCCTGAGTACTTCTTCGCCATGGACATCTGGTTATTACTCAGGAATGCCGGGTTGTGTAGGCTGCCCAGGGTAGATTTGACCTCCAAGTGATAGGTGATGTTGTTCCGCTGACCGGTTGGGTTCTCAAAGTTCGGGACGTGCTCGCTCAAATACATACGCAAGCGTCCGTCGGTGTCGACGTAGGTGAAATCGGCAAAGTCCTTCTCGCGAAAGTCATCGCTGAATGGATTTGGAAAGGCTTTCGCTCGACCTCTACTTGTCCAGTTCTCTGGCGTAAAAAATGGTGACAGCTTGTCTTCCAGAAACTTGTATACCTAAGTTTTTGTCTGTTAGAAAGCTGGTTTAGTGCCATGGGTGGTCGTAAATACTCACCAGGTGTTCTCCAGCAAATCCAATCTCATGTGGTACGGCTTCAGAGGATTCCTGAGCGACAAAGCTGTTTCCACCATGGCTGCTCCTGGGAGGTCGTCCAGACGACCAGGGATGATTCGGCTGTCGAAACGCCTTTGTTGGGGTTTTAAACGCACCGTGTAAATGGTTGGGAGAAGATTGTGGCGCATCCAAGTCCGCTTGGGCCTCTGGCGAGTTGTCGGCAACATGGCGCGACGTTGCTGCCGTACTTGGCCCCGATGAACTGCTCCCGCTGGCATCAGGGTTGTTCACAAGAGGCTGGGGAGAAGGTGAATTGAAAGTGAATTCGAAGGCAGTAGCCATGCCGAAGACGGGCACTGAAGACTTGCTGGGCACTACTCCCGAAGGAGGTGTAACCCAGTTGCGGAAGACCTCATTAGTGGTGTCAGACAGCTTTGCGTCAATCAGGCTTGCAGTCAAGCGCGCAATATTCTCGTCTGTAGCAGTCTCCCCGTTTGTAGCGATAGCATCTGATCTTGCCCCACCGGAGGCAGCCTGGCCCGACCGTCTTCTCAATGAGAATGGCGAGGAGACCGCTGCATCATTGCGTACTCGACGTCCCCGTGAGCTTGGTGTTTGTGATGGCCTGCGTTGCTGTGATCCCGAAGATTCTTCGTCTGAACCACTACCAGTCCTCCCTTTGCTGATCTGCAATTTTTGGAAAGCCAATCCGAGGTTGTCGCTAGGATCTTCAGCAAGTGTACCCTCATCGGAATCTTCGTCCGAGCCGTCTTCAGCCACAATTTCAACGACGGTTGTTGGATCTGTCTTGATACCTGCTCTTTCGAGTCCTTCGATGAATTGCTCGACTTTCTCAGTTGTGAGGACTTTCACAAGAAGTTCGCGGTTGGCGTTCCCCAAGTGAAAGCGTTCTGCGAAACGATCTGATAATGGGATGATGATGTCCATGGTCTCTGAATCTCGCCGGATCTTAATATGTAGTTCTCCATCTGCGTCCAGCAAGAGAACCTCTCCCTTCTCGTCGCGGCCGTATCTCTTTGTGCTGGCATCAAGAACGTATCGCCTGATAGTTATGTCTGGAACCCGAAAAACCCTTATGTTGCTAAGCATTGCTGTCACCTGGTCGGCTGGCTGATCAAGTTTGTTTTCATGACACACAATGCTTGCTCCTGTCAGACATGACTCTGTGCCGTGGAGGGTACAAAGTACTCACCCAATGATGTATCGACTCTGCCTTCGGAGCCTATTGCTAAGCGCAGGATCCGCTACTTCGGATATATCACCTTGGTTTGGTTGGTTCTCTTCTTTCCGGACGCTCAGAGACAAACGCTTGGAGTCCATCGACAACTTCTTGAACACGTTGTGTAGTGATGATTTGAAGGGTTTTTCAGTTACATCCAGCAATGGCAAGAGTCCCTCGAACTTTGATTTTAGAAAGTTCAAGTCTGCAATCCAGAACGTGTCTTCGGCTCGGAGTAACTGTGCAGCTTGGGTAGGATCATTAGATCCACCTTGAGTAACTGGAAAAATGTGAAGCAGAAGCAATCGTCGTCTTTGAGTCATTGACAGGGAAGCCTTGCCTAGGAAGGAGTCCAGAGCAGGCAACATATTCTGGCGTAAAAGCCTGGTTCGGTCAAGGTCTCGTGCTGACTCCATGTCTTCAAGCTCCAAGATTAAATCGTCAAGTCCTGCATCCCTTACTTTCAACAGGGCCTGGAAAAGATTGTCACATCCACGATAGAGTCTGGAGAGAACAGGCACCTTCGTGCAGGGAAATGAGGCCTTCCAGACACACTGATGTGGCAAAACCCACACGCCGGGGTCGACGTATATCAAACTTTCGGTATGGAAACTCGCCCTGGTTCATCGCTGTGAGCAGCTACCACATCCCAAAAGTGTTGAACTCACAGTTTTGAGCCGTCCAAGGCCGGATATGCTGCAATGGCTTTGTAAACAGTTGTAGCCGTTGCAATCACTCGTCCCTGGTCATTGTTTTCTTTCAATGCCCGGAGCTGTTTCACAAAATAGTCCGGCGAGAGCTCAGTCTGGACTCCAAATTTGCGGAGGAAGCTCCAGTCCGTGTTTTGTGGATCAACCAGCTGTATAACAGGGAGAAGACCTAGGCTGACAGACGACAAAGACGGCAATATCGTCTCGCACAGTTTCTGCACACCTTGATCGGTGCTTACCCAAATGTTGCTGATATCCACTGTGAGTTTTTGAGCTTCCCTGGTGTGCAAATCTCCAAACATATTACCATAGCCCAAACGATATTGCGTCTTCAGATGCCAGAGAAATTCCTTTGATCCGTTTCTCATCAAGATATGCCTCATTGCATCAGAGAGTCGTCCACCTGAATGAAGAGGAGGCAACCGGTACACTCCTTCTACGGAGCATAAGAATTGGAACCAGTTTTGTCTCTCGCCTTCCGTTACTCTATCTTCGTAGTCTGGATGTAGCCAGATGATACCAGAAAAGTCGTCTGCAAAAAGCCGTCTAAGAGCCTTTCCTTGTGTCCCAAAAGGAAGATGGACTCTCTCCCGGTATCGAATAGTAAGATTGGAGTCAAGGAGGCGCAGGCGGAGTGATTGGGGATATTGAGGTCGGTAGCGAGCGCGGAAGATGTACATCGCATGCGAGATAAGGATTTCCAAAGGTGGCCAAACCACCATTGTTGCATGGGAGTCGAGTATCATCTTGCATATCTCTGTCTCATCACATGATTTGACACCTAGCAGTCGGTAGAGTTGTCTGCGGTCACGATCATCGGCAGCCGACGCCTGAACGAAGCAAAAGTGGAGGCCAGTGGGGAGGGCGATGCGGCGACCCTGATCCATAAAGACCTTTTTAGTTGCGCAAGAAGCACCAGATGCCCATGAGCCGTCATCCAGCGGGATGATCCGCAGAGCTTTGAAGGCCTGGAATACGGGTGAATAGAGCTGATACTTTCCGTTCGAGAAATGCTTGCAGAGAAGACTCGCGACGCGGGAGTGCCATGCTGTTGCCTTTGATGAGAAACTTGCCATATGCGCTGAAATATATTGGGCCAGCAACTCCACGAAGTGCGAGATCTCGAAGGGAGTGACACCCAGTCTTGAGAGGATCGATGCCGAGTTGTGAGAGTAGGCATTCGATCTCACCCGCTGTGCGTACGTGCCCTCGGTGATAAGAAGTCCGCCAGTGGCGTCACGAAACCCATCTGATGCAGTCAGACAATCCTGAGGCGCCAGGAAAACACCGTCTTGCAACTCTGTTTGAACCAGTAGCTTGGATCGCAGTTGTTTGATAGTGGAGTCAGCAACTTCTCTCATAAACGAATCGTGAATAAACCCCAGAGAGCCCAGATATTCGGGCCAACCAAACCTCATTTGAGATTCCGCCGATGTTGCCAACTGTTCAAAAGCAGAGCAGAGCGCTTCGGGCAAACGCCTCTGGAGGGAGATATTCCATCCTCGGTCACTATCAATACCTTTTCGATTGGCAGTCAAGACAAAATCAGCATGAATAATAAACTGCGCCACTGTTAGGATCGAATCGTTTTGCAAGAGCGGTAATGGTCCTACCTGAAATCCAAAGGAATTGACAGGTAGGTATGCATAGGTCTTTTGGCCTTCGGCAAGCGGTTTGTGATTGCGGTGTGGAAAAGCAAGCACAATTGTCGTTTTATCGCCGTCGGGTTGAACCTGAGCGCTAGGTTGACGTGGAGGCATGCCCTGATACTTGCGTCGAAATATGACATAGTCCATCGTCGCATCGGGATGGCCGTCGATCCTTGTCTCTATTCTTTCACCGTTATGCGCCAAGTGTTGGAGCCGTCCAAGCTTCTCAAACGGCTGTCCAGCTAAGACCTTCAAATTGATCACTTTGATATTTCGGGTAAACAGTAGGAAGGTGAAATCAAATGAGGCTAGGTGCTGGCGCAACTTGGACACGTCAAGGTCGGCCTTGAACTGCAGGGTGATTGATGTCCTAGGGAAGTCTTGTGTTTTGTCCAGCCAAATGGGCAGAACCATGCGACGTTGCCGAGAGGAGGTCGCGTATCCAGTTTGAAAGAATATACACCTGAGTGAATGGTGACGACGTCTGCAATTTTGAAAATTGACTTGAAGCCAATGCCCTTTTCCCCAATCGTGTCATTCTGGCCGGCCTTTGAACTGTAGCCCACTGCACACAGCGACTCCACATCATCCCTGGTGAAGCCGATTTCGTTGGTCTCGTAAGTCAGAGAATGGCTGGTCAGGACGAAGTCGACGCGGGGTACTGTAAGATATTTGCTGTCATCCGCGTTCTGGAGCAATTCCCAGAAAAAGTGAGTGAGATCACCGTAGAGGCCATCAGAAAGGCTGCAAATTTGGTTAGCACAAGTCTCTGGGACGTTGATGCGTGGAACTACATTTTCAGTCCATTGGAAAGGTCGCGAAGATTGATGTCATTCTCAATATCGATGGCATCTCTGGCGATGTGACGTCTCGTCCAGAATGAATTGATATGTTCTTTTGCTTCTGCGCGGGTGGGCATGACTGCACGGTGAGTGCACGAGGATACTCGAGGAAAGGATGACAGGTAGGCATATCACACCACGCGATACTGAAATGTCCAAATTCAGTCGACCTTATACGTGTGGTTGCCCAGAGCCTGCACTTCAGGCGACGAGGCGAATGGGAGAGAGAATTGCCAAGCACCAAGCCGTAAGGCGAAGTGCTGGTAAGGCACAAGCTCCTGGTTTCAGATGGTGCATATGTGTGGTAGAGACCCAAATCTTTGGGCAGATTCCTTGCTCGTTGAGCTTGAGTCATGGACAAAAGATAAGAGTGCTGCTTTCGGGATTCGTCCATGTGAGTATGCTAGCCAGCCCTCGCCGTTTGATGGCCCTCTAGCCCCTCAAGATGTGGAATATGGGCAGCCCCAGGGTGAGACCGCATATCTTGAGACGACGACTATGAGCGCCGACAGGGGTATCAGATTAAGGTTACCGCTGGGGGGAAGCAGCCGGATCTTCACGGCCGAATGCACGGCCGGATGGATCGTTGACAGAGTATGCACTGTAGATTTACCCGTGAAAGCATCCCAGAGATGGACTTGAAGGATGAAAGATGCGTCGAGTGGTAAAGTGGTGGATAGCAGTCCATGTCGAAAGGCACATGTAGAACAGGGTCCTGTGGTCAGAACAGGGTTAAACGGCATGGGCATTCCGTTGACTTGAGCCGCGTAAGCCGGCCGCCGTGTCGGCGCGAGCAGCGCCCGGAAAATGACGGGCCCAGGCACCACGGCGCTAACCCCCCCAGCCCTTGTGGCTGTGGGGACTGTGGACGAGGTAGAATGTTCGATAGTAGGAACCTGTGGGTATTGGGCTGAATCTTCACGAAGGCCCCTTGCAGCGAGGCACACTCGCTTCTCGGTGAGTCCTGAAGGGTAGGGAATCTGCCAGGTGCCCTGACGCCAGTCGAGAGGCGGGTGTAGCCGATGGCTAGGGTGCCTAATTCGGCCCCTGGTTTGGGTCGAGTGCCTAGGGAGTGCCTAGGGAGGGCTCAGTGACGTTCGGCTATGGGCTCAGTAAACGCTCAGGGTGACGCGGCCTTCGCGCACTCTACCTACGATCAGCTCGCTTCGACAAGATATAGAGGCCTCAAATGGCAACGGTTTGGCGAAGACGCCTCCTGTGTGAATCTCAGCAAGAGGTGACGGGTGACGGGTGTTGAGGTTGGTCGCGCCATGAAAGGGAGCGACACTTGTAAGACGGAAGGGGATGCAATACTCACCGCTATATCCCGGGGTGTCGATAGGAATCAGTTTCCCATTTTCATCACACTTCTGGCTGACATTGAACCCCCACAACGGTCGAGATGCAAGCAGGAACAGGCTGGGCTCCGCCATATTCAGACCCGCACAGATGCGGCGTCCGACACCATAGGCGAAATGATCACGTTGCTCTGCGTCATCCATATTCGCATACTCCTGAGCACTGAGCTTGTAATCGATGTAGCGCATAGGCTCAAAGACTTCGGGGTCTTTGTACCGTTTCTCATCTTGATGGATGGAATAGGCATTCGCTATGATGGTGGTATGAGTAGGAATATGATATGATCCGTACCAGTCTTCCTTGCTTGTCGCATGGGAGAAGCCTACAAGCGGATCTTTGGTCAGAATTCCCAGACGCGACACACAATGACTGACAGCACCATTTTCTAACAAACCACGTACCTTGATTTGAAAAGGGTCGCCAGCGGAGGGTTTCCTTGATGACAGCCCGGATGTATGATCAGATAATTCTGGATCGAGCTGGTGGTGCCGGCGCCAGCCAGCATCAGACCGAGAGTGACAAGGGCCGCCTCGTCTTCGTTGAACCCTTCTGATGGGTACTGCTTGATAAAATTGGTTGCGAAGTATGGCACAGCTTTGCCTTGGTCTACGGCCTTCTTCGCAGGATCCCTCCATGCCCGTGCAATTAAGTCGAGCATTTTCGCATTGTCATCATAGGTTTTTGTCCACCACGCCAGAGATCGTGGGATCTGCTGCAGAATCGGCCATCTGTCGTTGACAAATTTTCCGGGATGAAGATTGCTCTCCAGCCATGACCCGGTCAGAAGCAATCCCAGCGCAGAAGGATCAGTGATACCATCCGCACGGAGGCTGAAACATGAGCACCGTGTCTGTCAGCCGAGCTATCCACCAAACAGAAGGTCTTCCAAGGACGACATACCCATAGACTGCTGTAGTGAGAATGCTGGCCCCAAACCGCTCTGTGTGCAGGTAAAATTGTTCGGGAGATTTCAGCAAGTCATGGAGATACTGTTTGGCTTCATAGTCTTGAAAAGGAAGAAACTTTTTGGCAGCAGCGGCGCCTGCGACCGAATTGAAAATCTTTCTCTGCTTTTTCCACATCTAGATATACAATGAGTTACGTTGCTTGTTCCCAGGCAGGATGGGTGCCCTCACATTGTTGTAACCAGTGCTGACGATGGATATACCGCGAAAGATGCAGTCGTGGAATGCATATATTTTTAGCCGGTCATTATAGATATTTCCGCGCTGTATTTCAATTAGTACTGTATTGAATCTCTAGGCGCCGCCGAACGGTTCTTTACTTCATTCCTACCTTGTAGCATAAGTCTCGTACGACTCGCGGAGAGTTTAACACAATCTGCAGGTTTGGGCCCCGCCAGACACTGATTATCTCACCATATTCCTCAGAAAGCTTTTTGAAAAATACGTGGCATTTGTCTTTTAGGTAGCCTAGTGTTCTGGTGAAGATACTACTAGGTAGTCCTAGAGGCTAGGGTTTTTCTCAGTAGGGTATCTTCTCAACAAATGGCACTTTGTTTCACTTACTAGATAGCGTAGGTTTCTGTATTTCCCGATGAGAAAGTATCTTTGAATAAACCACTAGAGGAAATATACAAGACCGAGAGTAGGAGGAAGGACAAAGAGAGCCACTAGGTGGTCTCTAGAAGATAATAGCTCCTCAAGAGAGTGAATTATGGCTATGATCCCTATTCACTTGTTAGGGACGAATATGTATTCGCTGCGAGTGAGAAGACTTGTCCATTAGAGGAGGATGACAGGGAATATGTCCTCTTTTTGACCAACCCAACAGCTCCATCACTGTTGCGTCACTTGATCTTCTATCCTTCTATCCTTTTACCCAGGCATACCTGGCACGACATGGCCCTCCTTCAGACGTCAAGAGATGGTTGCCCGCTTGGGGCTCCGCCTCTGAACTCGACAGCCGAATCTTTTGGACATCACTCTCGATATCCCCCTCACCGTGTATGTACCTCTCTTTCCCTCTCTCGCGTCTCTCAAGCAAACACGTCAGCCCAATACCGAACACCTTTCAAGCCGTTTACCCATGCTTCGGCCGACTCCTGCGAGACCCCCTTGGCGTCCATGAAGATCTTGGCCATGACTGTGTTGACTTCGGTTCCCACGGCACCAGCGCCACACATGTAGATCCGTGCATTCCGCATGAAGAGTTCGGTTGCCTCGCTTCTGTCGTGCCATATCCTGTCCTGAACATGGCGACAGCCGAAGCTCCGGTCCGGTGCTCGTGAATAGGCGTGGCGCACTTTCACCGCGCCCTGCGCTTCCCACTCGGCGAATTCGCTCTTGTAGAGCTCGTCCCCATCGGGCGATCCGCAGCCGTAAAACAGTAATGCGGGGCCCAGTTCTTTCCCAGACTTGATCTTGAGTGCGCGCTCTTGGACAAACGCTCGGAAGGGCGCCAGGCCCGTACCGGCGCAAACCATCAGCACCGGAGTGGTGTCATCGAGAGGGAGGTGGAACCCTGCGTGACTCGGGCGCACCGCAACGTGGATCCAGTCACCCGGTGCACGAGATCGGAGGTAATTGCTGCAGACACCCAAGAAACGGTCCTTGTCCGGATCTCCACCCCTTGTCGGAGCATCAAGAACCGAGTAGGTGATGGTACACTTGGATGGGTCTTCCAGAGGGGAGGACGAAATGCTGTATTGGCGGATTCGCATCAATGGGAGCGCCTCCAGGAATTGTCCGAGCGAGAATTGTGCGCCGGGATATCTCTCCAGGATGTCGAGAAGGGACTTGTTCTTGTCCAAGATCTCTTGCTTGAAGGCGTCGCTTGCGAGTCTTTCCAAGCTTTCCCTTGCGGCAGGTTCTGCGATTGTTGCGGCCACCTGCTTCAATTGCTTCGATGTCGCCGGCTGCGACAGTTCCACGAGAGCCGACAGGACTTCAAAAAGCGGCAGAGGTCTCCCGGAAGGGAGCGCGGTGTGAGTTTCGGGGTTGATGGTGATCATGGCATCCCAAGGAAGACCGAATCTTGCCAGGCATCTCCGCACATTTCTTGTCGGGTTGAAAGGAAGGACTGCCAGGTAGTCTCCAGCCCTGTATGACATTCCTGAAGGCAACTGAATCTCGAGGTGTCGCTTCTCTGGCCCGTTTGGCGCGGTCAAAAGTCTTGCCGCAAGCACCAGACCTTGTTTGAGATCCTGCCGAAGGAAAGACGCTCTGCTGTCAGCAGATATCTGAATATCGAGTCCCGAGGATCGAGGACCTTCCACAGCCTCTGATGCGACCTGGAAAGCTTTGGCGATAGCAGGCCACAACTGCTCATCTTTCCATGTATCATACGTATCGAACAAAGCAGCATCGTTTGCGTCGCCAGCTCCTCTGGCCGTCAAACGCTCAGCGCCTCTTTCGGAAAGGGTGGCATCCACGAGCTTGGGGATCCTGTGGTAGGTGTGTTGCCAGTCACCTCCAAGACGTCAGCATACCACCATCAATGAGCTTCTTCTTCTTCTGGAGCACTTACGATTTCCACATCCAAACACGGCATATTTGACTCCGCTGGCTTCTGTGCCTTGTAACCCTTCCAGCCAAGACACAAAGTGCGCCGCATTGTCCGGTGGCTCTCCTTCGTAACTTGAGGTGATGATCACCACTGGGCCTTTGGTTGGTAACGCATCCACCGCTTTATTCAATATTTCAACTTTGGCCTGGAAGCCGTGGGAAGCGGCCGAGGACGCCAAAGAGTTCGCCATGGCCTCACAGGTCCCAGTGTTGGACCCGTAAAAGATTGAGAGGATTGGTAATTTCGAGTCTGTGTGATCCGAATTTCTGCTTGCCGGCGCCGGTGGTGGCTGATGCTTAGCCGTATCTCTGGGGATCGACCGTCCCAGCAATCTGGTTTCGATGTCGGGTCGCCGAGCTTTCGCACGCATAAAAAACCCTTTGGGCTTGACAGTCAATGTAGATTGAAGCACGAGCTGATAAGTGGGATCCGACATGCTGAAGTCGAAGTTCTGAAGCAACATGGCCAGAGCCAACAGAGCCTCCTGCCACGCAAATGGTCGACCAATGCATGCGCGCGAGCCATTCCCAAATGGCTGTTTTCAATATTTAGTTAGTCCCGTTGTCATGAGGTTTCCAAAGGAATAAGGGCATCATTTACGTACTTTCCACGCGTTGGGAGGAAGTTTGCTGAATGCCTCATTCAGCATTCTCTCGGGGCGGAACTGTTCGGCATCTTCACCATAGACCGCAGGATCCTTGTGGATAGCCATTAAGAAACAGACGAGCGCGGTATCTTTTGTGACGTGGTACTTTCCCCCGATCACTTCATCCTGTTTTGACCGGACCGTGAATGCTGGGGCAGGCGGGTGAAGCCGTAACGTTTCTCTCAAGACGGCGTTGAGGTATTCCAGTTTGGAGAGGTGTTGCACTGTAACTGCATCGTTCCCAATCACTGTGTCGACCTCCTTTTGGGCTCGTTGATAAGCTTCCGGGTTCTTCAGCAGCTCATAGAAGACGAAAGAAAGAAGCCCCGAGGTAGTCTCATGGCCTGCCAAGTTAACTGAGCACATCCATCCCTGTCGTGGAAAGGGGAGATTTTACCTGCGATGAGAAACGTGATCATGTTGTAAGCGATACTCTCGTTGCTCAGATTCTCGCCTGTCTGAGGATCTTTGTTGTACAAGATAGCATTCAGGAGATCTTTCTTGTCCGAGGGATTCTCGCGACGATGGTTGACGAGATCGGTCGCGATTCTGAGCATCAGGTCCACGTTGTCCTGGAATTTCTTATCTGCGGCTTGGTAGAAGTAGCTCGGGAGTGGCGGTCGTCGTGCACGCTCGCCGGCACCAATCAACACCCCGACCATGGCATCGACAAATGGATGCATCTCCTCGGTATAAAAGGAATTGAATCTCGTCCCCATCGCACACCTTTTCTTGTTCAACTGAGGATTCCGAGTCAAAATGGACTCACTTACAAAGCAATCGAGTCCAGGGTCAACCGGGTAAAGTCATCTGTGACCTTGATATCATGCTCTGGACCATAGCGGGACCATTTCAGCACCAGCTGGGTGGCAATGTCGTACATCTCTGGAGTCCCAGAGTCAGTACACCACGACAGCGGTATCGGGAAGCATTTGAGGCACCTACCATCATACATGTCACGAATGGATATCGGCCCAAACGCCGGCATTAATGCTCGATGCGCCACGCCCCAATTGTGCTCTCCCGGAAAGGCAGTGAATAGGCCGTCATGGACGGCGCTCCGAATGTGCAAAAGAGCCCCGGTGACGGCTTTTTCAAATCTTTTTTCGTCCATCAGCTCGTTGAAAAGCTCCCGCCGGCAGATAAAGACTCTTTGGTGCCCGCCCAGGGTAAGCTTGAATATCTCTCCTAGATGGTCATTGTGAGTCTAGTTCCAGAAAACGTCCCCCTCCAAGAACCATTGCAGCTGTACGAACCATATCTATTAGCCAGGTTGGAAAGGCTCATCATAGGATATTCCGCATCAATATCGAGAGCATTTCCAATGATAGGATATCCTCTGGGAGACGGGATAGGTTCCGCCATATTGGTCAGTCAGACGTGCACCGGTATGGCCTTGATAACCCAGATTTGCACGAAAAGGGTCTCGTGCATGGAGCCCCATAAGTGGACATGTTGATAGATTTATACATTAGCCAGTACGTCTTTTTCTGGGAAGTAGCCGGCAGAGTTGGGGTGAAGGGCAGAAGCCATATCGCGGGTGGGCGGCGGGCCTCGCTTGGGCTGAGGGGGAGTAGGTATTAGTGCAACTGATAGCTGGGTGCTCACATTGGTAACTAGCAAAGCACAGATTGGGCTATTGCATGGCCGCTGGAGAACTTAATTCGACAACACAAGAAATGTCAAGAAGCAGGAGGTCCATTGGGTTCAGATCGTGGACGGATGCTTCAGGATCGGCGGCGACTCGCCTAGATCTCAGCTGCATTGGGCCACTCCCACATGCTGCAAGGGCAGGAAGCACCCAGGAAGGGGGGGCTCGCTCGGCAACGAACCAGATTGGCCTGTCGCTTTATACTCGGTGGATCATGGATAGTTCCATCCACCCCGCATCCAATAGGATTCGAGGGGTTGCCGTCCTCTTGGCCTCTCGCATGCATCTTCTCATTCCCTCTTGCTCAAAGTTCTCGCTGAGGCTTTTGATTTATTGTTCAGCTCGACAGCTGAAGGTAAGCGGGTTGCCCAGCCGGGTCGGTTTCAGTTGCCCAGAATCTCTCAAAAACATGTGAATCGATGCTTGAAGATTGTTCCCGTTCACATTTGTAGCATCTGAATATCTATCTAATCCAACGAAAACGTGCAGCGACATGTCTTCCACGAAAGCCGCCGTCATCCGAGAGTGTCGACCTGGTTTGACGGCCTACGAAGCTGTTTACAAGAAGATTCATGCAAACCCCGAGCTGTCTCACTGCGAGTCCGAAACAGCCTCATTAATTATTCAGCATCTCCGGGGCTTGAGCGCCGATTTTGAAATTCGGGCAGGGATCGGAGGCCACGGGTTGATTGCGATCCTGCACAATGGAAGCGGGAAAACGGTCCTGCTCCGAGCAGATATCGATGCATTGCCGGTCGCAGAGCGAACAGGCCTCGAATACGCCAGTCTGCGAAGGCAAATCGGCCGTGATGGAAAAGAAACGCCAGTGATGCATGGTAAGGAGCATTTCAGTTCGGCCCAGACAGAGACAGGACATGACTGATGACTCTTTCCAGCCTGCGGACATGACTTTCACGCTGTCTGCTTACTGATCGCAGCCGAGACTCTCCTGAGGGCACGCCAATGTTGGACTGGGACCCTCGTGTTTCTCTTCCAACCCGCCGAAGAGGCTGGGGATGGCGCCCTGGGAATGGTCAACGATGGCTTATATGACAGTTCGCGGCATAACTGTCCGATTCCTGATATTGTTCTGGGACAGCACGTGGCCCCGATCCGGGCTGGAGTGGTTGCATCCAAAACTGGCCCCATTATGAGCTCCTCTGACAGCCTCAAAGTCACCATCTTTGGCCGAGGCGGACATGGAAGCATGCCGCATCGTTGTATTGATCCCGTGGTGATAGCCAGTCATATCGTCGTCCGTCTCCAAACAATTGTCAGTCGGGTTGTGCCTCCTGATGAAGTTGCCGTCATCACGGTCGGGTCTATCCATGCTGGCGAAGCGGAGAATGTGATCAGCGATCGCGCATTCTTTACTGTCAACATTCGAACCCTCGATGAAGAAGTACGACACACTGTTCTCGATCATGTTCAGAGAACGATAAAGTCAGAATGCGAAGCAGGATTTTGTGAGAAGGCCCCCCAGATCGAACATCATATGAGCCTTCCAGTCACCGCAAACTCGGAGAATACTGAAACGAAACTCAGACAAACGTTTGCGCAGATTTTCGGGCCCGACTTTGTGGTCGCACCAAAAAGCAGCCTCGCCAGCGAAGACTTCAGTATCCTCGCTGGATCGATTGGAAAACCATACTGTTTCTGGCTGTTCGGCGGTATAGATCAACAGCTGTGGGATTCTCTAGCTGCACAAGGAAAGCTGGACACGGTGCCGATCAACCACAGCCCAGACTTTGCGCCGGCAATCCATCCGACCCTTCAAACTGGAGGGGATGCTTTGGTTGCGGCAGCGCTCACTTTCTTGGAATCTTCCCAATAGCCATCCGCCATCGAGCGAGAGTTGCCGAGTGCCATTTGGCTGGGGAGGGAGAGGAGCGAAGAGAAGATCCCACAATGGACTCGTGGGCTGTTGTATCTCGGCACTCTTGGTCTCTTGGAACTCTCGCCCGCATTGGCACTGGTTAGCACACATGTACGTGTAATCAAACTGGATCGATTCGCAAAGTCGACTGTGGCGCTGGCACTACTACAATAGGAAGCACTAGCTAGATCTTAATTATTCTTTTTTCGGTTGATGACCCCGGGCCATTGCCAAGGGTTCGACTCGCTTAAACCCTGCCAATTAACTAATAATACGACAATCATGCTCCCCACAGCTGGTCGAGGCCCCCAAGAGCCACCCACAGCTTGCACTTTCTGCCAGAGCTCAGTTAGCGGCGCGGCAGGACGTCCAAAATACAACAAAGGAGTGTGTAATAGAAGCTTTGAGCTAAAAGTCGATACAAGCTGAACCTCGGTGTTCCCATGAAAATGTTGATAAACACACGATCCTCACACCACGGGGGACGTCGGAAGAGGAACCGCGCATGGCAAATCCAGTCTCCTCAGACACTCCGATGGCAGCGATAGCTCGTGTGAGCAATCCAGCCGGGCACAATGCTCTGGTCTATACGACCACCCACTCAGAACATGGAGACGCCAAACCAAACGGGCTGGGGATCGATGATGACCACTCTTCGAGAGCGCGTCGTCTGCGCGGGTCAAGGGCGCGGACACACCGCTCTACTTCCTCCGTCACATCCACCTCGAGTGTTTCTACGATTCCTCGGCTCGAGGCCGTGGTGGCGCGGGTCAGGAGTCGACCTCCAATCGTTCCGAGCAAGTTCACACATGAGCTTGAACATCAGAAAACGACGGTGGAAGATCTGGTCGACTTTGATGGCGCCGACGACCCCTATTGGCCCGTCAATTGGTCGATGAAGAAAAAGATCATTACCACGGCGCTGTACAGCTGCACGACGCTGACGGCCTCCTGGGCCAGCAGTGCATTCAGCCCGGGCACTCAGCAGGTGGCGCAACACTTTGGCGTCAGCAATCAAGTCGCGACGTTGGGCACGAGTCTGTTCCTTTTCGGCTTCGGCCTCGGTCCTCTCTTGTGGGCGCCGTTGTCTGAGGTATTCGGTCGAAAGGTAAATGCGCAACATGTATCCTTGATACTTCGTGCGGCACCTGAGTGGGAGAGGCCAGAAGAAACTTGGGATCCTGGAGATGGGTGACTTAAGCTGACCGTTTTCCGGAACAGACCTCCGTCCTTCCACCAATGCTCGTCGCTATCTGTTTCGAATTTGCAGCTGGCTCTGCAAGTGATTTCCAGACGCTGATGATCGCCAGATTCTTCGCTGGGTGAGCCAAAATCCGCACGAACATTGTCACCTTGTAAACGCATGACGTTTGTTGGGCCTCTTTCGACTTACATGCCTACTCTTGTAGGTTTTTCGCCTCCGCGCCAGTAACGAACACGGGTGGGGTCTTGAGCGATTTGTTCCCGCCTTCGCAACGGGGTATTGCCATGGCCGCTTATGCCATGGCCGTGGTGCTGGGGCCAGGTCTGGGACCTATCGTCGGAGCAGCGCTTGTGGTCCAGCCTCAACTCGGCTGGCGGTGGACAGAGTACTTCTCGGGCATCCTCCAGATCACGGTGTTGATCGTGGATGTCATATTCCTCGACGAATCATACCCGCCTCGCCTCCTGGTATACAAGGCACGACGCCTGCGGCACCAGAGCGGCAACTGGGCACTCCACGCAAAGTTCGAAGAATGGGATGTTTCAATCGGCGAATTGGCTCGCAAGGTTGGTGCTACGAACGCCAATTCGAAAGATAACTCGACTTGAGCCCGTGGGCGATGTTGACCACATCTGTCTGATCTAGTTCTTGGTCCGGCCGATACAGCTATTGACAACGCCCATTTGTTTTCTGATGGCGCTCTACGCGAGCTTTTGCTACGGCATCCTATATATGCAGCTGGGTTCGCTCCCTCGCCACTCGATAGTTCTCTTCTCTTTCTCTAACCTTCTATCCACAGGAGCGATCCCTCTCATCTTCGAGCAACACCGCGGCTGGAAGGCTGTCCCGGCATCGATCCCGTTCTCCTCGCTGCTATTGGGATCCTTTCTCGGAGCCGCCGTCAACGTGTACAACCAAATGGTCTACAACAAAAAAGCGGCAGGGAAGGTCGCGCCAGAACTGCGCCTCCCACCGATGATGCTCGGATCGGTGTTTTTCAGTGCCGGGTTGTTTGTCACAGGTTGGACCGCGGATCCGTCATATCCTTGGATCGCGCCCGTGATCGGGATCGCCCTGACCGGATTCGGCTTTTTCACCGTCTTCCAAGCCGCGCTCAACTACCTGGTCGACACGTTTAGTGGCTACGCGGCGAGCGCGGTGGCCGCCAACACGTTCCTGCGGTCGTGCTTTGCCGGAGCGTAAGCATTTTTCCCCCTTTGCCATCTTCCTTTTTTTTTTCCCCCTGTAGTTGCGTTTTGTTAGAGACGGAAACTAACTGACAAACTTTCCTCCCCCCATAGATTCCCCCTCGCGATCGCTCCGCTCTACAATACTGTGGGCATCCCGTGGGGCACGAGTATCTTTGGATTCTTCTCCATTGTAATGGTGCCCGTGCCGTGGATCTTTTACATTTTCGGCGAGCGGATCCGAAACAAGAGTAAATGGAGTCGGTAGATACATATCCGAGTAGAAATAGAGATCAAAGATAGAACTCCAGAGATAATTTTTTTTTCCCCTTTTCCCATACTCATACTCCCTTTCGCTGCTATCTAGCAGTCTGCTCGCTAAGCTCGCTACCTATGTCGCTACAACCTATGGGTTGGTCCTAGTGGAATCACTTTTACAAAACCGCTCCCAAAAGCTAAGAAAGAGAGAGAGAGGGACAGCGATAACAATCGAGATATCATAGAAAAGGACGCAGCTAGCGAAAGCAGCGAGAGAGTTTCCTCGGAATGTATGTACATACTGATCCTCTCTTTCTCGAGTGTGAAGACTTTAATACGCTCGCCCACGAATGATAGGCGGGTGCCGGCTGGAATCTGGCAGTACCTTACCGGTATAGGTTACCTAGCTGCGTAGGTAGGTAGAGTTAAAGGCGTACCGGTCCGAAGGCGTATACTCAGTGACGCTGCTTTTTGAAAGAGGCCGTGCTTTCATTGGATACAGTTGGCGCTCTGGAGGGTAGTGCTTGAAGGGACACGGGTGATCGCACCCCCGGCCCCCATCGCGTGAGCCGGGAGTGAGTACAGGGTGGCATCACCCTCGTCCCACAGAAGGGTGAGCTGGACGTGATTCTACCTCCTCTTGGCAGATCTGGACCCTGCATACTTGTATACGCATGATACATAGATAATAGGCACTGAGGTATATCCGTACACTTTACTGCGAGATGGAACAATTACCAAGTATTATGTTATTTGTTGTTGACCATAAAAAACTCTTGCATTCCATCATCCCAGTTCTAGACATAAACTCCCGTATCCCAAGGCACATACTCGATACCGCCTGGGCCCACCAATCCATTATCCCATCCGTACATGGACACTCCCGCGCCTAGAGTCGCATCGAAGAAACACTCATTGCTGAAGGCTTCCGTGCCGCTCAGGTGCGGAGACGTGAATGACGGGGCTAGCGCGTACGGATTCTGATGGACTTGCGGTGGGGTTTGGCCGAGCGGCTGAGCTTGCGGAACAGGTTCGATCTGGTGACCCGGCCGTTGTTGTGCTGGCTGGACTTCTGCCCCGGGTGTAAGTGTCGGCGTGCCAAACAGGTCGTCGCCAAACTCGTCCATTGGCGAGTCCCATGATATCGACGACATGCTGAGCCTGTTGAGTGAGCTTCGAGTGTTCGACGGTGGCGTCCGTGGTGAGGAGGGGTGTTGTGCGAAAAATGTCATGTATTCGGGTACTTCATTTCCATCGAGCGGGGAAGATTGCGGTCCACACGCCGTCGACGTCCGGCTCATGGTCGTTGCTGTGGCTGATTTTGGCGATTGCCCGACGACAATCCGCTGTTCAAGAACTGCAGTGCCATGTGTATGGCAGACCGGATCTCTATGAGTTGTTGCTCGAACCTGCCCTTTTGGCTTCGGCGCGATAGCTGGTGGAACAGATTTCGCGAGGCTTACGGGTGAGACAGGTTCCGACTTGGTGTGCGTCGAGGATGAGTCGAAATTGCTGGGAATTGCATCTTCGTCGCGGTCAAGCACTCCTAGTCGTTCAAGGATACCGTGTACGCTGGGGTTGCCATTGACTTCCTCGACTAGAGCCCCGTCCCATTTCTGACCTCCGGCGAGCCGCCTGTACAGTTCCACCAAGCCCGCTGTCAGGGCTTCCTGATGTTGAATAAGGAGACTGTTGTATCTTTGGGACCGTTAGCGAGAGGACACAAAGTCACTCAGGGAGCCATTGAGCGCAGGGTAGTACGATCTCACTCCTTACCTTTGGTTTGTGCTCGCGGACTCGGTCTTCCTCCGGATCTTGTATGAACAAGGTGCTTGGTCCAAATTACACCTCCTGCAAGGCTTCTCACCATCGCACTATTCAAAGACGATGGTTAGTCTCTCCGAATGCTGTTGATTTTCTTTCGAGCACCCATAATGGCACCAGAAGACGAATCGACTTACTTTGGCCTTTTTGACACGGCATCTTTCACAAGCCCGCGAAACGCGCGGACGCGACCGTAGAGTCTGTTGGTCTGTATTCATTCTGATGCGGGGATGAAAGTCTCACAATGAGAAAGGAGGAATACACGGTGGTTTTTGTATGGTTGAACGGTCTGGTCAAGTATTGAGGTGTGTACTTGAGATATGAACACCAACTCTTGGACAGTTGCGCAAGATGGTATAAATTCCAACCGGACCACCAGCAATGCCGACCGGTTTTGTGACAGTCACGGACCATAGGTGTCGCCAGATACTCCGTCATAATCGTTGATAAATCATGTGAAAATGGAGCGATAACTTCCAGCAATGACCAAGTTGATAGTGTGGCATGCTGGACTCGGCGATTGGTGGGCTAGCGAATAGTTGGCTCAGAATATTGGTGCCGTGGGACCCGAGTTGCAAATCATTTTTGAGTATATGTAGGGTTTGTGGGCTACAGGCTGATTCCCCACCGTGGATCTGCTGTGCTTGGAATAGTTGAAAGTTTGTGTTGGCTGATGTCCAGTCGCAGTAGAGGAAGAAGGGATCGTCTGATGTTTTATTGTCCGATGTAGCAATTGGCTGCTGAGGCTGGGAGCAATAGAAAGAAGCTTTGACTGAACTCAAATGCGGTTTTGCGCATCAATAATTGCCCAATGAACTCTTGTATTTCTTGTTCTTTGGAGAACCAAGACTCTTCGGAGACTATTTGCACTTGTATGTCCAGCAAAGGCCCACAAGTATGCTCAGGCAATTGTTGGTATGGTTTCGCGGGGGAAGTTCCTGGCAAGTCAGCGAACCAAGGCGCATGCAAGTGTGGACTGATCAGCACACAAAGGTACCTGATTGAATCAATGACCACATACTAGTAGGGGTATATGGTGATGCAGATATGTATAGATCATGGCATTGGGGGACTCACAGCTGCGTCTTCGGTCCAATTCTTCGCCATCTCACCCCAGCCATTCACAATCAGCCCAAATATTCGACGTCATGTTATTGGCTGGTCACTCGAATGACAGCGATCCTCCTCATTATCTGCATATCATTGTGCACACGAGTAGGCGCTAGCTGGATAACGAATGCCTTCGGCGATCGACGATCTGGACGGTGGCCGAAAGGTATCAGGATTTCTGCTGAACATTGTAGACCACCAGATACGCGAGGCAGACCAGTGATTCGAAGGGTATAGCTCAATGTAAGACATTCAGGGACCAAAGTTAGATGAGGAGAGCAAAGCAAGGGCAAAGAGAAAGAAGGTGTGATGAAAGAGTGACAACAAAGCAAGGGTTGCGTGGAGGGGTTGAAGAGAAGACCTGATTTGGTCTGACAAAGAAATATTGGCGCAATTTCCCCGAGTGACACTGCAAGCTCGTCTGTCAGACAGAACGATTCTTGAGGCCAAGCACCCAAGGTCGAGCACGTCAAAGGCTGAGAATTTTGCTCGTCTCTTTCTCTCACTGTAATTCTCGTCACTCTCCAATGCAACCAGAGGCATCATTCATGATGACGGATGCACACCCTCTGAGAGTGGAGTGCACTGCGACTGTAGCACGACTTTGAACCCTGTGTCTGGTATTTTCTCAGACGCAGCCTCTGGTAAGCTGAGATCGGCATGTGAAGCACCGTTGATGTGGGATGTTGTCCGTCATGCGATTTATAGCTCTTCATGAGCCTTACTTCATCCCAGTCAGGTTCCACCGGTGGCTCGGACAGACTCGATGACGTCTTCCTTCTGAATTCCCTGACTGTCCACGTCAACGGAAATGGCCAGTCGGTGCTTATCTAACCCAGATGCCAGCTGACAAACTGGGCCCCTACTTGTATACTTGCAGCAGTGTCACTTCCTGAAGTGGATGATGGAGCTGTGTGAAACATCACAGAGAACATCCGGACGGTACGGACCATGCCAGACCTTTCCGAGCATATTCCCGCATGCTGGGTGCAATGCCATTGAAGATCTCTCGATGGGCTGGCAGAAAGGATACATGCTCGGCGACCTAGATTGATACCATGGACTACGCCACTCCAATGACCTACGTGCCTGCACACGCGAATTAGTGCTTCGATCTGACGGTCTTCTGACTAAGGAGAATGATATCATGTCCTCTTGATCAGGCTCGTGGGGCTTCATTGTGGTCGGCCTCGGGGCCCCAGGTACAGCCAACGATTCCAATGCACTGGTTGTCGCCACTTCCAGCATCATCTTAATTCAGCGCGGAAAACCCCGGGTACAAGCCCGGGAGATTGTGCCCGTACAGCGGTGAGCAATCTGCTTCCCAATGGGCGGCGAGCGATACTTGAGGATGCTGCAAGTGTACCGGCTACACCTCAAATTGCTAAGTTCGGCGGGTATTTTGGTGCTATTCAATATCGCGCTAGACGCAATATGCAGGCCAGTTACCTGGCGTGTTGGGTATTCGATCATTCTCATCACAGAATCGTGTCATAGTGAACGCCGTAAGTTATCCAAGCAACTCCGGCACACCCAACGCCAAAGCCGACTGTCAAGATGTCTGGAATCCAATCCAGAGAGCTGCCACGCAAAACAACATATACCAAAGACCCAGCTCTCGGTATTCATCCCTCATATGCCCTCCAATTTCAATTCCTTTGCAATGATGTCTGCCCATTCGTCAATCTCGCCCCAGTCGCGGTAATCTCCCCAACGCCCACCGATGCAGCTCCAGAGACATCGGACAGGCGCGGGGGTCTCTGCACCGTCATCCTTTCCCGCGAACAGACGGTGCTCTCGGACCTTGGGCACCTTTCGGAGGACAACCTCTTCGATCTGGCGGGACTCGCGGCGCACGGCTCGGTCTCGGATCCATTTCGAGCCGACGGCCGGAGCCATGCCGACGCTGAAGGTCCAGGTGGGCTTCGTCTGGAGACCCATGGCCTCGACGTCGAGGAACTTTTGTGCGTCCAGCAGCCACTTTTGATTGTGCACGGCGCTGCCCAGGATGACGGCGCTGTAGTTCTCCACGCTGAATACGTGGTCGACGGACCGGCAGTCGACGGCAAAGCCATCGGCGTGGAGGCGCGAGGCGATGCGTTCTGCTACCTCTCTCGTCGAGCCGTGAGAGGTCGCATAGGCGATTAAGATAGGCATTGGTGTGGGTGAGGGGAGAGAGGCCGGTGATGGATGGTCTCGGTCCTGGTGATCAACCTCGAGTCGAGACGTGGTTGGCGATTTTGTAAGTGATAATTTAGGTGTTGGTTTTAAGTTCCCTTTTTTCCTTTGGGTACAATATTTGTTAGATATTTGCAAGAAGGTGTTATGGGGTGAGAGTATATAAGTAGGTCCACGGGCTAACAAGATGCCGTAGGTGGGTCTATACTTGTAGTGGCGCCTCGGAGAGCGGATTGAGAAGAATTATGTCGGGGTAAGGCTGAGGGAGGGTTCGGATAGATCTGGCTTTGCTGACTTGGACAAAGTCGGATCACGGATTGATTATTATGTTACCTTGATATGTGTGGTGCCAATGCTGGAGAACGGAAGCGGGATGGCGAGATGGCGAGATGATGGGGGGATGTGGGATTACATGTACATGTACATATACAAATAACAGAGATCTTGTTCTTTCCCTTTCTCTGCCTCTCTACTTACCCGGTTCAAAATCAAACTTCTCGGCACGCGAAACAACAACCACAAGGATGATTATGATGTTATGATGATATTTTGACTTGCCGTCTCGTCTCCACAGACTCATTGCCATACAAGGACAAGTACTGCCCAGTCAAAGAGCGTGGCAGACAACCTACCTGGACAAGGACAAGGAGGAGTCCGAGTACGAGTCCGAGTTAAACATCACCAACATGTGGTGTGGTGGTCAGAACCGAGTGAGATTTGACGGGCGAGAGACCAAGTGATCAACCCGCGTCTTTTTTACCCTCGTCCCCTCGTCCAACCGAATTCCTACTTTACGCACTTAACTCTAACCAAACTAACCAACCGGCCGGCCGGACGCAAATGGAGGGCCGCGCTCATGCCCATGCCGTGACGGCCGTGACCCCGGATCGTGGGCGTGAGCGTCATTTGACAAGAAGGAAAAGACCCAGGGCCAGCCAGGTGCCAGGCCAACAAGACCGAGAACTTGAAAAGCAAGAAATGGCTTACGAGAAACGAAAAAAGTTAGTCGATAAAGCCGCAAGTTGCAACAGCACGACCCGTCTGGCCGTTTTACCCTTGCTTGCCTTACTCCTTTGCTACCACCTTATGTGAGGTTGAATCCTTTGTCGCTTCGCTTGTCTCGACCCCCTGCAGAAGCCCCTCCTACCTCGCCTCGCCTCGCCTCTCGGCCGGGGTTTTTGTTCCCATCTTTTCGGAATCCGACCACTGAAGAAAGTCCCGAGCGCCTTCTACGGGCAAGGAGCATCTTCGCTGGAAGAAATCCCTTTCCGCGAAATCCGGAGGCACCTACTACTACTAACTACTAACTACTTGTAGGACAAAGGTCTACCAGGTAGGTAGGTAGTGTGGTCGGGCAACTCCTCTCGGACTTGTTAAAGGTAGAGCTGCGAGTAAAAAGTCACCGAGCTCCGATTACCTAGAGACGGCGAGCGAGCGCACGTACGAGCACATGTATGATACCTAGGTAGGTAAATGGTAATGATGCCCCGTTTGTGAGGCCCTACTTTGAGGGAGGGGAGGGCCAGACGATGTTAACGCTACAAGTAAACTCTTTTGACGGCTTCCATGCATGCCTACCTACCTACCACGTCTACCTACCGAATACGCGTACACGCACCGAGTCCAGGTACTGTGAACGACCATGTGTGTGGGTGGTGGTAAAGCAACTAGACTGATGATTTGGTGGGCACGGTAGCACGGTGGCAGGGTGGCAAGGCTGGCCTGATTGATGCCGGCTGCGTCCGGGATGATGTAGCCCGCGAGTGCTGCCACGGCGGTGTACCTCGTATTATGTAAGTACATGCCTCTAGGCACCACGGGCACGTGCAGGTACAAGTACCCCAAGTACAAGTACGAGACCCAAGACCGAGACACCGAGACACCGCGAGTACTTATTCTGGACTATTCACCGTTTCTCGGTTCTACCCAGGAAAATCCTAAAAGTACAGTTACTTCTAGTACTCAAGAATCAAGAACCAAGGACCAAGGACCACGTACTTACACTGGACTCCAGGAGAAAACGAGTATCAAAATGCCAAATGCCCAGGACCAAGAACCAGGGACCACAAGGACCATACAAATCAAGTCCAAGGACAAAGACAAGGGGACAAGAAAAATATGATTTAGGTGCATGGAATGGAATGGAATGGAATGAAACTCCGCAAAGGCCCGCACGGTGAGTGAGGTGAGTCAGTCGACTGAGTCGTTAATTACTATGTATGTACTTCCCGTTCGAATCGCTTCATTCTCATTTCTCGAGATGATCCCTGTGCCATCGCACCGACCTGGAGATTGGTGCGTTGATCGGGATACCTGATCGGGAAGTCCTTTGTGATCAATAGGGAGCGTGCTTGGACGTGAACTTGGCAGTTATGAGTACGCGTATTTGTACAAGACCTTCTCGGATTCGTCCGTAAGAGTACAAGCAAGTACTTGTGATTTGCCTTGGTATACATGTATGTACACGTGCCCATTTACCCGACGAGGCCAGGCAACGAGGCATTTGTGCCTCGATCCGATCTCGATTCGGTTCGACGAGGGTTGGCACGCACCCTCATGGGACAGACTGGCCCTACTGATAGACCGTCGCAAACCAAGGTCATGGCCGCGTGTCCGCCCAAATGTTGGTCTCCTTAAATGAATAACCTTTCATGCAGAGAAATACCCAATGACCCATAAACCGACGACGCCTGAGTTCATCGTGAACGAGGCCTGCCCTTCAAAACGCCAGTGTTTGTTCCCAGAAAGAACTGCGATTCGTCATCGTAAGCATGGCGTATTATACAGCGAGGAAATCCGTCAGGTCTGCGTTTTGGTCCTGCCGACACGAAAAGACATGTCAGCATCTGTATCTTCCCAAGGTCTGAGAGCGATATGTTGGTGCTTGTAGTGGAGTTGTCCATGTGCCCCGTTCCTCGCATCATCGAGAATGGGTGAGATGCCCACTTCAACTCTCTAGTAACCATAGGGAGCGAAAGAGGGTGTGAGGGTGAGAGAGACGGAAGGGAAAGCATTGATTGTTAGATTTTCCACTCAAACTTACTCAATGCTTCCCCTATCCTCGTCCTGGTCGTCCTCAAAAGTCGCACCTCTCAATCCACGGCACAGGTCGAAATGGGATTGGCTCAGTTCGGTAGGAGGAGATATTGCTTACCCAGCAATACACCAGGAAGGCAGCCTCAGAGGTCAGCGCCCCCAGGGCGAGGTAACTGGTCACATCGCGGATGGCCTCAGGCACTGTGGCCCAGTGCGTCTGGGCTGTCTGGGCTGTCTTGGAGGCCTTTGAGAGGATTCTCTGCGACGCCGAGTGCGGGAGGATGTGTTGGTGGTGGAAGTGCAGTGCCGGGTGGTGCACCGCGGTTCTCAAGGCTCCTGGGGAGGCGGAGGAGAAAGTGCGGACACTCTGAGCCAGGCGGTTGACGGGGATTCGCACGGGAGGCATATTGTTTCTTGTGGTGGATTGGATAGATTTGTTTGGAGGTATTGAACGAGGTGGATGTGTATACTTGTATGTGGATGGCTAAACTTTCAAGCGGGTTGAGATGGCGTTTCGTATCTCTTTGTGTGGAGGGTGGTATCACCGGATGCTGCTAGTATAGGAGAATCTGGTATCAAGTACTTGTAGATGATAAGAGGTTCTTGTATGGCGGTTGTTGATTGTGTGGTGTCTGTGTAGATGCCAGGCTTGCCACACCATCGCGAAACCAGACGGCTTATATCCTGAGGAGCCATGTGTATGGCAATTCATCGATACCGATACCGTCTCATGCATGACTCTAGAACGCGGAGAGACGTGGCACTAACGTTTCGTTGTTCGGAGATGGGGAGCCGAGTTGTGTGCGTGCGCCACTACCAAAGACAGTTCCGTGGACGGAGTGAGCAGAGCAGAGGAGAGTTGCTGCATGTGCGCAGGTGCGCAGTCACGCTATGGTATCGGGTGCGAGGTTGTCTGCCATCATCAGCTGACCAGGCAGTTTTACCAGTACGCGCCAGTAATACCACACACATGCTCCATCGGGGCTCCGTTATTGCCCCGAGTTTTACCTGCGCAGCCCTGGGCAGCACCTGGACAGACCAGAACAGGGCAGACAGGGGCAGCGGAACCCGCCGACAACGATAACGGCGACGATCCAATGGGCTGGACCACCTGGGCACTCCTCCTCTTACTTCGTAGGTACAATACCGGTAACTCAACGTACACGAGCGACATATCACCTTACCTACCACCCACCCAACCACTCTACAATACCTTTCCTACTCGTTCTCTGCTCCGTTTGCGTGCTTGCTTACGAATAGATCCATCACTCAGCCAACGTTATCGCGGGGAACCCAGACAATACCGTGTGTTTTTCGTCTCACATGCTTCCCATTCCCTTGTCTTGCCGTTACTTACGGTACCTACAATACCTAGGTAGGCAGACCTTGAGGATTGCAGGATGGACAGAGTCGAGTCTCCGCCGTGACGCCTCAAGACAAAGACGAAGACGAAAACTGATCGCCGATGAAATGTCTGCTCATAACTACCGACATGGCACCTGGCACCAGGCCATTTTGACCCCGTGCCTCCCTCACTTGTCCATCCACTCATCCCATCGTCGACTTGTCCTCCAGTGGCGCCATCGAGAGAATTTGAGGCGCAAGCAAGAAGTGTTGTTTCAAGAGCTGGATTGCGGGCCTGCTGATCACTTCCGCTGCCTTTTCCAAAACTCGGATTCGAAGCTCGGTGTAGCAGACTTGTCCTAGTAGTAGTCACCCGTGTCCATCTACAGTAATACGCACCGGCCGAATCTCTTTGTTTGAGCACTGAGCAGATACTCCAGCCGAATATCTCTACTGGTCCCGAGTAATTGCCTTGTGAGGATCCAATTACCTTTTTCGGAGCTGATTCCGCGATATCAAGGTTCAAGGTTTTCCTGAGATCCCCATATCCACTTGTACAGTACTTTTTACAAGTCCTCCGCACGTCCGTCTACAAGTAAGTAGGGTCTATGCAGGGTTCAACAAGCATTCGCTCGCTCGCGCACAATGACGAACGTATGGCGACAGATGTCGGACCATTCATTCATGGGTATAGTCTCAGACGTGCGGGTCACTCACCCCAGAGGACTCGAGCCCAAAGGGATCATGCGGATGTAGTGACCCAAGTACAAGCACGTCGCTGACTTGAGGCGGGTTATAAATCAACCAAGGGCAGACGTAGCCATCACTTCCCAAGTTTGATAGGATATGTTCAGTAATTATTTCATTTCAAAAGGGCGAAGATGAGATGATAGTCCTATCACCCGCAACTGCACGCATTCATTCCCATGCTCTGATCGAGCCTCAAACATCGGGTCTCAGCAAGCAAATATTCCGTCTATAAAATCCTGCCCTAGCGGCGACTCAAGCCCCAATAGAGGCGAGTCATAGCCTGCGGTTTTCCACCCCGGAAATAAAGGGGATTCGGAAAGAGAAGAAAAAAGAGCAACATCATTCCATCAACCGCTTCTTCATACACGGCTGTGCGTGTAGTGGGTATCGTAGCAATTAAAAACAAGTGGTGATCAACAACAACGAAGGGGGGAAATCCTCTTGGATTGTTCCCTTCTCACTTTTCCCATAACCAGATTTGCTTGCAAGTCGCACTTTTGGTAGCAGGTAGCTTTTCTTCTGGGGTTCCTTCTCTTTCTGAAGCTTTGCAGAACAGATATAGCACCGACAATTCTCCCGTGGTATTAGATTCATGTTCGAATTAGTAGTAGAATTGTCCGCCGCAGTCTTCAAACCATGAAAGTAAACTTTTCTTCAGAGGTCTGTTCCCTCATGCCACAACTTTTCCTGCTTCTCTTCAAGTGAATCTCTAAGGAGATGAGAAGTCGTCACCGCAAGATTTGGCATTAATCCCGTGTGTGGTTGTGAATGGTCCCCCAAGATAGAATGATGGTAACCAAACCCATAAGTCGTGATCGTGAATGACAGTACGTATCGTCGAGAGAACGGAAAAAGAACAACATCTTGAGGCGGGGGCTCGTAACTGATGGAGTCGTGATTTCGATTTTCGTCACTGGAAGGCGCGGTATGGTCCTGTGGTCCCAATGGGTACAACAAAGTTTTTTTGTTGGATGTGCAATCGCAGATAGATATTTGGCACTCGCCGGAGTCGATCTGATGAGTTGCCATTATGGTTGCTGCATCGACATCTGTGACTGTTGCGCTTGTTGCGCCTGTTGTTGCGACTGGAGCTGCAGTCGGACCATTTGCTTGAGCAGGGCGCAGTCTTCGCACTTGACGAGCTTCTCGAGCGTCCGCACTCTGTCGTTCAGTCGCTTGATCTCGTCCGTCATGTGCCGCATTGACACCTCGCTCTGGTGGACGTAGTTGACCGCGTCTGTCATGACGTCGGACTTACGCACCCTTGTTCGTGGGTCGTGCATACTCGGCGCTTCGTCCGTCGTGAGGCCGGCCAGGCGAGCGGGAGATCCAATAGCGTTCAGCGTGCGGTGCAACTGCATGATCTTGCCGTTGAGGTTGTCACGGTACCGTCGTTCAACGATCGAGTGGGCTTGTTTTGCTCGGGCTTGCGCCGCTTCCTCATCGCTCGAAGAACCCTTGCGTGCCCGCCTACCTCGTGTCTTGGGGAGGCTGTCGTTACTGGCCCTTCTCAATTGTTTGACGTTACCGGTACTGATTCTGGATGGCATTCTTGTGAGTTCCTCGTCCTGGTTGGACATCTTCGGCGAGAGGGCCGACAGGTTGAAGTCTTCCATCTCGGGGTTGTTGAGGAGTTGCAGGCATGCTGGGACTGTTCCACAACTCCGCGGGGACAGGCTGTCACCCTGAATCAGATTAAGACCGCATGAGAAGGACGGGTCGTTCTGCTCATAGCCCGGCTCGGGCTTGATGGGGAAGTCGGCGAATTGCTGAGAGTTGTCTGTTGAGATTGACGAAGTATTGAAGAATGGTTCTGAGGACATGGTATCATTTGTTGTTGATAGCCCAGAGTCCTGACCAGCAGCATCGAAATTCAGATACTGCGAATAGACCGGGGACGGGGCATTCTGCTCGGTTGGAAGCTCAGGGTTGGGATCGTAGTAAGATTGGTCCTTCGGATACTGAGGATAGTTCCCAAAGGAGTTGGAGGAGGCGAATTCAACACCATTCCAGCTTGGTTGCTGCATCAATTAGTGACTGTGGCAAAGGGGAGCTGGCAAAACAAAAGTGCCAACGTACTTGATCCGGGTATGAAGGTCGCTGGTATTGAGGGTATGTTTGTGTGTAGGCCATGGTAGGCTCAAACCTTTGTTGTCGGTGGATTGACTGTGATGTGAGGTGAATATGGTTCTTGAAGTGTGGGTTGATTTGCACACATAGTGGCACAATGTCTGCTGGTGGTGGAAAGGCGGTTGCTTATGAGAACGTTGTATACAGAGTTCTTTTTGCATCATAGCGGAGAGGCAAGTCCGAACGAGCCACGCGATTTGCGACTAGGAACCCAGTCTCCAACTGAGGTCTCCATAGTAGTAGGAGTCAGGAACCGAGACTCGGAAACAGGTGTCAGACCACCAGTTCGACACGCTCACGACGCGAACGGCACTCAGAAACGGTAGTCTCCGTGGGAGAAAGAGGCATGTCATTGGTGAGGAAGAGGGAGGAAAAGATGGGTTTGCGGGTCATCTGAGAGACACAAGAGAGGAACTGCTGGGCGCAGGCAGGGACAGGGCCACAAGGCACGATAGGGCACGATAAAAAGACTGGGCTAAGCAGCTCCGGGTTTCCTCCTTGGGCCCCGAGAAGGCGGAAATGGCCCATTACTCCCTCTTGGGGATGCATGTGCTTGAACTGGGCTGCCCTATGGCGGGCTTTCTCGGGGCTCGGAGCCTGTAGGGTTCTCGGGTACCTGGCTGCCAGGGTGCCAGGGTGTATCGTAGGGGCACCAAGGGCACCAACGGCGGTCCCTAACGCCCACAGAAGCATAGCCTAGTGGCCCCTAACACCTAGTGAGCCTACTGAGCATGGTGGATGCCCGCCAAGACATCCATATAATCTGAGGCACATTGGCTACTCGTTCACATTTCTTGCACCAGTATACAGTATGCTGGAAGAGGATATTTTGCCCATGCTCGGTCCTTTATGGTTTGGTCAGCAAAGAGAAACGTGCACAATACCACACCCGCCAGATGCACCACTCCAAGCCTCTGTAAGACACGGCGAATCGGTCCAGCGGACACTTGCTCGTATATCGGGATCTGAATGCCTGGCGCGGACATGGCAGGGCGTGGCAGGGCAAGGCTGGGACAGGTACGACCAAGGCACCGCTCACCCTACAGAGCACTTGTTCTTGTATAAAAGTACAAATACTGTCTTGACAGCTGGAAATGGAATTCCTTCATTGCGACCGTGACCGGCAAACTCTTTTCCCTGTGCGAGGCTTTCCTAGGTACCTTCCCCCTTTTTTAACTTCGGAGACGCAGTTAATTCGGATATGAATAATAGAAGGCACCGCCAGCACTATCAAACTACTTTTGTAATTGCCAAGATCACACGTCATCTCAGAAAGTTCAGGACGATGACTATTTCGGAACGAAGAAGCCGTACGAGGTACGAGGTACTTGTGCTCAGTTCACTATTGACCAAGAAGGTCGGGTTGGCAATACCGACGCCAATGATGCCAATGGGCCAATGCTCAGCACTCAGGTACAAGAAGACGGTATTTACATAATCATCTTGACTCGCATGAGTGAATTGACCTCGTCTTGCTTGGTACCTACATACCAAGGAGTGTCAACATTGGCACTCACCTGACTTGCACCTCACGCCATACTTGTATGCTACACCAGCAAAAACCACGAGGACAAAATGTACGGATATTGCCGCTTTTTTTTAACATTCACAAAGGTGGTAAGGTACACCATGTGATTTTTTTTTTTTTCATTGAGGGCTAAAATACCGAGCAAATGATGTGTGCTGTGGTGTACTTGCTGTGATATAAAGTTGTCGACCACAAGGCATGGAGTCTGAGGCTGACAACTTATATCGACTATATCGTCAACAACCCCGAATTTAATTCGACACAAGACATTATTTCAACAAATCTTCCACAAACACCGACAATGAAGTTCAGAACAAGGGAACTCGACCTCTCCAGGGCTCTCGATGAGACATTCCTCCGCATTGCCGAAATCGGCCTGCGCGTGCTAGAAGGCGTCTGGTCCATCATCATCATTGGTTTCATGGCCGCCGTCATGAGTGGTCTAGCAGACGCCGATGCAGATGTGCCACGGAAAGCCACCGCGACCGTGGTAATCGCCTGCATCTGCACCGTCTACGCGGGTATCACCATCTTGCCCATGTTCTTCGGAGGGGCCTTGTTCTTCTCCGTCTCCGCCGTCTTTGATATCCTCTTTGTGGCTGCCTGGGCAACCCTGATCGGTCTGTGGGATGGCGATGCTACGGACTCATGTCGGACCTTCAAGACCAAATACTTTGATGGCCGGCCTCCCCGGTCGCTCTTCGACACCGATTGCAAGCTTGTCAAAGCCATGTTTGCATTTATGATTGTCAATCTGTGAGCATTACCATCCCATTCTGTGGCTCTTTCATTTGCTGATTGAGGGATGTAGGGTATCTTTCTTGGGCTCCGCAGTTATCTGCTTCTGCCTCCGCCTCATCGAGCTCGACTACCCTACCCTCTGGAGAGTCGGTTCACACCCCGAAAACCTCACCAGGCGCGGAAGACAAGCACACTGTGCCTGCTGCAAGCACAACGCGAGCAACCCGTCACCGCACCGGACCTCCACAGCCGAGAGTACCGCGCCAATGGTGTAATCTAATCATGGAACAATGTCGGAGTGTTTTGAAAGTTATAGCTCGTGTGTATATGTCTGTTTCTGTCGCTTATACCCGTCTGAAGTCGCCGACGACCTGCAGCGTTTTGACCTACGTGGTAGCCGGATCGTTCAACACAAAAACACACTCATCACACACGACAGAACATCACCCTAACTACTTCACCCACCACCCACCACTCACCCAACACACCAAGAAC